GATGTCCGCCGAAGGGCAAGAGATAGGCCCGGGGCCAAGCACGTCCACGCAGCCACAGGTGGACAGTAATGAGGGAGATGAGTCTTGGCTGGATCCTCGACAGCATCGCAGAGATAAGCGCGCGCAACAGAAGAAGAGATGTGCCAGAGATTAAGCTGGACCACACCCCACAGGGTATAAAAGGGGATGAGGTGGCCATTCAGACTTTGTGATGGACAAAATTAACTACTATCGAGTCACATTGCATCTTTGGAAACAACAATATCTGCCTTGGATTTATTTTATGAACTGGACAATTCTTGAACTGTGTGTATTTTGTTTATGAGTAAAGTTCTTGGCAAGCAGCTACTGGGTTGCTGCCAAGCTTCTTATCGGAAGAATTGGTTGTCTGCCAGTTTATTTAACCCCCGGCTGTCTGTTTGTGTGCGTGTGTGAGATGGGGACAGAACATAATCCATCCTCCTGCTCAAGCAGAAGACCCTATATCCGTGATGGCGAACCTGTGACATGCGTGCCACAGGTGGCATATGGAGCCATATCAGTGGGCACACGAACTCAGCTCGCCAGCTGATTTTCGGGCCTTCTGGGCCCACCAGAAGTAGAGAAACAGGCTGTTTCCTGCCTCTGGAGGGCCTGAGGGGTGTGGGGAAGGCCCGTTTTTTTGCTCTCCCCAGGCTCCAGAGCCTTTCTAGGAGCCTGGGAGAGTGCAAACGGCCCTCCGGAGGCTGGAAATGGCCCATTTGCCAGAAGTTGGCAAACGGGCCGTTTCTGGCCTCCAAGGGGGTGGGGAAGGCCATTTTCACCCTCCCCGGGCTCCTAGAAAAGCTCTGGAGCCTGGGAAGGGAGAAAAACAGGCCTACCGAGTCCACTGTGCCATCACGTGCCAAAAGCAGGGGGAGCCCTGCGTGCATGGGCAGGGGCGGGGCGCATAGAATTATGGGTGTGGGCACATCCCCATGCTCCCCCTCCTTTTGGCATGCGATGGCAAAATGGTTAGCCATCACTGCCCTATATCATTCCAGACAAATGATTGTCCAATCTCTTCTTAAAAACCTCCAGTGACGAACTGAACTGAAGAAGCTTCTTGGATGAGAAGCGAAATATCACCAAAGAGAAACAAGAAACTCCAGTTGCCTCTTGAAAAAAAGCACCTTTGGGATATATCCAACTTTAACTTCACAAGGATGTAGCCATGTACGGATCCGTCCTGGGTAGTTGACCACGGTAGTCCATGGCAAAAATTAATTTTATTCTGATTGGATTGTTGCCTCCTCAGGTTGAGAGGTATTTTTTTTTTGGAGGGGAAACATTGGTATCCAACCAGAGATGGACATTGGGAAATGTCTTAACTGAACGGCGCAAAGCCTGTTTTCTGATCGAAAATACATTGGCCAGACTTTTCACCCAAGGCTTAATTGACCAGGCTCAATTTATTCTACTCGAGATACATTATGAATAGACCCAGTTCCCTTAAGAAGCCCAGAATGCTGACAAGGTGGAAGGAGAAAGAAGTAGATCATGATCAGTAGCAAGGAAGAAGAAGATCATGATTAGTAGCAAGGGATGGGCTTAGTACCACAGTAACGGGTGCGTCATTAGATGACCAAGTTTGGGAACAGAGTGTCTTGGAGAAAATCTTAAACTATGTAGTCATTAAGAGACACACTGACCTATTGATACATACTATACTTTTCGGAGTATAAGACGTACTTTTTCCCCCCTAAAAGAAGGTGGAATTGTTGCAGTGGTGGGTTCCTTCCGGTTCGGTCGAGCCGGTAGCGGTGACAATATGACGTCACCGAACCGCTTCTCCCTCCCCCACCCTCCCACCCCCCGTTATTCTTACCTTTTATTTGCCCCCTGCCTCCTGAGTCCCAGCTGATGACTAAAGGGAAAAAAACTGTTTAAACTCTTGCCGTGGGACTTCAAAGGGCCGTCCTACAGCTGATCAGTGTTTAAAAGCAAACAAATGAGTCGGGTCATAAGTGTGAGGACTGGTCGTAAGTGCAAGGACCTTTCAGAAATGACTGATCAGCTAGCCACACCCACCTAGTCACATGACCTCCAAGCCACACCCACAAAATAAGCCACGCCCACAGAACCGGTAGTAAAAAAATTTAGAACCCACCCCTGAAATGTTGGTGCGTCTTATACATCAAATATAGCCATTTTCACCCAAGGCCTAATTGACCAGGCTTAATTTGAAAAACCAGGCCCGTTTTTCGCAAAAACGGGATGCGCAGAGGGTTTGGGAGGCCTGCAGAGTGCTCCTGGGGGCCGGGGAGGGCAAAAAATTTTTCTTGTTTTCCTCTTCGAAATCTTAAGTGTGTCTTATAGTCTGAAAAATACGGTAATCAATCAATCAGCTCCAGGACCAATTCTTTGTATCGCCAGCATAATATTGTTGAAAATGATCTTGTTCAATCTAACTCTGGATTCTCCACATGGTTTAAAGTACAGGTAAGTCCTTGACTTGCAACCTTTCATTGAGTGACCGGTCATAGTTACAGCGGCACTGAAAAAAAGTGACTTACGACCGTTTTTCCCACTTACAACCATTGCAACATCCAAGTGGTTACGGGATCAAAATTCAGGCACTCGGCAACTGGTTCGAATTTATGACCTTTGCCGTGTCCGGGGGCGGGGGGGGTGTCACATGATCACTTTTTGCAACCTTCTGACAAGCCAAGTTAATGGGGAGGCCAGATTCACTTAAGAACCGTGTTACTAACGTAACAACTGCAGTGATTCATTTAACAACGGTGGCAGGAAACTTTGTAAAATCGCAAAGATCACAAAACTCACTTATTGTCTTGCTTAGCAACCGAAATTTTCGGCTCAACTGTGGTCATAAGTCAAGGATTACCTGTATTCTTATATACGAAGTACAAGTTTGGCTATCCATTTTGACCGCCTTCTGGATTACCCAGAGGCTATCACCATAATCTTTATTTTAGTTTAATATGCGCTCAGGAAAATGCTGACACACACAACACACAACTATGCACATGCAGAGAAGCATATGCACGCCCGTCCACACGTTAAGCATGCACAAAAGATGACCACATAGAAGCACGTAGATATAGAGCAGTGGTGAAATCCAAATTTTTTTTTACTACTGGTTCTGTGGGCGTGGCTTGGTGGGCGTGGTATGGCTTGGTAGACGTGGCTTGGTGGGCGTGGCAGGGGAAGGATACTGCAAAATCCCCATTCCCACCCCACTCTGGGGCCAGCCAGAGGTGATATTTGCCGGTTCTCCGAACTGCTCAAAATTTCCGCTGTCAGTTCGCCAGAATCTGTCAGAACCTGCTGGATTTCACCCCTGATATAGACCTCCAAAAGCTTAGGCATACTACACAAATAGGCAAATTGTGGAAAAACGACACCAAAACAATTAAGACATTATCCAGTCTCCTGAAAAGCTGCCCTATGTCAGAATGCACCACGCTGCAGGTAATCCTCAACTTACAACCATTCGTTTAGTGACCATTAGAAATTACAATGGCACTGAAAAAGTGACTTATGACCATTTTTCACACATATGACCTTTGCAGCATCCCCATAGTCATCAAAATTCAGATGCTTGGCTCCTGATTCATATTTATGACGGTTGCAGTGTCCTGGGGTCACACAATCAACTTTTAACAACCTTGTCACAAGCAAAGTCAACGGGGAAGCCAGATTCACTTAATGACTAACTTAACAACCGCAACAATTCACTCCACAAAAAAGGTCATAAAATGGGGCAAAACTCACTGAACAACTGTCTTGCTTAGCAACCAAAATTTTGGGCTCATTTGTGATCGTAAGTCGAGGACTACCTGTACCCTAGAACACTTCCGTTATTGCAACTTCTTCTCTTTAAAGAGCTGTTTTGTTCCGATCGCTCTACTGGACCTTCTGAATGAACTACAGATCAGCCTTCCTCAATCTTGGCACCTTCTAAAGGTGAGGATTTTCCTGAAAGTCCCTTGGACTGCAAGGCGATCAAACCGGTCAGTCCTAGAGGAGATCAACCCTGACTGCTCTTTAGAAGGCCAGATCCTGAAGATGAAACTCAAATACATTGGCCACCTAATGAGAAGGAAGCAGAGGTGTGTTTCAGCAGGTTCTGACCAGTTCTGGAGAACCGGTAGCGGAAATTTTAAGTAGTTTTGAGAACCGATAAATACCACCTCTGACTGGCCCCGCCCAGGGGTGGGTTCTACTTACCTTTACTACCAGTTCGCAACAGGGCCGCGCGCGCATGTGCAGAAGCATTTTAATGATGTCAGGGTCAGTAGGTGGAGCCTCCCTCCGGTTTTACTACCGGTTCTATAGAACCGGTGCGAACCTGGGGCAACCCACCACTGGCCCCGCCCCCATCTATTCTCTGCCTCCCAAGTCCCAGCTGATCGGGAAGAAATGGGGATTTTGCAGTAACCTTCCCCTGGAGTGGGGAGGGAATGGAGATTTTACAATATCCTTCCCCTGCCACACCCACCAAGCCACACCCATCCACCCATCCATGCCATGCCCACTAAGCCACACCCACAGAACCGGTAGTAAAAAAATTTGAAACCCACCACTGGAAGGGAGGACTCACTGGAGAAGAGCCTAATACTGGGAAAGATTGAGGGCAAAAGAAGAACGGGACGACAGAGAACGAGATGGCTGGATGGAGTCACTGAAGCAGTCAGAGTGAGCTTAAATAGACTCCAGAGGATGGTAGAGGACAGGAAGGTCTGGAGGAACGTTGTCCATGGGGTCGCAATGGGTCGGACTTCGCAACTAACAACAACAAAATAATTCTCGGTCATGGTTGAGCCATCAGAAGGAGCTCCAAGATTGGGGGAAGCCATCATCCACCATCAAGTACAATGTTAGAACAGTGGTTTCGTTTCCTTCACACATTTTCTGAACAGAGCTAAAAAACAGAGAATACATAAGCGTATCGGTGAAAAGAAATTCAAGAAACAAGACTGGAAATAAAAACCAAAACATGAGGGACCTGAAAACAGTTATGCTGATTAGTGATGTCCTTCATTTTATTCTCTCTCTATACTCGGTTTTCTATACCCTCCCACCAGTATCTCCAATAATCACCAAATATGCTTAGTTTTCATTCAGCTATTTTGGGGGTGAGATTTTCCAACCCCTGGATATCTCCCCTCCAAGGAGATTCCTCTACTTCTTCAGTCATCTTCTCCCAAGCTTAGCTTCTTCCTTCTTCCACATGGCTGGTGCTACCTGAATTGCATGTGGAGATACTCTGAGCCTGAATGTCTATGGAGATTCTCAATCATCCAGGTCACAGTTGTCTCAAAGGTGCTAATAATGACCAACTTTCTAAATCCTAGCGACCAGATAACTGCAAAGAATATAAATCCTCCCGTTCTCCACCATTCAGTCAGAACTGAAGAAGCTTCTTGGATGTGAAGCGAAATGTTTTCAAGGGGAAAAAAAAGCAAGAAAGTCCAGTTGCCTTTTGAGAAGCACCTTGGAGAGTCTAAGCATAAATGTTGGACATAGGAGACTTGAGGTGGTTCTTTCAAGCTCTCCAAAGACCAATCACTGACCACTGTGATGAAGAACATTATGAAGAGTCCTCCCGGATCTCATAAAACATCTGTCTAGTTCAGTTCTCTGGCCAATGCAGAAAATTTGTCTTTCGCATTCCAAGAGCCGTGGTGGTGGCCCAGTGGTTAGAATGCAGTACTGCAGGCTACTTCTGCTGACTGTCGGCTGCCAGCAGTTCGATCCTGACCAGCTCAAGGTTGACTCAGCCTTTCATTCTTCCGAGGTGGGTAAAATGAGGACCCAGATTGTTGGGAGCCTTAGGCTGACTCTGTAAACTGCTTAGAGAGGGCTGTAAAACACTGTGAAGGGGTATATAAGTCTAAGTGCTATTGCTATCCTGGATCTCCTTATGGTTGAACTTCTGACTTCTGCATGAGTTTTCACACATGCACCGGAGGCAAAACCAAAAAAACGTATCTATTTTTTTCCTTCTTTATGGATTCCCTGATGTCTAATAAGGGTGGATTTGTGGCTAAACCCCTTTCCGCATTGGGAGCATATGTAAGGTTTCTCTTCCGTGTGATTCCTCTGGTGTCTAACAAGGTGATGACTGTAAACAAAGCCTTTCCCACATTCTGAGCACTTAAAGGGTTTCTCTCCGGTGTGGATTCTCCCGTGAGTCTTCAGCTGCGACGGCCTGTTGAAGCTTTTCCCACATTCCAAACATTTATAGGGTTCCTCGCCCTTGTGGGTTCGCTCGTGATTATGAAGACTTGACGTCTGGTTGAAGCTCTTGCCACACTCGGAACATTTGTACGGTTTCTCTCCCGTGTGGATTCTCACGTGGACAACCAGGTTCGATTTGAGGCAGAAGCTTTTCCCGCAATCGGAGCATTTAAACGGTTTCTCTCCGGTGTGGATTCTTTCGTGTCTCCCAAGGCTCGCTTTCTCTCCGAAACCTTTCCCGCAGTCTGAGCATTTATAGGGTTTCTCCTCCATTGGCATTTTCCCTTCTGGAAGGTGAGTCTGGTGATGCTTCATAAAGTAAGAGATTTGCCGGAAGCTTTTGCCACAGTCTGGACACTTATACGGCTTCTCTCCGGTGTGAGTCCTCTCGTGTTCTTTCAGATTTCCGGCCTGGCTGAACCTTTTTCCACAGTCACAACATTTGTACGGTTTCTCTCCCGTGTGAGTCCTTTGATGGGCAATGAGGTTAGAGCTCGTGCTGAAAGATTTCTCACAGCCTGAACATTTATACGGCTTCTCACCCGTGTGAAACCGGTAATGCGTGGCCAGCTCAGAATTCTTTCGGAAACTCCTCCCGCAATCCAAGCAAGCATACGGTCTTTCCCCCGTGTGGGTTTTCTCGTGTTCTCTCAGGGACCCAGATCGGCTGAATCTTTTCCCACAGTCCGGGCATTTGTACGGTTTCTCTCCCGTGTGGGTTCTCACGTGCAAAATAAGGCTTCCTTTGTGGCTGAAGTTTTTCCCACAATCGGGGCACACGAACGGTTTTTCCCCGGTGTGGATTCTCGCGTGGGCGATCAGGTTGCCTTTTTGGTCAAAGCTCTTGCCGCAATCCAAACATTTGTAGGGTTTCTCCCCGGTGTGGATCCTGTGGTGTCTAATCAATTTAAAGTGAGCGTTGAAGGACTTCTTACAGTACAAGCACTGGTAGACGGCCTGCTCGTCTTGAACTGCGCTGTAGAGTGACCTCTTCTCCTGCTCACGTTCGCGGAGTCCCTCCTGCCCGGGAATTTCATTGCCCCAGGAAGAAATGCAGTTAATATTTCTTTCCAGAGTTTTCTCATGATGCCTCCACAGTTCTTGGGCATCTTTCATAGGTTCTCTGTGCACAACATTGCTGCGCAGATTCTCTTCGGCTGCTCCTTTCTCTTCCTCAGGTTTCCACTGATGGTCCTCATCTTTTACCTCAGACACGTAACTTCTGCCTGAAAGAATAAGCAGAATTTTTTTTTTAAAAAAAATACAGGTAGTCCTCAACTTACAACAGCAATTGGGACTGGAACGGCTTATGACCTTTTTTTCATTCTTACGACCACTGCAGCTTCCCCATGGTCATGTGATCAAAATTCGGGCCCTTGGCAACTGGCATGTATTTAGGACGGTTGCCCTGTCCTGGGGCCATGTGATCGCGGTTTGTAACCTTACCAGCTGGCCTCCGACAAGCAAAGTCAACGGGGAAGTTGGATTCAGTTAACGACCGTGGGATTCACTTAACAGCTGCAGTGGTTCACTTAACAATTGTGTCAAATAAGGTTGTAAAACGCGGCAAAACTCACAACAATGGCCTTGCTTAGCAATTGCGGTCGTAGGTCGAGGACTACCTGTACTCCATATCTATGTTGACATAGATGTCTTAGCATTACGAAGAACCAGACAATGGATGTGGTTGCTCAACCAGCTGCAAATGCCTCTGGCAGTTCGATTCATTATCTCAAACAGTTCCATTTTATCAAGGAAATGGTTACGGCCAACTTCATCAAATATGGTACAGAAATCTAAGTATACCCTATCTGCCATATTTATTCATTCATTCAATCAATCAGTCTCTTAGGAAATGGTTATTGCCTAATTGGTTGGCCAGGAAATATATAAGCCAACATTACATGTTTATCTTATGTGAATGTATTATGTAGCTTTAAGAACTGTGCTGAGTCATTCTGCATCCTGATTGGCTGAGCTCTGTAGCCAATGTATTTAAGGAGAGCTAAATTATGGTTAGTGTGGACACTACACCATTTTACCTGCTGCTATGCTGTAACTCTTTTTGATCTCTCTATGGTCAATTGTTTGATCATGATTATTTATTTACTGCTTTCTGATATTTATTGAACTGTTTTTATATTGTTCCTGATTGTTCCTTGTATTTTTCTACAAACTGGTGAGAAGATTTTATATCCCTGGATTGAGCTTATATTGCACTTTATATGGCTAAGACTTGGATTGTTAAAGGACTATGATTTTGCTTTTCCCTTAAAGTAAAATACAATAAAACCCAGTTTGTCTGTATGTTATTCACAATTACTCTCAAACCGTTTCCGTGCGTAAAACTCTAACGGTACTCTGCTTTATAAGCCACAACTTCGGGTGTAACTCAAAAATATCCTTAACACAGTCAATCAATCAATCCATTAATCAATCAGAATAGAGCTTAAGGGACCTTGGAGGTCTTCTAGTCCAACCCCCTGCTCAAGCAGGATGTCAGCACTTCAAGCTGCATTTACTCTAGTGCTGACATAAGAAGGAGAAGCGGAGGCGTCTGGAAAGGGACGTTTGACTTTTCACCTACTTATTTTCCCTGGAGATAATATCCCCTAGGAGATGGGATGGGAGGGGGAAAATTCCTTTGAGCTGGAGCAGTAGATTAGGGGTAGAGTGACTTGGAAGATGGCCAATGAGTGCAGAGGAGTGGGGAAAGGAAAGGGAGGGTTTTGGGTCAGCAAGTCAGTGTTGACTGCGATGGAGTCGGAGTTAGAATGTCGTGCTGAATAAATGGGAGTTTTTCATCAAAGACTTTGTTTGAAATGCAATTTATTTGAGACGACCTCGAAACCTGACACAGGAGACCCTACACCATTTCAGACAGGTGGCTGTCCAGTCTCTTATTAAAATCCTCCAGTGATGAAGCATCCACAATTTTTGAAGGCAAAGCTGTTCCACTGGTTAATTGTCCTCACTGTTAGGAAGTTTTTCCTTAGTTCTAGGTTGCTTCGCTCGATTAGTTTCCATCCATTACTTCTTGCCCTGCCTTCGGGTGCTTTGGAAAATAGGTTGACCCCCTCTTCTTTGTGGCAGCCCCTCAAACACTGGAACACTGCTATCATGTCAACCCTAGTCCTTCTTTTCTCTAGCCTAGCCCTACCCAGTTCCTGCAACTGTTTGCACGCTTTTAGTTTCCAGGCCTTTAATCATCCTAGTTGCTCTTCTCTGCATTCCCTTGGTCTATTCATCTAAACACTTCGTTGCATGATGATGATGATGTGGTTATTTTTATTACCAGTCAGGGAATCATTTCCAAAAATATAAGGCCACCCAGAGTCATGTATTTGAGATGGATGGCCATATAAATTAAATGAATAAACACACAGACAGACAATGAGAGAAAATTACTTGCTTGTCTAACTTAAGATCATCTATGGAATTTTTCTCACCTTCACTATCTTTTGCCTGGTCGAAAGGGATGGCTTCCTCTTCCTTTTTAACTCTAACTGGGTCAAAAAGAAGGGCGCTGGCCTGCAACTTCTGCAGATCTTCCTTTTGACTCATCCTGGACATCGGAACATCTTCATGGAAAATTTTTTTGAAAAGGGGTCACCAGTTTTTCATCCAGCCTGTTCTCATCTTCTTTGGGAAGACGGTATTCCACACATGGCTTCCTAATCAACGAGAGGCAACATTTCTAATCAATGTGAGGCAAAATTAGAAAAGCATCGCCCAAAACTTTGCCCCCAACTTTGCCGACAACAATGCCGGTCAACCTCACCAAAAGGCAACATCAGGAATAACGATACTGTTGGAATAATGGGAGTTATAATCCAACAAAATTGCAAGAGGGGCAGTTAGCTGAGACTGATGGAAGCACAACTTTATTTCATCCACCATATTGTCTGGGAATTCTGGAAGTTGGGGTTCCTCAAATATCTGGAGATAGCAGGTTAAGAAAGGCTACATTTCAGCTGAGTTTCATTTTTCTCTCTCTTGGGTTCAGTGTTTCTGAAACAAGCAATCATGGGATAATCAATACCGACATCCTGTATTTTATTTATTTTTCACATTTTTGAATCGCTCATCTCCTTCAAAACTCTTCTCTTCCAGGTTATTGAATTTATGAAGACAAGGCCTAGATTCACAATCTAACCCTCCCAAACTACCACCTCTTACAATACTAGACAACACATTGTCTAGTAGAGACCTTCAAATTTCTAGGTTCTATCATATCTCAAGACCTAAAATGGACACCTAACATCAAAAACATCATCAAAAAAGCTTAACAAAAAATGTTCTTTGTGCGCCAATTCAGGAAACTCAAACTGCCCAAGGAGCTGCTGATACAGTTCTACAGAGGAATTACTGAGTCTGTCATCTGCACCTCCATAACTGTCTGGTTTGGTTCGGCAACCCAACAAGATAGACACAGACTTCAGAGGATAATTAGAACTGCAGAAAAACCAATTGCTACCAACCTACCTTCCACTGAGGACTTGTATACTGCACGAGTCAAAAAGAGGGCTGCGAAAAGATTTACAGATCCCTCGCATCCTGGACATAAACTGTTTCAACTCCTACCCTCAAAACGACGCTATAGGGCACTGCACACCAGAACAACTAGATACAAGAACAGTTTTTTCCCCTAACGCCATCACTCTGCTAAACAAATAATTCCCTCAACACTGTCAAACTATTCACTGAGGCTGCATTACTATTGCTATTGGTCTTCTCATCGTTCCTATCACCCATCTCCTCCCACTTATGACTGCATGACTGTAACCTTGTTGCTTGTATCCTTACGATTTATATTGATATTGTTTCTTGATTGCTTATTTGTACCCTATGACTATCATTAAGTGTTGTACCTTATGATCCTTGATGAAGGCATCTTGTCTTTTTATGTACACTGAGAGCATCTGCACCAAAGACAAATTCCTTGTGTGTCCAATCACACTTGGCCAATAAAGAATTCTATTCTATTCTAAGAGACAGGATAGTTTAATGGAGAGATAGAGCCAGTTTGGTGCAGTGGTTGAGGCCAGAAGACCAGGAGGCAGTGAATTCTAGTCCCACCTCAAGCATGAAAGCCATTGGGTGACTTTGGGCCAGTCATTCTCTCTCAGCCTAACTCACTTCGCAGGCTGTTGTGTGAAAACAAGGAAGCAGAAGGATTAGATATGTTTCCTACTGAAAACATATACATAAAACAAATATTATAAAAGGGGGAATAAATATAATAGGATGATGGGTGGAATGAATCAGTATTGAGACTGAGTTCACATATGTCAAGTCATGGACTGTAATGATATGTGGGAATGGCCTTGGGAGAACAGGAGAAATACCCACTGCCTGGGCAATGGTCGTATAAGAGGCAGCTCAGGCCACAAATTGGAAGAACACATGGGAAGGATTTCAGTTTTCCAGAGAGGAAAAAATGAGGAGGGGAGAAATACTTATGGTCTTGCAAAGTTACCTCACAAAACAGTTAGTCTTCAACTTACAACCACAACTGAGGCCACCATTTCTAAGTGAGACAGTTGTTAATTGAGTTTTGTCCCATTTTACGACCTTTCTTGCCACAGTCATTAAGTGAATCACGGCAGTTGTGTGGTTAGAAACACAGTTGTTTAGTGGATCTGGCTTCCCCTTTGAATTTGCTTGTCAGAAGGTCGCGAAAGGGAGTCCCATGACCCCGGGATACTGCAACCGTCATAAATATGAGTCAGTTGCCAAGCGTCCGAATTTTGATCACGTGACCATAGGGATGCTGCAACAGTCATAATGCGAAAAGCAGTCATCAGTCACTTTTTTCAGTGCCGTTGTAAATTTGGTCACTAAACGGACTGTTGTAAGTCGAGGACTACCTGTAAAATAGAATTAATTCATCTGGGCGTGCTTCTTATCTGGACTACTTCACAAAGCTGATGTAGACCAAATCACAAACACAGAGTAAATTACAGCAAAACATACCAAGGATATTATGGTGAGGCATGACAAGTTGCCGGAATTGGGTATGTCTTGTTAATGAGAAGAATAATTAGGGATGGCATGATAGCAGCATTCCAATCTCTCAGGGATTGGCACAAAGAAGAGGTAGTCAAGCTATTCTCCAAAGCACCTGAGGGCAGGAGAAGAAGCAACAGATGGAAACGAGTCAAGGAGAGACGCAACCTAGAACCAAGGAGAAATTTCCTGACAGTTAGAACAATTAATCAGTGGAGCGGCTTGCCTCCAGAAGTTGGGAAGGCTCCAACACTGGAAGTTTTTAAGATGAGATTGGACAACCATTTGTCTGAAATGGTATAGAGTTTCCTGCCTGAGCAGGGGGTTGGACCAGAGGGCCTCCAAGGCCCCTTCCAACTCAACTCAACTCAACTCAACTCTATTCTCTATTCTATTCTACTCTACTCTACTCTTACTCTAATTCTACTCCTACTCTAAATTCTAATTCTATTCTACTCTACTCTAGTCCTAATCTAATTCTACTCCTACTCTAATTCTACTCTACTCTACTTTACTCTACTCTAGTCCTACTCTAATTCTACTGCTACTCTAATTCTACTGCTACTCTAATTCTACTCTACTCTACTCTACTCTAGTCCTACTCTAATTCTACTCCTACTCTAATTCTAATTCTGTTCTACTCTACTCTAGTCCTACTCTAATTCTACTGCTACTCTAATTCTATTCTACTCTACTCTACTCTTACTCTAATTCTACTCCTACTCGAATTCTAATTCTATTCTACTCTAGTCCTAATCTAATTCTACTCCTACTCTAATTCTACTCTACTCTACTTTACTCTACTCTAGTCCTACTCTAATTCTACTGCTACTCTAATTCTACTCTACTCTACTCTACTCTAGTCCTACTCTAATTCTACTCCTACTCTAATTCTAATTCTATTCTATTCTACTCTAGTCCTACTCTAATTCTACTGCTACTCTAATTCTATTCTACTCTACTCTACTCTTACTCTAATTCTACTCCTACTCTAGTCCTAATCTAATTCTACTCCTACTCTAATTCTATTCTACTCTACTTTACTTTACTCTACTCTACTTCTACCCTAATTCTACTGCTACTCTAATTCTATCTACTCTACTCTAGTCCTACTCTAATTCTACTCCTACTCTAATTCTGCTCTAATCCTATTCTAACCCTATTCTAATTCTACTCTACTCATTCTTATTTTTATTCTATTGTGAACCCAGCCACTCTCAAGTTCCTTACCCTTTTGGGGAAAAAAAAAAACCTGTTTTCATAGTTTGGAGGAGGAAGATCGCGGACTCACATCAACATCTCAAGGATGCTTCCGAACCAGAGGAACCGTCCCCACGATCCTCTTTGCCCGGGTCACCTCCAGCAAAAGGTGTTTTGAGCATCCCTGATTCCGCAGAGCGTCCTGCGCACCTCTGCGCTTCCCAGCTGCAATTCGTCCAGCAAAGTGGCTAAGCCCTAAAACAGTGTTTCTCAACCTTGGTAGCTTGAAGATGGGTGGACTTCAACTCCCAGAATCCCCCAGCCAGCAGCGCTGGCTGGGGGATTCTGGGAGTTGAAGTCCACCCATCTTCAAGCTACCAAGGTTGAGAAACACTGCCCTAAAAGGATCTGGGAGACTCCAAACCTAGAGGGACTACAACTCCCATCACCCCCATGGCCAAATGTGTCTCGATCTTGGGCTCTCTCTCACTCTCTGTGACCCACGCTTGCTCTTCCCAGCCGCTTCTCCCCTCCATCTTCTCTCTCTCGTTCCCTCCCGCGGGCTCCACCTTTCCCTTTGTTTTGCGCAAAGGCGAAGAAGCTCGGCTCACCTTCCTCTCTGCCAGGCAGCTTGGCCACGCCCCCTTCCCCCCCTCCTCCCTCGGAAAAGCCGCCACCTTCTTTCGATTCCGCCGGTTCCGCTTCAAATGCCGGTGGCTCTCTAGGAATCCACGCTCGGTGAGTTTAACCCTTAAGGGGTTGATGATTATATTATATAACGGGGGGTCTCTCCAATCTTGGCCACTTTTAAGACTTGTGGACTTCAACTCCCAGAATTCCTCAGCCAGCTTTGCAGGCAGAGGAATTCTGGGAGTTGAAGTCCACAAGTCTTAAAGTGGCCAAGGTTCGAAGCAACCTGGTCTAACCCAAATATGGGAAGGAGCATACGGCTTCTTTTTCGCCTTTCAGCCCAATCCAGGAGCCTTCAGGCAGTCGCTTTCTGGACAAACTATTTTGTGTTAAATTTATATTTACTGACAAATATCCCAGAGGCTAGCTGATGAGTGTTAAATAGCTTGAAATTTATTTATTTATTTATCTATCTATCTATCTATCTATCTATCTATCTATCTATCTATCTATCTATCTATCTATCTATCTATCTATCATCTATTTATTTCAGATTTCTATACCGCCCTTCTCCTTTCGGACTCAGGGTGGTGAACAGCCAAATATAAAACATTCATACACAAAAGTTAAAATAGATCTATTCTAGTCTCCCTTTATTTCTTTGTCAGTAAATATACTGTATAGAGAGAGATATAGAGATAGAGATATATCTCCATATATAGAGATATATATTAGATATAGATATATGTGTAAGAAGAAATATCCTTCTGGGTTCAGCTCCAAGTGGGGAAAAAGACACTGGAAACATGGAGACTGCTTGGAAAGATGGTTTAATGGTGGACAGGATCACATGGTTTGAGTTCCTGAACAGAAAAGGGGGAAGATGCTGCGAGTCCCTGGGTTTTATGCTCTCGCTGGCTTTGAACTTCCTGGGGCCCAGAAAGAGTATCCTGATTGGTTGTCAGACTCCCAGGGGGTGAGGGTCTTAGCTGGCCTTGCTGGCTGACGTAATCTTCCCAGATGCCATGTGGTGAATTTCTGTTGCTAGATGGGTCCCATTGTGTTGCAGATAGATAGATAGATAATTTTATTTTTATACTGCCCCTCTCCCGAAGGACTCGGGGCGGTGCACAGCCAAGTAAAAAACACAATACAATACAAATACACAATACAAATCCCAATTAAATTTAAAAATTATTAAAATTATTACATTTACGGCCAATTCGTTAAAAACCCAAAAATTTAAAACTCTGAATTTAAAACTCCTTTACAAAGATAGCCCTGCCTGTCGGAAGAGCAGGGTCTTGAGGGCACAGAGAAAAAGTTGGAGGTCAGAGATTGTGCGTATTTCCGGGGGCAGTTCGTTCCAAAGGGCAGGAGCTCCCACAGAGAAGGCTCTCCCCCTGGGTGTCGTCAGCCGACATAGTTTGGCCGACGGCACCCTGAGGAGTCCCTCTCTGTGGGAGCGAACTGGTCGGTGGGAGGCTATCGGTGGCAGAAGGCTGATGATGGTCCATTGACAAAGATGGGAGGGAATTGAGTTTCTGCCTCTGGCCCATTGACAAAGGCCCATTAGAGGGTGGGCAAGAAGGTGGGAGCTGCTTCGTCTTTAAAACATGCTTCTCCATTTCTCATACAGGGAAACATAATATTCTGCCTTTTTAATATTTCCTAAAATATTTCATTCTTCTAGGAAAGGAGGGGTGGGTGCTAACTTCCTACATATGGATACACACACACATGGATGGAGATAGATAGATAGATAGATAGATAGATAGATAGATAGATAGATAGATAGATAGATAGATAGATAGATATTTTTTTGAACCCTGCTTGGCCTTATTGCCATGCGCTCAAAATAAGTTGGACAACACCCCACCACCCTTCTTCTTCAACCAAAATGGCCTTTTCCAGGTTGTTGAGAGAGAGAGAGAGAGAGAGAGAGATTAAAAAAAAGGGATTTTAAAGGAGAGGAAAACAGAGGTTTGTGCTTCCTGTAATCCAATCCCCTTTGCTAGATAAAACAGGCAGAGGGAGTTCCCTAATTTATGCCAAGGGAGGGGCTGGCAGCCTGCAAGCCCTTTCAGGGGATTCCCTTCTTCTCTGCCCAACCCACCTCTTCCCCTTTTGCAAAATTCAAAACACCCAAGTGTATACAAACACACCCACGCACATGGAGGTGGGAGGGGACCGCCTTGGCTCGCCTTATCAGTACACCTCTTTCTAATAATCCTCATCTTATTGCCAGGTGATAAAAGAAACCCCTTCCTTTGATCTGTGGACTTTGATCTTTTGTTGCCAGATTAGTTTACAACCAGGTGTTTAAATGGAGCCTCTAGCTGCTGCATCATCATCATCATCAAGACTGAGGGCAGGAAATAGGGCTTCTGGAAGTCATCTTGAGCCTAGAAGTAACTCAGCCCCACAAGAAGGACCCATTCATTTCATTTCATTTCATTTCATTTCATTTCATTTCATTTAATTTGGATACCGCCCTACTCCCGAAGGACTCAGGGCGGTGAACAGGCACAGAATAAAACACGTAAAATACAAAAATTAAGAGCAGAAATAAAATCGAATTAAATCAATTTAGCCCAAGACAAATTTAAAACCCCAGGTTAAGAACAAATTAAAATTTACAATAAAATTTACATTAAAAAAAGAATGGGAAAGGTTAGGCCAGGCCCGCCTGGTGAAATAAAAAGGTCTTAAGAGCGTGGCGGAAGGTGCGTAGATCTGGGATCCTCCGTATCTCTGGGGGGAGCTTGTTCCAGATAGTAGGTGCCCCCACAGAGAAGGCTCTCCCCCTGGGGGCTGCCAGCCGACATTGTTTGGCCGACGGCACCCGGAGGAGTCCCTCTCTGTGAGAGCGAACCGGCCGGTGGGAGGCCATTTGCGGCAGCAGGCGGTCCCGTAAATAACCAGGCTGGATTACCAGTGGTAGGTCTTGCTAAAGGAGATAAGAGTCCATTTTCTCAGATGGAAAGGAGCCAACCCAAACAGAGCTCAGGGAGAACCCCAAGGCCTTCCTGGCCTCCTTTGAGCAAGTTGCCAAAGCCTTCTGGTGGCCTAAGGGAGAGTGGGCAGCTCAGCTCCTGCCAGTTCTTTGTGGAGAAGCCCAGATTATTCTGTCTGGCCTGGAAGCTGGAAACCTAGAGGATTATGGAAGGATCAAGGCTGCCATCCTACAAGGAGAAGTTCAGCGAGTAGAAGCTCAGCGCCTGCAGTTCCGTCATTTTCACTATCAGGGGATTGAAGACCCTCAGAGGGTTTACAGACGTCTCCGGGAGCTTTGCTATCAGTGGCTGAAGTCATAGAGACACACCAAGGAGGAGATCCTGGAGTTGTTGGTCCTGGAGCGGTTCCTGGCCATCTTTCCAGCAGAAGTCAAAACCTGGGTGTCAGCGAGGAACCTCCAGCAGGGCATTCAAACGATGGCCTTGACGGAGGAGTTCCTGAGAAGCTACCAAGAGGCTACAGCAGGGGATCAGATGAATTTCAACCTTAGTGGGATGTCTACTTTTGGAGATTTGGGGTGGGTTGGGGGGTGGGGAGAAAGAGACCAGCTGATCAGTAGGGATAATTTTTCTAAGTTAGAATCCCATATTTAGAAAGGAGCATCATGGTAGCCACTAAGATCAGTTCAGGAATCGAGATTTAAGCATTCTTGACAGGCAGCTGCCTAACCTCGATTCAAAGCCAACGGGAGGCCACTATTGACCTCTTTGGATACCAGCCAGTCTGTGAGAACTGCCAGCAACATCCATATTGCTTGGCAGGCAGATAGGTGTTTTGCCCCAGCTACGGACCCCAAAGAACGCAGCACACACAAACTCTATACAAAGCTTATTTTACTCAAATAACTCAGTCTTTATCAACCAAAGGCTGTTAATAAACTGTCTTAACAGCCTGCAAGAATTCTGAGATAAGGTAATCACAGTCTTACTAGAGTTGACAGAAAGCTCAAAAGCAATTTTGCAGAGAATCCAGACGCGAAGGAGAGTGAACTAAAGTTGTTCCCTACAACTTGCTGCAATCGGCGTTCCTCCTTAAATAGGCTAAGGGAGTGGCCAATTAGCCCCAAGGCTTACTCTCGAGGAGGTGGTATTTGCCGGTTCTCCAAACTACTCAAAATTTCCGTTACCGGTTCTCCAGAACCTGTCAGAACCTGCTGGATTTCACCCCTGATTTAGAGTGATCATCATAGATTGGACTGAGTTGTTCCCTATCCAAGGTTGAATTAAATTAACATTGCCATCACTTGCATAAAGGAAAGGAAGAAATCATCGGGGGCAATAATTTAAAAAAAACAACAAAATCTTATTTATTTATTACATTTATATGCTGCCCATCTCACTATCCAAATTGACTCTTAGTCGCTCTGAGAAATCATAGTCCCGTTAAAAGGGAAAGAGGGAAAGAATTCAGGAAGAGCAATAAATTCCTCAAGGAGAACAAAAAACATAATCTTTTTTTCTGTTCTTTTCCTACGTTTCCAAAATGGGCTTGTCCTTCCTGAACCAGGCATCACCTCCACTCAGGAGCCACAGCAAGAAGAGGCAACCCAGTTCGTCGAGAGCTGTAAGGTCAAAGAAACAATTCCAGGTTAGAGATCCGAAATTCTCTGTACCAGGGGTACTATTCAGCAGGTTCTGACAGGTTCTGTAGAACCGGCAGCGGAAATTTTGAGTATTTCGGAGAACCGGCAAATACCACCTCTGGCTGGCCCTAGAGTGGGGTGGGAATGGGGATTTTGCAATATCCTTCCCCCAGGAGTGGGGAGGGAATGAGGATTTTGCAGTATCCTTCCCCTGCCACGCCCACCAAGCCACGCCCACAGAACTGGTAGTGCAAAAAAAATTGAATTCCACCACTGCTCTGTACCCTTCCCTGGTCCCTTCCCATTGACAAAGTCTCCTGTTCAGGTGCTGAATGCCTGAATTTTTTGGAAGGAGCAAATGTACCTTCCAGTCAGAGGTGGGTTTCAGCAGGTTCTGACCAGTTCTGGAGAAACTGATAGTGGAAATTTTGAGTAGTTTGGAGAACCGGTAAAAACCGGTAAAGAGCCTTGGTAGTACAAGGGTTTAAGGCACCCTGTTATTAACCAGCTTAAGACCAGCTGCCTGCAATTACTGCAGGGTTCGAATCTCGCCAAGGCTCAAGGTTGACTCAGCCTTCCATCCTTTCTAAGGTAGGTGAAATGAGGACCCAGTTTGTGGGGGCAATACGCTGACTTTGTATAAATATACAAAAGGATGAAGGCTATTGCTGAGCACATTATAAGCCGCCCTGAGTCTTCGGAGAAGGGCGGCATATAAATCAAAATTTAAAAAAAAAAAAAAAAAAAACCACCTCTGACTGGTCCTGCCCCCATCTATTCTCTGCCTCCTGAGTCCCAGCTGATCGGGAGGAAATGGGGATTGGGGAGGGAATGGAAATTTTACAGTATCCTTCCCCTGCCACGCCCACCAAGCCATGCCCACCAAGCCACACCCACAGAACTGGTAGTAAAAAATTTTGAAACCCACCACTGCTTCCAGCTGCAATAATTTAATCCCAAATTTAAAATCAATCCAGTTCACTGTAGTCATTATCTTTTGCATCTGGTTGTGCTTTTTCAAAAAGAGCCTTTGTGGCGCAGCAGACTAAAGTGCTGTTAAATAGCACCAGCTGCCTGCAATTACTGCAAGTTCGAATCTCACCAGGCTCAAGGTTGACTCAGCCTTCCATCCTTCTGAGGTAGGTAAAATGAGGACCCGGATTGTGGGGGCAATAAGCTGACTTTGTATAAAAAAGAACACCGCTTGGGGGGCCCCGAAAGCCCTACTAAGCAGGTATATACAAAAATATGAAGGCTATTGCTTAAAAGCATTGTAAACCGCCCTGAGTCTCTGGAGAAGGGCGGCATATAAATCGAACCAAAAAATAAAATAAAATAATAAAATAAAATAAAATAAAATAAAATAAAATAAAATAAAATAAAAATAAAATAAAATAAAATAAAATAAAATAAAATAAAATAAAATAAAATAAAATAAAATAAAATAAAATAATAAAATAAAATAAAATAAAATAAAATAAAATAAAATAAAATAAAATAAAATAAAATAAAATAATAATAAAATAAAATAAAATAAAATAAAATAAAATAAAATAAAATAAAATAAAATAAAATAAAATAATAAAATAAAATAAAATAAAATAAAATAAAATAAAATAAAAAAAATAAAATAAAATAAAATAAAATAAAATAAAATAAAATAAAATAATAAAATAAAATAATAAAATAATAAAATAAAATAAAATAAATAAATAAAATAAAATAAAATAATAAAATAATAATAAATAAATAAATAAATAAAATGGGGGGGGCAGTGGGAGAAAACGAGGACAGAAATGTAAAATGAATTGCAGCATTTAAAAAGATGACGTAAAGGATTTTCCTTTTTCTTTTTAACAAAAGTCGTCAAAATAAGAGTTATTTACTTATTTATCTATACGGGTAGTCCTCAATTTATGACCACAATTGAGCCCAAAATGTATGTTGCTAAGGGAGACATAGAAGGGTCCTCTCACTCACACACATACAGGGACACACACATTTCCCTCACTTTTCTGGGCTTTAAAGTTAATGTATGCCGATTATAGTGTAACCTGCAAAGCGACAATAAAGTCCATAAATCCCTATTATGACCGGTGTCATTTCAGCGGTCCCACGTCGAATTTTGCAGTAGCCGCTTTTCCTCTTTTTTTTTGTCCCTTCCGCCTTTCCGTAGCCGAGTCCTGACGAAACTACAGTTCCCGGCATGCTCGGGGCGAAAGGAAGTGACGCGTCACAGAGCGAGAGGAGAGAGAAAGGCCGGTGCGCGCCCTATGGACGTCGCCTGCTGAATTGGATGTGCCCACTGCAAGAAGAGAGGCGACTGGGTTCCGAGGCTCCGTGGGGCGACCAGCCCGGGGAGCGCTTTCCTCTTTGCCGCCGCCGTCGGGTGCAACCTTGAAGGAAAACTAAGGTGAGAACGGGCTTTTAACCACCGCCCCGGTCCTTGCGGGGGCGGCGAGGCCGGGAAGGTATCCATCTTCCTCCTCCTCCCCCCCCCCCGCCCCACCCGGCGGGGTCTTTCCCGCCCTTGGAAGAGTCGCGCCTGTGCTTTTTTTTTTTAATAGTAAGCATTATTGTTTTGGTTTTCGCCGCCGCCGCCGCCGTTTTCCCCCCCAAGGCCTGGACATCCTTCCCCTCGGCCGGGAAAAAGGCGTCTTTCCAGCCATTTTGAAGGGGGGCGCCAAAACGTGCTTTTTTTTTTTTTCTTTCTTTTTCTTTAGGCCGCCTCGTTTCCTTAGAGGGAGGCTGAGCTTCCATCTTTCCCTTCGGAAGGGGATTCATTTCTTCCCACCCGCCCGGCTTGGTTTTCTTGCTGGTTTGTACCTTGGGCCAGATGATTTAAACATGGATTAGAGGCGGCTTTGGGTGGCAGAAGGTGCCCTATACGCGGCTTTGTATTTCTCCACAGCAGGGCGAGTCCTCGACTTACGACCAACGTCCAGTCCCCCCAACGGTTCCGTGGCTTAAGCGAGACGTTGGTTGAGGGAAATTTTGCCCCCGTTGGACCGCTTTTCTCGCCGCGGTTGTTCAGCGAATCACCGCGGTGGTTAAATTGGCAACCCGGTGGTTAAATGAATCGGGTTTCACACCCCCCATCCCCAACCCGGACTTTCGCTTCGCGGAAGGTCGGCGAAGGGGACCACGTGACCCTGCAAAACGGTCGTAAATCGGAGTCGGTGCTCAAGCATCCGAATGGAAATCGCGGAAATACTGTCGAAAGGGTCGTTAGAGTGTGAAAAACGGGCATAACTCGCTTTTTTTTTTTTTCCAGGGCCGTTGTCACTTGGAACGGTCACTAAGCGAAGTGTTTTGTAAGTTGAGGACCGCCTGTAGAAAATGGGGGATTTATGTCCTGTGTATAGGTAGTCCTCGATTTAGTACAAGTAATCCTGTACTCAATTCATTTAGTGACGATCCAAGTCACAACGGCACTGAAAAAAAAGGCACAAGCGGTTTTCACACTTAACGACCGTTACGGCATTCCCACGGTCATGTGATCCAAATTCAAATCCTTGCCAACTGATTCACATTTATGACGGTGGCGGTATTCCCGGGGTCGTGTGATCCCCTTTCGCCACCTCCTGACAAGCAAACGCCAATGGGGAAGCCAGATTCATTTAACAAGCGTGCTGCTTGATTTAACGACTGCAGTGATTCACTTAACAACGGTGGCAAGAAAGCAATCGTACAATGGAGCAAAACGCACTTTAACAAATGGGTCCATTAGCAACAGAAATTTTGGGCTCAATTGTGGTCATAAGTCAAGGACTAGCTGTATTTCTCAAAGCATGCACTTAAGATTCCTGGAAGTCCTCAAGACCCTCTCTGGGTCCCATAAAATCAGTTTATGTTGAAAAATATTACAGTATTAAAATCCTATCTGACAAGCGTAGTGACGGTTGAATGCATCAGTTTTAATTTTTTAATATGGTAAATATCGGACAAGGTAACCCATACAAACCAAAGGCGTTTTGGGGGTGGGGGTCCTTGGTAGTTTTTAAAAGCAGGAAAGAGCAAAAAGTTTAAAAGTGAATTCTTAAAAATATTTATAAACTCCCATTGAGGAATCGGTTGGACCAGCCAATTGGTCAAGGCTGACTGCATTGTTGATGTATTTATTTTATTTTATTTTATTTTATTTTAATTTATTGATTGATTGATTGATTGATTGATTGAATTTCTATACCGCCCTTCTCCTGAAGGACTCAGGGCGGTGAACAGATTAAGATTTCATATATATATATATATATATAATATATATATATATATATATATATATATATATATTATATATATATATATAATATATATATATATATATATAAACAGTAAATAATAAATTGAGTCAACTTGGTGTTTAATAATTTAATAAGAACGTGAAAGATAGTTATATTTTATTTATCCAATTTATCCCAAAGGCGCTTCTTTCAAAAGGCAACTGGACTTTTGTTTTTTCCTTGAGGATGTTTTAAGGCTGAGTTCTGACTTATATTTTATATAGGGAGAGAATTTCAAACTTTTGAACAAATGTCTTAACTGAACTGTAAAGCCGGGGTCAGAGTTTTCACCCTCTGTCGAACGGCTTGTGAATGAAATAGGTGTGGATTTAGACAAAGCAGCATATTGTTCATTGCCCAGTCAGCCAGATGTTTAGTCTGGTGTTGCCATTTTTATCCCGCTATTGAGTCCTTCCCAAGGTCTTGAGATAAATTGATGCTGATGTTTGATGGTGTTAAAAGTACCTCCATAAGAGTCTGTAGAGATTTCTCAGTCATCCAGGTCATGGTTGTCCCAAAGGTGTTTTTTCAAGAGGCAACTGGATTTTTTTTCTTTAAAGATGTTTCGCTTCTCATCCAAGAAGCTTTTTCAGCTCTGACTGGCTGGTGGGGGAACGGAAGTTTTTATACTCCTTGCAGACAGCTGGTGATTTGCATCCTTTTAGAAGGTCCTTGAGTTGTGGGCACTTGGAGCTTTATCTGTTTTCTCAGCAGGGTGGATTTGATTTAAATCGAGTTGATTTAAATCACAGTTTAAATCATGATTTAAATCATTAGTAAAAAGGCTTGATTTAAATCAACTCGATTTAAATCATAATTTTTAAAGAGCAACTGTCATCTCTGCTCCTCCTTTGACCCACTGTTGACTCACCGATAGTCCCAGTGTTGCAGAATATACAGCCTCCTGCTACATAACTAAGCTCCATTTCATGCTGAATAAACTAAATTATTTATGTATCTTAAATAGAAAACACTCTTACGATGGATTTTTACCTCAAAAGTTTTTTATTAAAATAAATTTGATAAAAATCAAAAAAATCTGATTTTTTTTTATTTTTTTTAAAAAATCATTGATTTTTATCCACCCTGGTTCTCAGGGTCACCTGAGTAGTGCAAATGGTTCCTTTATTCTGCATTTTTTTTTTCTGGAAATCTGTTCATACTCCCACACCATTCGAAGGGTGCTCATCCCAAAGTGTATGGCTAAAAGTCTATGAAGATTCTCAGTCATCTAGGTCATGTTTGTCCCAAATGTGCTTTTTCATAAGGTAAATGTGCTTTTACCTTAAGATTCTTGATGAGCGTATCTTTTCTTTTATGTACACTGAGAGAGTATGCACCAAGACAAATTCCTTGTGTGTCCAATCACACTTGGCCAATAACCTATTCTATTTCATTCCATTCCATGTGCTTTTTCAAGAGGCAACTGGGCTTTCTTGTTTTTCTTTGAAGATGTTTCGCTTCTCATCCAAGAAACTTCTTCCACTCTGACTTGATGGTGAGGAATGGAAGTTTTTATGCTCCTTGCAGACAGCTGGTCATTTGCCGCCTTTTAGAGGGTCCTTGAAGCCACTTGGAGGTTGGTTTGTGTCCTCAGGGTCATCCGAGTAGTGCAAATGTGGGTGTGGAGCCTTTTTTGGAACTGCTGAAAGGGTTCTGCAGTCTACAACTTTTCTGGAAACCCATTCATACTCCCTCACCATTTGAGGGTGTTCATCCCCACCATTCAGTCAGAGCCGAAGAAGCTTCTTGGGTGAGAAGCAAAACGTCTTCAAAGAAAAAAACCAGAAAGTCCAGTTGCCCCTTGAAACGGCACCTTTGGGTGCTTACATCTTCACAAGATGTAAACTATTCCAAATCAAGCTGCCTTTTGCAATTGACTGGTCTGGATTTTGTCAATGTTTATGACGGTGAAGTTGTTCAACTTCACATCAAGGTCAATCCCAGGTGTTTTGGGATTGCACCCAAGGTGTTTGCCTACTACTACTGGTACTATTTTTGCCTTCTTTTGTCACAATGGTTCTTCTACGGGTAGTCCTCGGCTTAAAACAACTCATTTGGTGACCGTTCAAAGTTACGGCACTGAAAAGAGTGACATATGACCGTTTTTGCACAGTTACAATCTTTGCAGCATCCCCATGGTCATGTGATCAAAATTCAGATGCTTGGAAGGGACCTTTAGCACCCCGCGGGCTAGATCTGGCCTGTGGGCCTTGAGTTTGGCACCCTTGACCTACAAGGTCCCTTTCAACTCTGTTAATCTGTTACAAACTGTTACAATTCTGGTCATAAGTGAGGACTACTCGTTTTTCAGGGGTCTAATTAGTATTAATTCTGAAAGATCTCCTGTATGGAGAATTAGTGCAGGGAAAGCGCCTCAGAGGGAGACCACAGCTGCGATATAAGGGTATCTGCAAGAGGGACCTAAAGGCCCTGGGAATGGACATTAACAACTGGGAAACCTTGACCTCTGATCGTTCAGCTTGGAGGCTAAAGACGCAGCATGGCCTTCTCCAATTCGAAGAGACACTTATTCGGCAGGCTGAGGCAAAGAGGCAGTCCTGGAACCAGCAAAATCTGGGGGCTGGGCAGGGGACAGAATGTATCTGCCCTCAGTGTGGAAGGGATTGCCACTCTCGAATTGGCCTTTTTAGTCACACCAGATGCTGTTTTAGGACCTCTTCCCAGAGCACGATACCATAGTCTCTTGAGACTGAAGGATGCCAATGCCAATGAATTAGCATTAAATTATAAATGCCGCTATATAAGAGGTGTTTCTTTTACACTCCAGAATCACACTACTAGCGTTGTTTGCCGAAACAAAACTCTGTATCTGCCATGGGTGATAGGCGTAAACCTTGCATCTGCAAATATTCAGTGCCTGGATATTTTTAGGGATTAGTCAAATTCTTTCCTTAAGCATATTTTAAAAAAAAATAACTTGATGATATCATTCGTAATGTCTAAGAGAAGCCCTATTGAGTCAGTATTTATTTCTAATGCATCTCCTACGAGGGTTGAAAGCTTTTTTCTTTTTGGCCTGTTGGCTATTAGTGTCTGCAGAGCCCGTTGTAAGCACTCAAAAAATGGCTGTTGGATATGGATGGTTGCCTCTTCATACAATGGTTGTCATTGCAAATCTGCTTGTTTGCACAACATAGTGGTTGCTCATCATTTTGACAGGCCCCAGGGATGTCCTGTATTAAAATATTCATGTATGAAACGATAGGCCTGTGTTTAACAAATCTCACTGCCGAAAAACTGAAAATACAGTAGTCCTCGGCTTACGACCACAATTAACCCCAACATTTCTGTTGCTAAGTGAGATGTTTGTAAAGCGGGTTTTGCTCCATTCTAAGATCTTTCTTGCCACGGTTGTTAAGTGAGTCGCTGCAGTTGCTTAAGTCAGTAACCTGGTCGTTAAGTGAATCTGGCTTCCCCGTTGATTTCGCTTGTCGGAAGGGTTGCAAAAGGGGATCGCATGACCTTGGGAACTGCCACCGTCAGACCCACCTAAGGTTTAGAGGAGGAAAATAAGGAAAAAAAAATTCTGCCTCTGCCTCCCAGCGTCCATCTGGTATTCATCTGGGTAGCATCCTTGCAGCAAACATCCTGCCTCTTCCGTGTCTGCTGCCTCTGTTTGCAGGGATCGCTGCCTCTGTTTGCTGCCGTTCACCCATATCCACTCCATAAGACGCACAGACATTTCCACCCACTTTTGGGAGGGAAAAAAAAGTGCGTCTTACGGAGCGAAAAATACGATAAATCACATGGCCATGGGAATGCTGTCACGGTCGTAAGTGCGAAAAAAGGTCCTAAATTGTAGGTTTGAACGATCACTAAACAAACTGTTGTAAGTTGAGGGCTACTTCTACTTGCGGTCTGGCAAAAGGAGAAAAGAAAGGGAGAAATTTTGTAGCTTAGAAATTTTGCCTTCCATTCTTAAAAATAAAAAATCTTCTTACAAGCTGTTGTGCACATTTTACAGTGTTATTGAATGTCATACATCCTACAGGTAAAATCTTAAACTCCAGCAAAAAGAATCCCCTTCAGGTGAATGGGTTAGCTTAACGTTCAAATGAATGGGTTAGCTTGATGGCCGTGACCGGGAGGATTTTTCATCAGGTTCGCCTGATTCGCCAGTTGCGTCCCTTTCTGGATCGGGACTCCCTACACACAGTCACTCATGCCCTCGTCACTTCCCGCCTGGACTATTGTAACGCTCTCTACATGGGGCTTCCCTTGAGGAGCACCCGGAGGCTCCAACTGGCGCAGAGTGCGGCCGCGCGGGTGGTTATGGGAGCAACATGGTGCTCCCATGTGACACCTCTCCTGCGCGAGCTGCACTGGCTCCCGGTGGTCTTCCGGGTGCGCTTCAAGGTTTTGGTTACCACCTTTAGAGCGCTCCATGGCTTAGGACCTGGTTATTTACGGGACCGCCTACTACCACAAACAGCCTCCCACCGACCAGTACGCTCTCATAGAGAGGGACTCCTCCGGGTGCCGTCAGCCAAACAATGTCGACTGGCGGCCCCTAGGGGGAGAGCCTTCTCTGTGGGGGCACCTACTATCTGGAATGAGCTCCCCCCGGAGATACGGAGGATCCCAGACCTGCGCACCTTCCGCCGCGCTGTGAAGACCTTTTTATTTCACCAGGCGGGCTTGGCCTAATCCTTTCCCTCTTTTTTAATATGTAAATTTTAATTTGTTTTAAATTATTGGGGTGTTTTAATTTGTCAGGGCCAAAATTATTTAATTCGATTTTATCTGGTTTGTTAAAAAAATTTTGTATCTATGTATTTTATTGTTTGGCTGTTCACCGCCCTGAGTCCTTCGGGAGTAGGGCGGTATACAAATCAAATTAATAATAATAATAACAACAACAACAACAACTGTCACCCTGGTTTAATGACCGTTGCAATCCCTTTGCCATTACTAGGAAAAGAGGCTGGAAATTTACAGGTGTTTCTGGCACTGAGATTGTTGGGAGGAAGCATCAGAGCAGGGAAGCTACTAGTTCTGAGCTGCAGAAATTCAAATTTTTGCAGACCTGGTGAAACAAATGGAAATCAAACAAACATTCTCAATCAGGCGCTAGAGAAAGGCACACAACACAGTGTAAAGCCAATGTTAGTGAGGGAAGGTTGCTGGGGGTAATTGGGAGCATCCAGCCCTGTGGTTAGATCCAGCCCTTTAATTCATTTTATTTGTCGCTTCTTTCAAAAAAAGAGAACTTGTTGGAAAAGGTGGCAGACAGCAGACCCAGTTTCAAAGATGTATCTGCTGGGAAACATCCAAAGGTGCTTTTTTTCAAGAGGCAATTGGACTTCCTTGTTTTTTTTTCTTCGAAGACTCGTCCAAGAAGCTTCTCATCCAAGAAGCTTCTTCAATTCTTGACTGGATGGTACGGAATGGAAGTTTTCAGTTGCCTCTTGAAAAAAAGCATCTTTGGGACCACTGTGACCTGGATGACTGAGGATCTCCATAGAATATCCCCCCACCCCCCATCCTCAAAGGAGAGTTGTAAAGTCTTCTGAATTTTAGGCACCCCTATCATTTTTCCCCTGTGGTTATCCCGATTCCCACACAACCCAAATATTAAAATTGTTATGCGTCAACTGATTTGAGAAAACATGAGTCAAGTTACACAGGCATGATAGAAAAGTTTCTTGCGTTTCTCAAGCTTTAAAAATTTTTTTTTAGAAATCTTTTGTATCTCTCTCCCTCGGTCTTCCTTTCTCTCCCCCTCTCTTTCTCTCCTTACCCCCTCTTTCCCTCCCCTCCCTCTCTCCTCCTTTCTTCTGTCCTTCTCCCCCTCTCTCCCCTCCCTCTCTGTCCTCCCTCCCCCTCTCTTGCTCTCCTTCCCTTCCGTTCTCTCCTTCTTCCCTCTCTTTCCCCCTTTCCCTCCTCTCTCTCCTTCCCTCCCTCCCTCTTTCTTTCTCTCCCATTCTTTCCCTTCCTCCCTCTCTCTTGCTCTCTTTCCCTCCCTCCTTCTCTTTCCCTCCCCTCCTTCCCTCCCTCTCTCCCTCTCTCACTCTTGCTCTCTCATTCTGACATGCTGTCTTTCTTATTTGTCTTCCAGAAAGTCCTCCACACTTCCTTTCCCCTTTATGGGGTTCCTTGGAAGAAAGAACCAAAAACCCTGAAAACTTCAAAAGACGCCAAAACCGCCACAGGAGCTGCAAGGCCCGCCTCCATTTCAGGGCAAGGCACAAAACCATGGAAAAGGGTTTGGAAGGCCCAGGAAAAGTCCCGCGCATTGTCCAGGTGATGTATTTTAAAGGGGGGCCAAGGCAGCCAAACCAACAGCCAGAACCGGCTTTACCCCAGCAGTGGGAAGCCCAGTGGCAGGAATTTCTGAACACGCTGCAACCTGCCAACACGGGGTGGGGAAACCTCCAGTTAACCGATATGGCGCCCTGGGATGACACTCGGGCCTTTCTGATGGCCTTCGAACAAGTGGCCGAAGCTTGCCAGTGGCCCCGAGAAGAATGGGTGCGCCAGCTGCTGCCAGCCTTGCGGGTAGGAATGGAGCAATCCTTCTTGAGACTGGATGCCCGGGATAGGAGCGACTACGCAAAGGTGAAGGCCGCCATCCTGCGAGCAGATGCTTTCCGTATGGAAATGAAACGCCAGCATTTCCGGCAGTGCTGCTACCAGGAGCTGGAAGGACCCCGCAGGGTGTATAGCCAACTCCAGGATCTTTGCCGCCAGTGGTTGAAACCTGAGAGTCACACCAAGGAGCAGATCCTAGAGATGATCATCCAAGAACAGCTTCTGGGAATGCTGCCCGCCGAAGCCCAGAACTGGGTGCGGGAATGCGGGCCGAAGGACTGCGTCGAGATGGTAGCGTTGGCAGAAGAATTCCTGATGGGTCATCGTCACGCACCCAGGACCTCTGATTGGCAGGTAAGGAATGGACATTTGGGACCTGAGTGCTCTTTGCAGGGAGAAGGAAGAGTCCCTGTAGATCAGGGGTCTCCAGCCATGGCAACGTTACAACTGGTGGACTTCAACTCCCAGAATTCCTCAGCCAGTCGTGCTGGCTGAGGAATTCTGGGAGTTTGAGGTCCACGTGTCATAAAGTTGCCACGGTTGGAGATCCCTGCTTGTAGATGCTTCTGTTTCCCATCCAGCCTGTACAGAAGGTAGGAGGAGGAAGAGGACACATCTGGAGGGCCATCCAAGTTGGAGAAGGCTCTTTTGCTGATTAAATACTAGATAACTAAATTTATGAGGTAGCCGGTCCTCAGGATATCCTGGAACCAGAATAATTATGCTATACTGGTGATTATCTGTAGCTCAGGTGTAGGATGAGGGTTAAGAGTCATTCTCCAAGATTGTCAGTGTTGGTGTTCTTCTGCTTATAAAAGGCTTCCTCACAAGACGCTTCACAAGACCCTCACTTAACGTGACCCTCACAAGACCCTTCACATCACTAGACCCACAACTGTCCCCTCACCCCTCACTTGATGTGACTCACACCTGACCCCTCACATCACTAAACCCATACCTGACATGACCGTCCCATCACAAGACCTGCTGACCCCATGAAGCCCTTATAAACAGAAGACAGACCTGATATCCCCTAAACTCAGGGGTGAAATGCTCCTGGTTCGGACCGGATCACCCGATCCGGTAGTGATGGCGGCAGAATCCCTGTCCCCGCCCCCATGCCCATCTGAGCCGTGCGATCATCAGAGGCTTTTTTTCTTTTACTTTTAAAAGCATTTTTTGTACAGCCTCTTCGGCTGAAAAAGTGCTTTTAAAAGTAAAAAAAAAGCCTCTGATGATCCCGCAGCTCAGCTGGGATTGTCAGAGGCTTTTAAAAGCATTTTTTTCTGCAACCTCTTCGGCTGAAGAGGTTGTAGAAAAAATACTTTTAAAAGTTAAAAAAAAAAAGTTGGCCACACCCACCCAGTCCCATTAACCCCACCACCACCATACCATGCCCACAGAACCAGTAGTAACCAACTTTACGTTTCACCCCTGCCTAAACTCCGCTGAAGATGTTACCTGGCCTGATAATGAAACGTTTGGAAACCCAACTCACAAGTCGGAGAACGAACCTTCATCCTCATCCAGGTTTATGAGTTAAGGAGACTTGGCTGGTTGTGTTTGCCCAGTGAATTCAGTCTTGTTAGCTTTAAGCTTGCTTAGCACCTGTAACGTCGTGTGAACCCTGGGGAAAAAAGATGAATTCAGTAACCAAGTGAAGAATTGCATGCACCTGGTCCATATTACTGTATTTTTGGAGTATAAGACGCACCTTCTTCCCCCCCCCTAAAAGGGGGTGATATTTTAGGTGCGTCTTATACACCGAATGTAGCCCAGCCTACCGACTAGTCCCCACCTTTTGGCCTCTGCCTCGCAGCAGTTAAATCCTTGCAAGCAAACAGCAAGAAAAAACAGCTCCTTTCAGCTTCAGTACAGCCTAATTAGCACAAGTTGATTGGATCGGCCTCCCGACACTCAGCTGATTTGCTCTCAGCTGTTTTATGCAGGGCTCTGCAGCTTGCTACAAAGAGGTAAATTGCTGGAGCAGATTTTTTTTTCCTTGTCAAGCTATGCTGAAAACGAAAATGAAAGTAAAGCAGGCTGTTTGCTACAAAGAGGCAAAATTTCTGGGAGGCAGAGGCAGATTTCTTTTTCTTGTTTTCCTCACCAAAAAAAGGTAGATGTCTCTTATACTCTGGTGCGTCTTATACTCCGAAAAATACGGTAATCAATCCCGATGTAATGTTTTCATTGCTGACCATTGCTGAAAAAGCAGAAAATGCAGCGGGGAAGTTATTTACAGCTCGTTCTTTGTCCTTTTTAGGCTCCTTTGCCAGAGGTCTCAGTTAGTTCCCTGGACCCAGAGGGGAGGCAGCACTACAACCCTGGAGGTCAGTTGAAAGGGGGAGGGGGGAAATTGGTTGGTCGGGGAAGGAATTACAGGCTGTCCTCGACTTACGACCATAATTGGTCCCAAAATTTCTGTTGCTAAGTGAGACGTTTGTTAAGTACGCTTTCCCCCCCCCCCATTTTACAACCATTCTCGCCAGAGTGGTTTAGCGAATCACCGCGGTTGATAAATGACACTGTTGTTAAGCGAACCTGGTTTCCCCATTGAGTTTGCTTGTCAGAAGGTTGCAAAAGGGGATCATATGACCCCAGGACACTGCAACGGTCCTAAGTATGAAACAGTTGCCAAGCATCTGAGTTTTGATCACGTGATCGTGGGGAATGCTGCAAAAGGCCGTAACTCCGAAAAACGGTCATAAGTCCCTTTTTTTCAGTGCCGTCGTAACTTTGAACGGTCGCTGAGCGAGCTGTCGTAAGTCGAGGGCTACCTGTACATAAAAGTCAGTAGCTTCGTTTATCAACTTGGGTTGTTTGTTTTCCTAGTGGGTGTGCCTGTTGGTGGATTTATGCCCAGACCACAAACCGGTTGTGCATAAAATATGCCCACACCAACTGACTGAAAAGAAAATAACCCTGACGAGTAAATCCATTGTGGCCCTTTCGCTGAAAATGGGGGAAAAGATTAAATTGACGATTTATGGATTTGCTAATTAAAAAGTATTGATAGAAGAAGAAGGGAACCTAGAGCCATGACGGCGAACCTAGGGCACGCGTGCCGCAGGTGGCACGCAGCACCCTCTCTCTGGGCATGCGAGCCATCAGCCCAGTTCAGCTCCGCCGCACATGTGCACGCACCTCCCGCCAGCCAGCTGGTCGTAGGGTCTCTGCTGCGCATGCGTGGGGTGGGGGCAGGTCAGGTGCGGGGGGTCAGCATGCGCAGGGATGTAGAGGTAGGTCAAAGTTCGTAGTGCCTGCTAACAGCAGCACACTGCCTTAGCTCATGCTCTGTGAATCTTTTCTGCTGGTTCGAATCTCTCCAAGGCTCAAGGTTGACTCAGCCTTCCATCCTTTCTAAGGTAGGTGAAATGAGGACCCAGTTTGTGGGGGCAATAAGCTGACTTATTGTATAAAATATACAAAAGTATGAAGGCTATTGCTTAACCATTGTAAGACGCCCTGAGTCTCCGGAGAAGGGCGGCATATAAATCAAATTAAAAAAAAAAAAATTCTTATCCTCACATTTAGACTATTTCAAGAGCCACGGTGGCCCAGTGGTTAGAGTGCAGTACTGCAGGCTACTTCTGCTGACTGCCGGCTGATTGCAATTTGGCACTTTGAATCTCGCCAGGCTCAAGGTTGACTCAGCCTTCCATCCTTTCTAAGGGAGGTGAAATGAGGACCCAGTTTGTGGGGGCAATAAGCTGACTTTGTATAAAATATACAAAAGTATGAAGGCTATTGCTTAACGCATTGTAAGCCGCCCTGAGTCTCCGGAGAAGGGCGGCATATAAATCAAATTAAAAAAAAAAAAATCTTGCCTGTTTATCTCATTTTGGCTCTGATCTGGATTATTTCACCATTTCACCTTCAGAGGATGGCATCTTGAGAGGAGGGTGAATAATTTGTCCAATTAGAACACTGTTGCTTGCCTGCCTTTTATCTGCCTGTGTAAAACTGTATAAAAATAAAGCTCTCGGGGAGAGCGAGAGAGACATCTTGGAACAGAGCAAAAGCCTGGACCTCTGATTTACAACACAGGGGCAGGGGCGCATGTGGGGGCTGCATGTGCAGGAGGCGGGGCACATGCGCAGGAGCTGTGCGTTGCATTTTGGAGGTTCAGGCATGCGTGTGCTTTGGGCACTCGATCCGGAAAAGGTTAGCCATCACTGACCTACAGCCACCCCATGGCGAAATAAGGGGTGAATAAATTTAATAAATAAAATGTAATGAGGGAGGAGGGTTGTAACAGATATAAAAAAAGATCGGAAGTCACCGCAGGTAGTCGAGTTACGACCACAAACATTTACGTTGCTAAATGGAACATTGGTTAAGTGAGTTTTGCCCCATTTTACAACATTTTCTGGCCACGGTTGTTAAGGAAATCACTGAAGTTGTTAAGTTAGTAACATGGTTGTTAAGTGAATTTGGCTTCCCCATTGACTTTGCTGGGTAGAAGGTCGCAAAAGATTCTTGGACATTGCAACTGCCCTAAATATGAGTCAGTTGTCAAGCATCTGAATTCTGATCCTGGGACCGTTGAGATGCTGCAACGATCATAAGTGTGAAAAATGGTCATAAGTCACTTTTTTCAGCACCGTTGTGACTTTGAACGGTCTCTAAATGAACTGTTGTAAGCCGAGGACTACCTGGATATCATTTTTTACTGTTCTTTGCACTTTTCTGTCCCTTTTTTCTACTTAATTTTTCCCTGTATGTTATGTTTATCTTTTACCTATGTTAGAATTTCTAATAAAAATTATATGCCAATGAAGATAGCACTGATGAGCCAAAGTGTTTAATGTATTGACTTTCTAAGAGGGCAGCGAAAGCTAAATCCTGGATCCCTTTCTCAACTTCTCTTCTTCTGTTTCACAGCCAGTGAAATGACACCCACAAGGAACTCGGTCTTAGGCCACCCATCAACAGCTGGACTGGAAATGGCTGAGACTGGAACCACTGAGGTATGTTGACTCAGTATGGATTTTACCAACTGCCTGAAAAAAAAAAGATGGACTTTTGACTGAAAATGGAAAAAAAAATTGAAGGTGTGATTTATGGATTTCCTAATTAATGAGAATTATTAATAATGTTGATAATGACAAGAGGGGAACCTAGACTAGTCTTAAAACAGAGGTGGAGATGATGGCCTTTTTATGACTTGTGGACTTCATCTCCCAGTGGATGGCTCAGGAATTCTGGGAGTTAAAGGCCACAAGTCCTAAAGGGGTCATCGTCCCCCATGTTGGCTCAGGAATTCTGGGAGTTGAAGTCCACAAGTCATAAAGGGGCCATCGTTCTCCACCTCTACCTTAAAACAAAGTCAGACAAAATGGAGGTTCTCGCGATGATGAGTCACCATTGCAGAAAGGGGTTAGGTCTTCCAAATGAAGTGGGTACCAAGTTTGAAGAAGCTTCTGAAGTCAGATTTCTTTTGTCTCCCAGACTGAAACAATGACCAATTTTCTCTGGAAGAAAATGATCTTCAAATCATTTGGCACGTTCTGCTAAAGCTCACTAGAGCATAAAGTTCATTTGGTAAACAGTCTGGCAGCCAAGTTGATCTCTAAAAATATAAAGCCATGTTAAACTGATTCTAGAACAGGGCTGTTCAACTCGCAGGCTTGATGTGTCGCTTGCCACGCCCATGCCCGGTTTAGCGAAGGAAAGTCCCGATAGGTCACATGACAACGCCGTGACTACACGAGTTTGACACCCCTGTTCTAGAAGTTCTAACAAAATGAAATTCAATGGGGAAAAAAAGTAAAGTTCTACATTTAGAAAAGAAAAACCTATATAGATATAGTATAAGTGGTACCTTGCTCAATAGTGGTGACTGTGAGAGGGATCTTGGAGTCTTAGTGGACAACCATTTAAATATGAGCCAGCAGTGTGCAGCAGCTGCCTGTTCTGTCCCCGTCTCACACATGCACACAAACAGCCAGGGGTTAAATAAAACTTGCAGACAATAAATTCCTTCGATAACAGGATTGGCAGCAACCCAGTAGCTGCTTGCCAAGAACTTTATTCACAGAGAACCAAAACAAATACACAAAGCCACAGAATTGTCAAGTCCAGTCCGTATTAAATCCAAGGCAGGCAGATAACGTAGTTTCAGAGATACAATGCGACTCGCTAGTTGTTTAGTTTTGTCCGTCACAGAGCCTGAATGGCCACCACACCCCCTTTTATCCCCTGTGGGGTGTGGTCCAGTGACTCAGCTTAATCTCTGGCACGCCTCCTTTTCTGCTGCGTGCGCTTGTCTCTCCGATGCTGGCGTGGATCCAGCCAAGACTTATCTCCATCACTGTCCGACTGCGACTGCTCGGCGATACCTGGCTCCTGGCCAATCTCTTCTTCTTCGGAAGACACCTGAGGCATTGCCAGAGAGGAGAGTCCTGGAGAGGGAAGCCTGGCCAACTCCTCTCCTTCACTTTTGGAGCCTTCTCCCTCCGATAAGACAGGCTCGGGGGTCGGAGTCACAACACTGCCAAAAAAGCCAACACAGTTCTAGGCTGCATGAACAGAGGGATAGAATCAAGGTCATGTGAAGTGTTTGTATTGCTTTATAATGCCTTGGTAAGGCCACACTTGGAGTACTACATCCAGTTTTGGACACCATGATGTAAAAAAGATGTTGAGTCCGCAGAAAGAGTGCAGAGCAGAGCATCAACAGATGATTTGGGAACTGGAGGCTAAAACATACCAAGAATGGTTGCAGGAATTCAATATGTCTAGTTTAATGAAAAGAAGGGCTAGGGGAGACGTGATAGCAGCGTTTCAATATCTCAGGGGCTGCCACAAAGAAGAGGGAGTCAAGCTATTCTCCAAAGCCCCTGAAGGCAGGACAAGAAGCAATGGATGGAAACTAATCAAGGAGAGAAGCTACCTAGAACTTTCCTGACAGAACAATTAATCTGTGGAACGACTTGCTTCCAGAAGCTGTGAATGCTCCAACACTGGAAGTTTTTAAGAAGAGACTAGACAACCATTTGTCTGAAATGGTATAGGGCAGTGGTGGCAAACCTATGGCACAAGTGCCAGAGGTGGCACTCAGAGCCCTCTATGGGCATGTGCACCGTTGCCCCAGCCCAGCTCCATCGTGTTTTTCCTGCAGCGGGGAGAGAGAGAGAGAGAGAGAGAGAGAGAGAGAGAGAAAGAGAGGGGGGGAGGGAAAGAGAAATGATATTGTTGCTAAACGTAATATTTCAAAAGCTGAAAAAAAATGAAAGGGCATAAAAGTGCATTTATCACATTTCTCTTAGAACTCTGAACTCTGCGTTGCTTATCATTATTTTAGGTAGTAAAACACTATCCAGGTTTAATTGCCGTGTTGGCACTTTGCGATAAATAAGTGGTTTTTGGGTTGCAGTTTGGGCACTCGGTCTCTAAAAGGTTTGCCATCACTGGTATAGGGTTTCCTGCTTGAGCAGGGGATTGGACTAGCAGATCCCTCCCAACTCTTGTTATTCTGTTATTAGTATTACATACTGACTCTGCTTCTGGATGAAATTGAAATTGCTCTCTAATTGTCAGTTCCATGTTAGTCAGAAGACAAATTCCTGTGCCAAATGTGTCTTTTAAGAAGATGCTTGAGAGAACTGAACCTGGCGTTCTTCCCTCTTTCAGGAGCCTGTACGTGTGAAGGAGGAATTGGGTCTTGATCAGAAGCCCTTACACTGGGAAGTCATGCATCGGAGTGGCGGCAGCTCCAGTGCTTTGGGTGAGTATCTTTCATCTTGTTATACTCAGGCCCACGTTTGCTTTCCAAGAGTTCACACATGACTAGATGCATTGAGAAGGGTGTCAAGGGTGGCCTTAAGACAGTGTTAAGCAAGTTACCTCAGTAACTTTTAAGAAGTGTGGACTTCAAATCCCAGAATTCCCCAGCAAGCATGATTGGGGAATTCTGGGAGTTGAAGCCCACCCAGGGGTGAAACCCAGCAGGTTCTGACAGGTTCTGGAGAACTGGTAGCGGAAATTTTGAGTAGTTCAGAGAACCGGCAAATACCACTTCTGGTTGGCCCCAGAGTGGGGTGGGAATGGAGATTTTGCAATATCCTTCCCCCAGGAGTGGGGAAGGAATGGGGATTTTGCAGTATCCTTCCCCCGCCACACCTACCAAGCCACACCACGCCCACCAAGCCACGCCCACAGAACCGGTAGTAAAAAAAATTGGATTTCACCACTGAGCCCACCCCTCTTAAACTCACTGATTGAGAAAAAGTGTATTAAACCATATTCGCCGTGGCCAATTTGACACGGGACAAGAGTTACACTAATATCGAAGAATCATTAAAGAAAGGGTGCCAAAGGAGGGACAAAATGAAATGTGAATGACAGAAATTAAAAATAATTTTTAAATTATTTTTAATCATTAAATTGAATTATTGAATTGTCCCACAGTGAGTTGTCCTGTGCTGAATTGGTCGTGGCAAGTTGTCCCATTCCATTCTGGCCCTGGTTTTACAACCTAAGATTTATGACCGTGATAGTCTGGCTCTATTATGGTCATAAGTCAAGGATTACCTATATGCCGTTTCTGTATGTTGAAGGCTCTGATAAACTAGTGCCAACTTGGAGTTTGAGGCATTCCAGTTTCAAAGCATCTTGACAGTACAGGGAGTCCTTAACAACCACAATTGAGCCCAAAACTTCTGTTGTTAAGGGAGACATTTGTGAAGAGAGTCTTGCCCCATTTTATGACCTTGCTAGCCACAGTTGTTAAGTGAATCACTGCCGTTGATAAGTTAGTAACTCGTTTGTTAAGTGAATCTGGCTTCCCCATTGACTTTGCTTGTCAGGAGATCGCAAAAGGGGATCACATAACCTCAGGACACAGCAAGTCGTAAATATGAATCGGTTGCCAAGCGTCTGAATTTTTATCACATGGTCATGCGGATCCTGCAAAGTTCGCAACTCTGGGAAATGGTCATGTCACTTCTTTCAGTGCTGTTGTAACTTTGAACGGTCACTAAATGAACCGTTGTAAGTCGAGGACTACTTGTATTGTTTTTAACAACGATTGGTGCGTCTACCAAATCCTGTTGTTGTCGTTAATTCCAGAATCAGTTGTCTAGTATTCCAGAGACTTAGAGGAGCCCTATCTACCTTGGACAGGGACGCCGTGGCTCAGTGGCTAAGACGCTGAGCCTGTCGATCGGAAGGTCGGCAGTTCAGCGGTTCGAATCCCTAGTGCTGCGTAACGGGGTGAGCTCCCGTTACTTGTCCCAGCTTCTGCCAACCTAGCAGTTCGAAAGCACGTAAAAAATGCAAGTAGAAAAATAGGGACCACCTTTGGTAGGAAGTTAACAGCGTTCCGTGAGCCTTTGGCGTTTAGTCATGCCGGCCACATGACCACAGAGACATCTTTGGACAGCGCTGGCTCTTCGGCTTTGAAACAGAGATGAGCACCGCCCCCTGGAGTTGGGAAGAACTAGCACATATGTGCGACGGGAACCTTTACCTTTATCTTTATCTATCTTGGACTTTCCCAAACACTGAAGTCTTTTAGGCCAGGAGTCTTAAAATATTATTTCCTTTCAGATGGGAGGAGACTTACTCTCAGTTATCCTGACTCCCTATCTGTTTGTTCTCTTTCTCCTCCTTTGCCTGTTTTTCCACCAGAAGGACTCCTGGTTCCTACACCCGAAGTCGACTCCCAAATTGATCAACCACAAGCCACCTTCCAGGAAAGGCCTGAACACGGGGACCAAATTCCTGACGCCCTGTTTGGTAAGTGTGTATGTTAATGCAAGTTAAACAGCGATGCAAGTTAAAAGAAATGAAAACAATGTATAAATTCAAGATACATCCCTGGGAATATTAAGGCTGTGTGAATGAATGGCAGGATCCAGTCTGGGTCGGTTACCGGGACCAGAGGTTTAGTCTTCCAAGCTTTCTGAGCCTTTCCATAGGGAATGTCTCTCCAGTGGGGCTCTTCTCTGTGTGGTATTTATATGGTGCCTGGTTGTGGGGGGGCTTTTTAGTTGCTGATTGGTGGGTTGATGGCCAGCTATTGAATCATTGGCTGTTGTTTCCTTGTGCTGCCAAGCGGATGCTTCCTAAGTACCGTATTTTTCAGACTATAAGACAAGAGGGACTTGGCACCAAAGGCTCCACTCTCGAGATGCCCCTGTCTTCCTACCTATAGCCGTAGACGTTGAAAGCCTGGCTTTCTCGCAGCAAGGCCCCATAGAGACACAGCACTTCAGTCCTCCTAGACCAGTGATGGCTAATCTTTTTGCCATCGCGTGCCAAAAGCGTGGGGTGCGTGGGGGGTCGCGGGTGCGTATGCTCACATCCATAATTCAATGCGCCCCGCCCTCCCGCGCATGTGCACGTGACCCCCCCTTCCCTCTGCTTTTGACACGTGATAGGTAGGGTTTTTCCCCCTCCCCAGGCTCCAGAGGCTTTCTAGGAGCCTGGGGAGGGCAAAAAAAGCCTTCTCCATCCCCCCGGAGGCCTTCCACAGGCCGGAAACAGCCAGTTTCCAGACTTCCGGTGGGAGTGGAAGGCCTGAAAATCAGTTGGCCGGTGCGCGCATGTGCGCTGGAACTGAGCTAGGGCAACACTCGCGTGCCCACCAATATGGCTCCGCGTGCCACCTGTGGCACGCGTGCCATAGGTTCGCCAGCACAGTCCTAGACGCTGCCATCTCGTAAACACGGTGCCAGGCTTCCCGGAAAGCCCCCTGTGCCTTTGCTGCCTCGGTCGGAGCCTGATTCCGGAAGCGGCCTGGGGAAGCACGGAAGTCGGGACTCAGTTGGTGAAGCGGGTGCTGCGCAGGGCGCATAAGGCAAGGTACTGCCACCCGAAAACACTGTTGCCTCAATCACCGCTGCCTGGAGATCTCCGCTCCAAAAACGGGGCGTGCGGAGGCAAAAAAAGAGCATTGCGTTTTCGGGCGGTTCCAGGCAGCGGAGATCGCAGTAACAGTGTGGCAGCAGCTTGCCTTACACCTCTTGCGCAGCTCCCAGCAAGCCACCAGTTCCTTGAAGATGCAAACCCACTCAGCACACCCGAAGCCTGCAGGTGGTCTGCACAGACCACCCTCACCCTATGCTGCACAGCAGCCATGGTGGCAGAAATCTCGGGAGGTTAAGGAGAAGTCTGCTGCTGTAGGGAGTGGGAAAGTCCAGTCCTCGCACAAGTTGTGAAGGCAGCCGTCAGAACTCCTGGAGCCGCTTCCAGGCAGACCCTGGGAGGACTCAATGCTCTCAGTGATTAAAGGGGAAGAAGAAAACTCTGGGCACGTTGAGAAGACACATACTCCTGTTGCTGGAAGAAGGGGAGAAGGGCTGCTTCTCCTGCAGTCCCCCCCCCCCGCCGCCGCCCTTTTTTTTTTTTTTTTAATTTTGATTTATATGCCGCCCTTCTCCGGAGACTCAGGGCGGCTTACAATGCATTAAAGCAACAGCCTTCATACTTTTGTATATTTATACAAAGTCAGCTTATGGCCCCCACAAACTGGGTCCTCATTTAACCTACCTTAGAAAGGATGGAAGGCTGAGTCAACCTTGAGCCTGGTAAGATTCGAACCTGCAGAAATTGCAGGCAGCTGTTCTTAATAACAGGTTGCATTAAATCACTGTACTACCAAGGCTCCCTTGCGCCTTCCCTTGCGCCTGCATGCCTCCCTCCTCAGCCACCTTCTCCCAAACAGTCTTTGTGCCCAGAGGGGCTCCATCCGCGGTCAAGGTTGGTTCTCCCCCCCCCCTTGCTCTCTTAAACTGAACTGCACTGAGCAGCTGGGGAGGTACCGTGAAGGAGCCTTGGTACTACAGTGGTTTAAAGCACCCTGTTATTAACACAGCTGCCTGCAATTTACTGCTGGTTCGAATCTCTCCAAGGCTCAAGGTTGACTCAGCCTTCCATCCTTTCTAAGGTAGGTTAAATGAGGACCCAGTTTGTGGGGGCAATAAGCTGACTTTGTATAAATATACAAAAGTATGAAGGCTATTGCTTAACGCACTGTAAGCCGCCCTGAGTCTCCGGAGAAGGGCGGCATATAAATCAAATTAAAAAAAAAATTAAAAAAAAAAAAAAAGGATAAATGTCTCAGCTCCCTACAGCCGCTTGGCCTTTTGACCACCCGAAACGGATCATTTCAATCGCCCCATTGAAACTACATGGAACCGCCCGAAAATGCGATGCTCTTTTTTTGCCTCCACACGCCCTTTTTTTTGGAGCTGAGATCTCCAGATAGCAGAGATCATGGTAACAGTGTTTCGGGTGGCAGCGCCTTGCCTTACGCCCCCTGCACAGCGCCTGCTTCGTCAACCAAGTCCCGACCTCTGCGCTTCCCCGGGCCGCTTCCGGAATCAGACTTTGACTGAGGCAGCAAAGGCGTAGGGGGCTTTCCGGGAAGCCCAGCAGCATGTTTACGAGATGGCAGTGTCCAGGAGGACTGAAGTGCTGTGTCTCTATGGGGCCTTGCTCCAAGAAAGCCAGGCTTTCAACGCCTATGGCTATAGGTAGGAAGATGAGAGCGTCTCGAGAGTGGAGCCTTTGGTGCCAAGTCCCTCTTCTGCCCCCATGAAAATCATCCCCCATCCCAGCCACTCCAGTTAAATGCGCGTAGAGTGATAGGGTTTGTTTTAAACGGATAGATCCGTGCTACTTGTTATCAAAATCTGAGTGGAAGTGAGGATGCCGCTGATTCTGATGCTGGTAGGTAGAGGCAGAATTGTTTTCTTGTTTTCCTCCCAAAAATTAAGGTGTGTCTTATAGTCTGGTGCATCTTATAATCCAAAAAATATGGTACTTGAGAAACTTATAGTAAATCAGCACTCAATTGACTGATAAGGGTCCCCATTTCCCAGGCATCAATCAGTTCCCTGGCTGTTTTTGTGCCTGCTCGTCCAACCCTCTTAGTAGCTGCAAAATGAAATGTATGTCCTTGTTCATTGCCACGTGAGGCTACCAATGACTTCAGTGATGGGATTCCGCTGGTTCGCACGGGTTCAGGAGAACCGTTTGTTAACTTTCTGAGTAGTCCGGCGAACCGGCTGTTGGAAGAAATCTTCCAACAGCCTTTTGTTTTTCCCACTTTAAGGGTTAATCCTGTCAGGAAGCCAGGAAGAAGACATTCTGGTGTGCCTCTCTGTGTTCTTTCTAGCTTAATCCATTTTATCTTTAAGCGGTTTCCAAAACTGCCTCTGGGTTAAGCCTTGTTACATTGTAACAGCAGTTAATGGTTCTTAGGAGTACGCCCAGTACGCCCAGACTAGCCAGAGCTGCTTCTCTTTTTTTAAAGCTTTTTACACTGCTTTAATGGTTCCTGGCACTTCCTTTTGGGGTGTACTTCCAAGAGGCAGGATGCAAGCTTGGCACTCTGATTTTTTTACTGCGTTTCTGGGGGCATGTGATCTTTCCTTAAATCTGGATGATTTCCTTAGGATATCTTGTGAGATGAGTGAGAGCAGCTGGTATCTTTAAGGGGTGCAAATGGATCTAAGGTTTGCTTCTCCTGGGTGGGAAAGGGTGCTTTGTCAGTTCACTGAGCACAGGAGTCTCTTGTCTATGGGGATTCTTCAATCAACCAGGTCATGGTTGTCCCAAAGGTGCTTTTTTCAAGAGACAACTGGACTTTCTTGGTTTCCAGAAACTCCAGTTGCCTCTTGAAAAAGCATATTTGGGACAGGAGTCTCATTGTTTTGGAGTGGCCAAGGCACATGATTGCTCACTGATAGTAAGATTTTTTAAAAAAAGAGATAGGGATGTGGATCCTCAAATTCGTTTTAGTTTTTTCTCATGATAATAAGGCTTAGTAACATGGCACCAGCCTTCAAGTTTATTTAGATATCTGTGGAATGTACTAACTTTATTTTGATCCTGACAAGCTTGGGAGGGCCAAGACTTGAACCTGGGTCCCCTATATACTTTGTTAATTTGTCTCTTTAGCTTGGCAAAAAGCTTGAAAGTACCCAGGCACTTTCTGGAAAGCTTAAATGACCTCACTGCTAAAGGGTTTCACTTTATGAGCAAGAGTTGGCTGCTGATAGTTATTGTTGCATTTTAACTATTTTAATTCCTCAAGGTGCTCTGGCACCCTGCCTGATTTGTAACTCCGGATTGTAGGTATTGCTGATCAGAAGGAAGGTATTCAGACAGAATGGTTTAGGTTTCCGTGATGGCTGTGACTGTCATTGATCTTCAGTGTGTATTCCTCCATTTCTAATCTGGTATTTAGGGCAGCTTTTTGCAAGCAAAGAAACTTTTTGTATTTTTGTACAGGTAATCCTTGATTTACAACAGTTCATTTAGTGACCATTCAAAGGTACAATGGCACTGAAAAAAGTGGCTTATGACCATTTTTCACACTTATGACTGTTGCCGCATCCCCACAGTCACAAGAGGCCGGGTGAGGTGAAGTGTCCCTCGACAGGAATGACGTCGAGTTGGCCACACCCACCCAGTCACGTGACCATCCAGCTGGTCATTAGGGCAGAGAACCGATTGTTAAATTATTTGAATCCCACCACTGAATGAGTTCAGGTCTCCTCGTCTAACCACTCGCTTGTGTTCTTGTACGCTTCGCTTCCTTCCCCATCTGTCCTACACGTGCGAATGAATTTGTGGCCAAAGTTTGCCTGACATCATTTCACCTCACTATTCGGCTGAAACAAACTCGCATTGTACGGTCCCTGGTGTAGGAAAGTGACTTCTCACGTTTTCTCCTGCCCTTCGGCACCAGGTGGAAGAATCATAGGGGAGATCAAAATAGAGACTTTTCAGCAGGCCATTTCAGAGACAGAAGATGACTTTGAGACCCTGCAAGAAGAAGAATCCTCGGGCGCCACTTCCTTGAGTCCGGAGTCTTCCCTGCTTGATCCCGAGAAACCACTGGGCGCAAGGCAGCAGGAAGAAATGCAGAAGAAGAAATGCACCCGACGTCGGAGAAGACCCTTTCAGAAAAAAAACAAATATTACCCACTGGAGAAGAAGCACACCTGTCTTGAGTGCGGACACAAAAGTTACTATTACTCGGATCTGCTAAGACACATGAAAAGCCATGCAGCAAAAGAGGTGTTCGAGTGTCTTGAATGTGGGAAAACATACCGAGGCAGGTCATATTTTGAGAATCACCAGAAGATTCACCTTCCGCTGGATGATACCAACAGACGCGTGAGAAGAACCGGGATGAGAAACTCCAGCTTCCAAATGAAAGAGGAATACACCTGCTTTACATGCGGCGTCGTTAAAAGTAGCCATTCAGGACTCGCCGAACACATGAAAGTCCACACAGATGAGAGATCTTACCAATGTCCCGAGTGTGGCAAGTTGTTCAAGTGGCAATCCAACATGTGTCGGCACCGGAGACTCCACACCAACAGGAGGTTTTCCTCACGACAGTTAATGCGCAGAGGTGAGTCTGTGACGCTTGGATTGGTGCATTTTGTAGGCGGTCCTCAACTTACGACCATGATTGAGCCCGAAATGTCTTGTTAAGTGAGACATAAGAGCCGTGGGGGCGCAGTGGTTAGAATGCAGTACCGCAGGCTACTTCTGCTGACTGCCGGCTGCCAGCAATTTGGCAGTTCGATTGTAACCGGCTCAAGGTTGACTCAGCCTTCCGTCCTTCCGAGGTCGGTAAAATGAGGACCCCGATTGTTGGGGGGAGCAAGATGCTGACTCTGTAAACCGCTTAAAGTAAAGCCCTGTGAAGCGGTTTATAAGTCTTAAGTACCATTGCTTGTTTTTAAGCGAGTTTTGCCCCATTTTGTGGCCTTTCTTGCCACAGTGGTTAAATGACTCACTGCAGTTGGATAAGTTAGTCACCCGGTTATTCGTTGATTACACAGCAACCGTCATATGCTGAGACGCTGCAACCGTCATATGTATGAACCAGTGGCCAAGCATCTGAATTTTGATCACAAGATCGTGGGGATGCTACAAGTCATAAGTCACTTTTTTCAGTGCTGCTGTAACTTTGAACGGTCACTAACTGAAGTGTTGTAAGTCAAGGACTACCTGTATTTAAATATTCTGATGAAAGACATGCCCTCTGAAATATATGCGGAGCGAGAAGTAAAGAGTTGATAGAATATTAGAACCGAGCAATAATGTCGAACTGCCAGAAAACATAACAAACGAAAAAAGCGCTCTTGAGACCACTGCTTAGTTCCTTTATGCCGGTTTCCCAGCCTTGGCAACTTTTAAGACTCGTGGACTTCCAACTCTCAAATTCACAAGAGATGGTTTTCTCCAGCAGTAGTTACCCTTGTGATGTGCTGTCTGGGGAAATCCTGGAAGTTGAGGTCCATAGCCAGGCTACCTCTGTTGGATGGTCCTGATATTTTGCATTTCAGCTTTGAGCATGCTTGTTTGGAAACTGCTCCCTTCCTCCCTCCCTCCCTCTGTCCCAAAACTCATTGCTGAAACTCACGCCCTTCCTTCCTTCTTTCCTTCCTTCCTTCCTTCCTTTCCTTCCTTTCCTTCCTTCCTTCCTTCCTTCCTTCCTTCCTTCCTTCCTTCCTTCCTTCCTTCCTTCCTTCCTTCTGCCATCAAATCTTTCGCTTCTGGCAGCATACTAGAGTAGAATTAGTGGCTAATGCTAAATAATGCATACTGTACAGCATTGATGATGCTACCTTGCTTGGTAATGAAACGTCTGCAAGAAAATAACCAAGCTCAGAGATCCTCAAGGACCCCTCAGGTCAATTCTGCATTCTTTTAGAGAGTCATTGAGGCCACCTGGAGGTTTATCTGTGTCCTCAGGGTTCACAGAGGGAGAGGGATACGGCATCATCTTATCTCCAGTCTACAACACAGTCTTTTCAGCAGTTCCAAGGAGGCTCCACAGCCATTTGCACCACTCAGGTGAGCCTGAGGTCCCAGAGAAACCTCCAAGTGCCCTCAACGATTCTTTCAAAGGATGCAAATGACCAGCTATCTGCAAGGAGTATAAATCCTTCCGTTCCCCACCATCCAGTCAGAGCCGAAGAAGTTTCTTGGATGAGAAGCGAAACGTCTTCAAAAGAAAAAAACCCAGAAAGTCCAGTTGCCTCCTTGAAAAAAAAAAAAAGTACCTTTGAGACTCTTTACTTCAGGCTTGTCAACCGTGCCTTGCAATGTTTTTTTTCCCCCCTGAGTTTTAATTCACGTGTGTCTTCCAACGCCACTTGGAGATGCTGAAGATTGAACCAGGAAGGTTCTTCATGCAAAGCAGTGAAGGCCACTCCAAATTAGAGGTTCCTCTGTCTGTCTATCTGTCTGCCTGTCTGTTTGTCTGTCTGCTTTCCTGGGGATAAAGAATAAGCAGGATGGAGATTACAAGCCATCAAATCACGATTTCTCAATCTCAACAATTTTAAAATGGGTAGATTTCAACTCCTGCAATTCCCTAGCCAGCATGACTTGTTCAATTAATGTTACCAGATGACTTGGCTTTAGGTTTGTCTCCATTCATTTGGGTTTTTTTTTTAAATTCCTTTTCTTGGGGTAGTACAGGTATAAACAATTTTAGTAACTCATCACCTTCTCTTCAACTGTTCTCTTCTTCCCATATCTCATCTTTTATTTCTTTTTAAAAAATCTTTAAAGCTTCATTTTTTTAGTCTTGGTCAGCCAAAGTCCACTAAGGGTTACTGGAAATAACATATCTATTTTAACCTTGATTAAATAAAACAATTTTATATTCCTTCCTTTTAATAACCTTGAACTTTTTATTTCCCTTCCCTTTATTTTTAATAATCTTGACACTTGATAAGAGATGTGCAAGCTGGTTTACCAAAAGTTTACTTTATAGTGAAAAAAATATATCATAGTCTTTAAATCAATCCAAGTCTTTGCCAGTTAAATCAGTCCAGTGATACAGAAACTCTTCTTACCACACAAACAGTAGTTGGTTAGAATAACACACTCACTCTGGTTCACAAACCACAATGGTAGCAGATCCATCCAATGATGATAGCACAATGGATAGCAACTCCACACACTATGGTAGCTTATCATCAACTGAATACTTTACAGTACCTTTCTTAAATACGTTCACAACCAGTGATTATCTAATTACAGCATGACTCAGCATTACAGTGAATCAGCAGTAAAACTTTAAAGTCACACAGTACATATTCATATTAAAGTCACAGAATACATACATTGCCTGGACAACTTGTTAGGCTCAGACCATATCCTAACACTCCCCTCAAATAATGTCCTAGAGCCATGATGGTGAACCTATGGCACGCGTGCCACATGTGGCATGCAGAGCCATATCTGTGGGCACGCGAGCGTTGCCCTACCTCAGCTCCAGCATGCATGCGCGTGCCAACCATTGATTTTCCGGCCTTCCGGGACCACCAGACGTTGGGAAACGGGCTAGAAAAGCCTCTGGAGCCTGGGGAGGGCAAAAAAATTGGCCTACCGGGCCCACCATGCCATCACGTGCCAAAAGTGGGGGGAGCGCGGGGGAGTCGCATGCGCATGCTCATGCTCAGGGGGGTGGGTCACATTGAATTATGGGTGTGGGCACGTGTGCGCGTGACACCCCCCCCTGGCGCTCCCACTTTTGGCACGCGATACAAAAAAGGTTAGCCATCCCTGTCCTAGAGCTTGATTCCTTCCCTCCTCCTTATTTTTGCTTGTCTTTCCTCACAATTTTTTTCCCAAATTTTAACATCTCTTTTCTAAATCCAATGTAAGAAAGTTATCCAGGTCAAATTATCTTGCTTTGTTTACATTTCAGCCAGTGGCATTTGTGTTATCCAGCGTAACATCTTTTTCCACATCATTCCTGCAGCCTATTATTTTAAAATACACTTTCAGATCAGTCTTAATTGTCAACCTGGAAAACGACTTCAGCTGAAGCCTTCCTTTCTCATGCTTAATTCTTTTTCGTTTCTTGGTTGCCATTCCCGGTGGGGGATGGGGGAACTTAGGAATTTAGGAATACCTCAGCTGGTAGTCAAAACATCTAGCAGCCAGCGTGGGAACCAAGGCCACATCAACAGACACCTGTCGGAGCTGAGCGGGAATCTGTGGCTGATCTGATTGGCCCATGTGACCTAAAAGAGACAGGGGAGGGGAGAATCCTATTCGTTTAACTAACTCTAAGCGGGGAAACTATTTAGAGCTAGCTTCACCTTTCTTAATTGCCGACACGATGTACTCAAAAAAGGACTTTCTGAACCTATCCCAAGTGTCCTGACTTCTCTGAGTTCATTGATCGGAATGGTGATATTAATCTTGTCAGGTAAAACTTCTTCCTCTTCCATAACCTCTTTTAAATACAGTCTACAGAAGCAGACCCTTAAATTGAATTTCTCAAGAAACCTGGGCCCTTCTTCACAAATATTCTTCAATATGTCTAGCGTTAAAAATGTTCCATTCTGTATTAGCAAGTCAAATTTTAAGGGATTTTCTTCTTTAATTGTACTATTTACTGTATTTTTCAGAGTATAAGACGCACTCCCCCCCCCAAAAGAAGCTGAAAATTTGGGTGCGTCTTATACTCCAAATGTAGCTTTTTCGAAGCTTTTTGTCCAGCCCTAACGAGGCGCTAGCGAGTGAAGCGATCTTCCGTGCTTCGCCTGCTTTTCTCATTGCTTCTCTCTCCAACAATCAGCTGTGCTTAAGAAGCTGTTTTTTATCCCCAACCTGGCACATGCAAGCGTAGTGCGCATACATGCTCAAAACCAGCGAACTAATGTGCTGAAGCTGACCAGACTAAGGACGCTAGCCAGATGAATACCTGGTAGGCAGAATTTTTTTTTCTATTTTCCTCCCCAAAAACTAAGGTGCGTCTTATACTCCGGTGCGTCTTATACTCCAAAAAATACGGTAGTTCCTTCTGATTCCGTCTAGTGTCCAATTTTTAAAATGCCATTTTGTCATTTTTTTAAAAAAAGTATTCAAAGCAACAGCCGTTTCCTACACGAAGGATTCTTATTTATTTGGTTTCAGAATCTTATTTCAAATCCATCTAGATCCTTAATCGGTTTGTAACTTTCCAAATCCAAAGTTCTAATCACCCTATGGCTGGTTTTTTTTTTTTTTTTAAATTTGATTTATATGCCGCCCTTCTCCGGAGACTCAGGGCTGCTTACAATGCGCTAAGCAATAGCCTTCATTCTTTTGTATATTTATACAAAGTCAGCTTATTGCCCCCACAAACTGGGTCCTCAATTTGCCTACCTTAGAAAGGATGGAAGGCTGAGTCAACCTTGAGCCTTGGCGAGATTCGAACCTGCAGTAATTACAGGCAGCTGTTCTTAATAACAGGGTGCTTTAGACCACTGTACTACCAAGGCTCTGTTTATTCCCCCCCCAAAAAGTATTAAGTCGTTATATTTGTATTTAAAACTGCTTTTGCTAAGGATTGAAGGAATCTCACCCAATGTAGTAAATGTTGCCATTTTGAAAGTTACTACTATCCAAAACAGGGATGCGGTGGCTTAAGACGCTGAGCTTGTCGATCAAAAGGTCGGCAGTTCAGCGGTTCGAATCCCTAGTGTCGTGTAATGGGGTGAGCTCCTGTTACTTGTCCCAGCTTCTGCCAACCTAGCAGTTCGAAAGCACGTAAAAATGCAAGTAGAAAAACAGGGACCACCCTTGGTGGGAAGGTAACAGCGTTCCGTGCGGCTTTGGCGTTTAGTCATGCCGGCCACATGACCACGGAGACGTCTTTGGACAGCTCTGGCTCTTCGGCTTTGAAACGGAGATGAGCACCACCCCCTAGAGTCGGGAACCACTAGCACATATGTGTGAGGGGAACCTTTACCTTTACTATCCAAAAAGCAGCAAAAAAGGAATTTCTGAAAATGATTAGAAGAGGACGTATTCAAACCCAGTCTCCTCTTAAAGGCACCAACCATGGTTTGGACAAAGATGGGAACCTCTCATCACTCATTGCTTTAATCCTACTAGTGACCACTGGTCTTACCACCTCCTCATGCAGTATAGCTGTCCGGAGCAGTTGTGGGCGATCTCAAGGTCTCTTCTTGTCTGGAGAGGAATTACAAATAGCTCGTCTACTCCCTGGTTCTTTATTCTGCCACCCTTCTCCACTCTGCTCTCCATTTCTTCCCTGGAAGTCGTTTCTCCTCCTCCTCCACCTCTACCTCCTTCCCCCCCCTCCCATCTCCAATTGTTAATGCAGGTGGTTGTACACCAATCTATTTGTTCCCATAGGTGCCAGTGAATCTAATCAGGGCCAAAGCAATTCTACGCAGGAGCAAAAGTCCCCGCTGGAATTGCTGGGAGAGCTCTCCACAGTTTCGCTGATTGCTGTCAGCGATGCTAACCCTGTTACCAGGCTGCATCCGAGGAAGTCCCGAGAAGTGGAGCTCTCTCAAATATACGGGCTGAAAACCTTAAAGGTGATGATGAAGAAACTTCCGAGCCCTCAGAAAGGGAAATCCAAGGGCCCCGATGATTGTGATCGTAGAGCTACCGGGCTTTCCAAAACCATTAAACGCAGGACCGTCCGTACAGGGGAGAGGTCCTACGATTTCTCTGATTGCGGGAAAGCCTTCGGCAGGCCATCTCATCTTTATCAACATGAGAAAGGCACTGCATGTCGTAAAAAGAGGCCCAATTCCGATTCCATTTTTGCAGAGGAGGAGATTACCTGTCGAGGTAGGTGTGATGACCTGGCTAATAATGAATCATTCTCTTCTTTTCTCTCTCTCTCTCTCTGTCTTTTATTACGTTGGCCTTTGTACTTAATCTGACATTTTCTACCCTGAGCAATTTTCTTGCCATTCCACACCAATATACTGTATAGCGAGAGCTCTTCAGGATCTTTTGCCAACCGTCCTGTTCTTCTCCTCTTTTTTATTATTCAACGCTTACCAGTAAAATTTGAGTCCTTCGGGAGAAGGGCGGTATACAAATTTAAATATAATAATAATAATAATGTGCTGAGAAAACCCATCGGTCTTTATATAGCCGCGTTGTTCATCTTGTACTTTCTTCCTCTCAGCAATAAATTATAAATTACCTCTGGGAGTGTTGGGTTTTAGGGCTTAGTGACTATGATCTAGACCAGGGGTCGGCAACCCACTGCTCTGGAGCCGCATGTGGCTCTTTTAACTCTTTGCTGCGGCTCCCTCCTTTCATCCCTCTGCTGCGGAGAGAAGCGGCCGACACCGCTGCTGTTGCCACCTCCACGGCCCGCCCGCTGCTCTCGCAGCACCTTGTGCAGCACAATGAAATTTAGTGTGCTTCACAATGGGGGAGACTCCCCCCTCCTGGAGCCCATTACGACGTGGAGCCACAATGTGACCCTGCCCTACTCGACCCTGGGAACAGCAGCATCGTTGGCCATGGCGCAGGCCAGAGTCTCAGGGTGGAGAGCGGGTCGCACGTCCAGCACCAACAAAGGCCGGAAGTAGCCACCCGCCATTTCCTGCTGCAGTCTCTCGGGCAGTGAGAGAGAGAAAGAGAGAGAGAAAGAGAGAGACAGATTCAGCTCCGTCTGCTCCCTCTTTCTGCCTTTGCCCAGTTTTGCAAGGATTCAGCGGACGCTGCCTTGGTGATTGGGGAGTGGTGGGTCATCCCATACTTTGCCTGCCCAGAGTCTTCGGGGAGTGCCTGGAGACTATATTTTCCGGCCACTTTTGGACCGAGTTGCAGGATGCGTCTACGTGCCTGTTTGAGCGTGCTGCTGCTTGGGATGATGCTTCTCTGAAGTGCGTACAGCAATCTAAGGTGGCAACCTCGTGGCGCTGTGATGTAACAGCCTGACAGTCACTCCTTTTGCAATGCAAGGTTTATTTTTGGTATCTGTCCAGAGACAGAGAAGGGGCTGAAGTTCCTGTAGGCTTATTTTCTGAGTGTGTGGGTTGGGGAATGGGGGTCAGGGAGAGAGAGAGAGAGGCAGGGAGAGAGAGAGAGAAAGGTGAAGAACACACCTGAGGCCGGATGAGGCAAGAGCTGGCTGGGAGGGAAGGGGTGAGGTGGGGCCAGGCGGGTAATGACCCCGGGCGGGTAAGCGTGGCTGGGGGTGTCATGTGACTGGGTGGGGACGAGTGACGTCGAGTTGGCCACACCCACCCAGTCACACCGGTTGTTAAATTTATAAGCTCGCGGTGTTTTCTTATCTTTGGGAAACAGGTCCAAATGTCCCTTTTGAGTGTTTAAGGTTGCAGACCCCTGATCTAGATCCTTGATATGAAATTAACGTTGTTAACAATAAATATTGGCAGATAGAGAAACGTATAGTCACTTTTATATTTTCAAAAAAAAAACCCACATTCGATTGATATTGTCCTACTGAATTGTTTTTTAATCTTTTCTTCCCGAAAAGCAGGTAAATGAAGGCCAAGTCCTTTTCCTTTTTCCTTCTTTTGATCAAAAGCTCATTTTATCTTCCCTGGCTTTTCTAATTGCTGGATGGACCTTATTCTGAAAGGCATATGGTGTGTGTCGTTAATAAATTAGAACAGTTCCCACGCGCTCTCTCCGAGCTTCCTACAATGAAAGAATTTTTGCTCTTTCTGACCTTGGAAGACAATTGGTAAAAAGTTGCTTTCAGGTTGATTCATTCCCAGGTTTGTTATGGCATTCACTTCATTGCGCTAACATTCACTGTGATTTGAACCAGCAAATCAGCCATTATTAGCCAAACTTGATAAGATTTACAGCGTGGCATATCTTAAATTGTTAATTGTCCTTCTAGGGGAGGAAGAGTCGAGAAGTACGGGTCCTCTGCAGCAAAATATCAAATTGGAAGACGAAGCTGATGATCAACTTTCTCCGACGGTCTATCAAGAGGAAGGACAAACGGCGAATGAGGCCTCCGAACCCCAGAACAGGAAAATGCACGCCTGCACAAAATGCGGCTACCAAGCTGAAAAATTAGCGGACATTCTGAAGCATTTCAGGGTCCATAACAAGGAAAAACCTTACAGATACCTGGACTGCGGGAACTCCTTTGGATGGTCCTCAACCCTCATGAAACATCAGCAGACCCATGTAGGCGGTCAGCAAACGCCGGCGCCCAACCTCGTTGTTGCCGAATGCGACGTGACACTTAGTGGTAGGTAGAAATTGGCGGTCCTTATTAAATGTAATATATAAATAGCAATAGCCCTTAGATTCGTATACCGCTTCACAGTGTTTTTACAGCCCTCTCCAAGCGGTTTAGAGAGTCAGCATCTTGTCCCCAACAGTTACTGGCTAAAGAGTCTTTTCTCCAGGAACATTAAAGGGAAGCCATAGGGCCGTGATGGCAAACCTCTGCGGGCACGTGAGCCATCGCCCAGCTCAGTTCCACCATGCATGCACGCACGCCTCCCACCGGCCAGCTGATTTTCAGGTCTGTGCATGCGTGGGGGTCGCGTGTGTGTATGTGGGGGATGCCCCCCGTGGCCCGTTTTTGGTCCCAGGAGGCTGCAGGGACGCCTACCAGGCCCAAAATGGGGCGTGGGGGTGTGCCCCCCCCCCACAACCCGTTTTCAGTCCCAGGAAGCTACAGGTGTCAGGTTTCGATGCTATCTCAAAATAAATGAATTTCCAAACTGCCGATCTTTGAGGAAATTTTCTCTTTATTGAGCATAGTGATCTGTCCCTGGCTCTTTCACGGTCAGTACTGACCTTTGCCCCCCAATCCCTCCCTTTCCGATCCCCAATTCTCTGCGTTTCATTGGCTATCTTCCAAGCCACTTTCCTCATCCTTTCTCCGTCAGATCACAGGAATGTCTCCCTCCTCCCATCTCCGAGGAGACAGAATCTTCAAAGGAATTAAGCAGGCAAAAAGTTCAAGCTTCTCCTCTCCTTATATATGTTAGTGCTGGGATGCTGACATCCGGCCCGTCCCTTCACTCTCCCAGTGAGGCCTGCACGAGACAAACAACAAGTTTAGTACCATTACCCCCTCTGAGGGTGTGTCCCACCCCCTCCCGCCTTGTTCGGGTGATCTGCATGGAATTTAGCTATAAGGCGGTCAGCTTGAATGTTCGTGCTCTTCACCCAGGAAGCTTCTGACAAGGGATAACCCTTCCACTTAATCTTCCACCCTTCCGCTTCTCTTCTTATATATGTCAGTGCTGGGACGCTGACAACAGGGAGGCCTACTAGGCCCAAAACGGGATGGGAGAGTGGGGGGGGGGGGGGGTCGTGCACACATTGCATTATGGGTACCGGCATGCGCGCATGCTTTTGGCACGCAACGACAAAAAGGTTAGCCGTCACTGCCAGGGGGCATGGGTGGGCAACTAATGGCCCTTCTGTCTGTAGAGATTCTCAGTTATCCAGGTCATGGTTATCCCAAAGGTGTTTTCTCAGGAGGCAATCGAACTTTCTGTTTTTTCTTTGAAGACATTTCGCTTCTCATCCAAGAAGCTTCTTCAGCTCTGACTGGTTGGTGGGGAACGGAAGGATTGATACTCCTTGCAGAGAGCTGGCCATTTGCATCCTTTTAGAGAGTCGTTGAGGCCACTTGGAGGTTTCTCTGTGTCTTCAGGGTCACAGAGGGAGAGGAATACAACATCCTCTATCTCCACATCCTCTATCTCGATCTACAACACAATCCTTTCCAACAATTCCAAGGAGGCTGCACACCTATTTGCACTACTTGGGAGACTTTGGGGACACTGGCAAACCTCCAATCGGCATCAATGACTCTTTAAAAGAATGCAAACGACCAGCTGTCTGCAAGGAATATAAATCCTTCCATTCCCCACCATCCAGTCAGAGCTGAAGAAGCTTCTTGAATGAGAAGCAAAACGAAAAAAACAAAGTCCAGTTGCCTCTTGGAAAAGGATAATGGCCCTTTTATGACTGGCTCGGGAGTTCTGGGAATTGAAGTCCACAGGTCGTAAAGGGGCCGTAGTTATTTATTTATTTGTTTGATTTGATTTGATTTTTATACCGCCCTTCTCCAACAGGACTCAGGGCAGTGAACAGCCGAGATAAAACATAACATACAAAATTTAAAAAACAGTTTAAAAGACATTAAATAATTTTGGCCCACAATTTAAAACAACCCAGTTAAGACCAATTCCAAATTAAAACCGAAAGGATGGGATCAAGCCAGCCCGGCTAGATGAAATAAATGAGTTTTCAGGGCCCGACGAAAAGTCCGGAGGTCTGGTATCATGCGTATCTCTGGGGGTAGGTCGTTCCAGAGGGCAGGTGCCGCCACAGAGAAGGCTCTCCCCCCGGGGGTCACCAGCCGACATTGTCTGGCCAACGGCACCCTGAGGAGGCCCTCTCTGTGCGAGCAAACTGGCCGGTCGGAGGCTATTGGTGGCAGAAGGTGGTCTCTTAGATACCCTGGCCCTAAACCATGGAGCGCTTTAAAGGTGGTCACCAACACCTTGAAGCGCACCCGGAAGACCACTGGAAGCCAGTGTAACTCACGCAGGAGAGGTGTCACATGGGAGCGCCCCGTCGCTCCCATAATCCCCTGTCCTCCTCTTGGTTTATGTGTCGCTAGACTGAGTTCCATACCTTGGTGTGGTTGTGACCTGTGCGATTGGTGGGAAGTGTCCATCCACATAAAGATGCGGTGTGCAGTGGAAATTCAACATTAGAATCCGTCTCAGAGCCATTTAATGCAGTTGCTATCCGGCAAAACTTCACTCCGTTCTTAGAAATTTCAGAAGAAAAGCCAGCAACTTTAGTTTAGAACCCAGCCTGCACAGCGAAGTAAGGGGAAGGGTTTTGAGTTCGAGGGCGATGGAGTAAAATACAAACTCTGCATCTGACCGCAGAGTAAGAAAATACATTTCTTTCCTTGTTGATGTTATTTTGGCTGCAGAGACGAACTTGGAAAATCCTTAGCTTGCTACTTATTTTATTTTATTTTTTTATTTCCAATTTATATTTATACTTAACGAATTTAGACTTAACGAATGATCAAATCCAAAGTAGGAACAGGGCTTGGTTTTGCCTTTTTTTCCCAACTATTTCCCATGATCTGAATCATTTCTCTTCCCCCCCCCCCCCACAGATGCCGAGGCGTTGATTAACTTCTTAGCGAAGACGCCTCCCCGGCAAGAAGCGGGCTTGCAGAATGGTCCGAAGAGGTCATCCAAACGCTCCCCGGCTGCCGCTTCTCCAGGTTCTGCCCCTTCCAAGTTGAAGGCCTCGCTTCCCTTCCGTTCCAGAACGGAACGGACCACAACACAGTTCCGTTCCAAGGAACGGAACGGAAAAGGCAAAGCCGTCCCTTGCAAAAACAACGTGAAAAAAACCCGTTACGACGGTCTCGAGAAGAAACACGTGTGTCTGGATTGCGGGCATCGGACCTATTTCCTGTCCGATCTCGTGCGGCATAAAAACATTCACCCGAAAGGGAAGCCTTACAAGTGCCCGGATTGCGAGAAAATCTTCGTCCAACCTTCCTTCCTCAAACTTCATCTGAAAACGCACAAGCCGGGGAGGAAACCCATGAAAAGGCTAAAAGCCCCCCAAGGAGAGAGGAAATACACCTGCTCCAAATGCGGACACAAAACCTATAAATTGTCCACTCACCTCTTGCATATGAGAGCCCACGCGGGAGAAAGCGAGAAGTCGTACTTATGTGACGAGTGTGGGAAAGAATTCAAGAGGAGCTCGAATCTTTCCAGGCACAAGCGAATCCACAGCCTTAACAAAGAAGGCATTAAGATCCGAAGGCCCTCTTTCACGCAGGATAAAGAGATAAACAGAAGTGGGTGCCTGATTTTGAACCTTTTGTTGATTTAAGCGTAAGCCGTAGTTCTCTCTCAGCTATATAATCAGGTTGACAAAATACAGGCAGCCCTTGACTTATAACAGTTCATTCTAGTAACCGTTTGAAGTTACAACGGCACTGAAATAAGTGACTTCTGATCATTTTTCACACTTGCCACCAGAGGTGGTATTGAGCAGGTTCTGGAAAACTGGTAGCGGAAATTTTGAGTAGCTTGGAGAACCGGTAAATACCACCTCTGACTGGGCTCGCCCCCAACTATTCTCTGCCTCCCGAGTTCCAGCTGATCGGGAGGAAATGGGGATTTTGCAGTATCCTTCCCCTGGAGTGGGGAGGGAATGGAGATTTTGAAATATCCTTCCCCCAGGAGTGGGGTGGGGAATAATAAATGAAATAAAATAAATAATTTTATTTCTATACCGCCCTTCTCCCGAAGGACTCAGGGCGGTGTAAAGCCTATTAAAAGCACAAAACAAACATCAATTAAAATAATTTAAAATTATTAAATAATTCGGCTCAATTTAAAACCCCAGAAATTAAAACACCCAATTTAAAATTATTATGTTGATGGGGATTTTGCAGTATCTTTTCCCTGGAGTGAGGAGGGAATGGAGATTTTGAAATATCCTTCCCCCAGGAGTGGGGTGGGAATGGGGATTTTGCAGTGTCTTTTCCCTGGAGTGGGGTGGGAATGGAGATTTTTGCAGTATCCTTCCCCTAGAGTAGGGTGGGAATGGAGATTTTGCAATGTCCTTCCTCCAGGAGTGGGGTGGGAATGGAGATTTTTGCAGTATCCTTCCCCTGGAGTGGGGAGGGAATGGAGATTTTGCAGTATCCTTCCCCTGGAGTGGGGAGAGAATGGAGATTTTGCAGTATCCTTCCCCTGGAGTGGGGTGGGAATGGAGATTTTGTAATATCCTTCCTCCAGGAGTGGGGAGGGAATGGAGATTTTGCAGTATCCTTCCCCTAGAGTGGGGTGGGAATGGAGATTTTGAAATATCCTTCCCCCAGGAGTGGGGTGGGAATGGGGATTTTGCAGTGTCTTTTCCCTGGAGTGGGGTGGGAATGGAGATTTTTGCAGTATCCTTCCCCTAGAGTAGGGTGGGAATGGAGATTTTGCAATGTCCTTCTCCAGGAGTGGGGTGGGAATGGAGATTTTTGCAGTATCCTTCCCCTGCCACGCTCACCCAAGCCACACTCACAGAACCGGTAGTAAAAAAAATTTGAATCCCACCACTGCTTACAACCATTGCGGCATCCCCGTGGTCACATGATCAAAATCCAGGTGCTTGGCAACTTGACTTGTATTTATGACGGTTGCAGCGTCCTGCGATCGTTTTTTTTTGGGAGACCTTCTGACAGGCCAAGTCCATGGGGGAAAGCCAGATTCACAGAACAACCATCTTACTAACTTAGCAACTGCACTGAAAAACAACAGTGGCAAGAAAGGTCGTAAAATGGAGCAAAAGTCACTTAACGAATGCCTCGCTTAAGCGATATAAATTTTGGGCTCAATTGCGGTCGTAAGTCAAGGACTACCTGTAGCTTAAAAAAAGAAACACATAACTCAGAGGTGGGCAACTATGGCCCTTTTATGACTTGTGGACTTCGATTCCCAGAATTCCTGAACTAACATGACTGGCTCAGGAATTCTGGGAGTTGAAGTCCACAAGTCATAAAAGGGCCATAGTTGCCCACCTCTGAGTTACGTGTTTCTTTTTTTAAGCTACAAGTAGTCCTTGACTTACAACAGTTCATTTAGTGATTGAAGTTACAGCACTGAAAAAAGTGACTTAATGACCGTTTCTCTTAATGACCGTTGCAGCATCCCCTTGGTCACGTGATCAAAATTCAGACGCTCAGCAACTGACTCATATTTTAATGACGGTTGCTGTGTCCCAAGGTCATGTGATCCCCTTTTACGACCTGACAAAGTCCGTGGGAAAGCCAGATTCAACATCTTAACATCCAACTTAACATCCATGTTACTAACTTAGCAACTGCACTGATTCACTTCACAACCATGGTAAGAAAAGTCATAAAACGGGGGCAAAATTCACTTAGCAGATGTTTCGCTAAGCAATAGAAGTTTTGGGCTCAATTGTGGTCGTAAGTCAAGGACTGCCTGTAGTTTGTTTTTTTTTAGAAAAAGGCTCCCTAAAATAATCACATTGTTTTAAATTGGAAATTCAGATTTAAAATTATACTAACGGCTGTTATACAAATAATTTGTAAGTACTCACTGGGTTGAGTTGGGCAGCCGTAGAGATTGGATAGATGAATAACAATAGATGTTTAGAACAGGTATTTGACTTTACTTACTTGGTTTTGTGAAAATGAAATAATTGATCAATCGTGGCAAATGGTGTAAAATTGGACATGAGTCACTTAACAATTCTGGCCCAAATTGTAGTCGTAAGTCAAGGACTTCCTGTATATGCCATCAAGTCATTAAGCGACCAGATGGATAGATATTCTGCATAAAAGCTGGTGGAGATGAAGAATGGACCTAGAATCACACAGGGCTAATAAGCTTCTTAATAAGCTTAATACTTAATAAGCTTCATATTGAACTGTATAGTATAATTTTTGAAAGTTTAGTAGCAATTTAAAACTCCCCCTTTCAGATGTTACAACACTACAAGTAACATTATCTTGGAAATGTTACGCTTTCTTGTCTGTATTTCAGTGGTGCAGTGGTTAGAATGCAATATTGCAGGCTAATTCTGCCCACTGCCAGCAGTTCGAGTCTTACCTTCTTAAGGTTGACTCAGCCTGCCATCCTTCTGAGGTCGGTAAAATGAGGACCCAGATTGTTGTGTGGGGGGGGGGGGGCAATATGCTGACTCTGCAAACCGCTTAGAGAGGGCTGTGAAGCACTGAAGCGGTATATAAGTCTATTGCTATCTTGGCCATTTGTATAGGATTGGTGAGATTAGGTCTGCTATGAGCCGTGGTGGCACAGCGGTTATAATGCAGTATTTCAAGTTAACTCTGCCGACTGCCAGGGGTTCGATCCTCACCGGCTCAAGCTTGACTCAGTCTTCCATCCTTCCGAGGTTGGTAAAATGAGGAGCCAGATTGTTAGGAGGCGATATGCTGACTCCATAAACTTTAGAAAGAGCTGTGTAAAGTACAACGAAGCAGAAGTCTTAAGTGCTATTTGCTATTAATAGAAAGTTCCATTAGGCCAGTGTTTCTCAGGCACGCCGACTGGGGAATTCTGGGAATTCGAAGTTCCTACCCCTTAAAGTTGCAAGACACCCCTTTCTCCCCTGGCAGTCTCACATTTAGGCTGTTCCTTTTATCTCTTGCAGATTATGAGGAACCAAAGAAAACCACTCGAGTCCATCTGAAGAAAATAGAAGGTCGATCGGCAGCCTCAACCGCATCGAACATAGCGGCGTTGCGTAAACATTGGCGCAATTACAAGCGTCAGCAAAGGAAAAAGGCAGCCGAGAAACAGCAGAAGATGGAAGAGAGCGCGAAGGAGAACATCGAAGTGAAGGAAACGGAGGAGAAATTTACTCCAGAACTATCGCTCCGGGCCCGGCTGGAAAAATTTGCCTATTCCAAAAATAGAGGAAAAGAGGACAGCCAGGAGAAACGAGCACCGGATCCAAAAGTCTCAGCAGAGGAGCTGCATCAGGAATGTACTGTGTGTGGGAAGCACTTCACCTACGATGGTCAGCTTACCGATTCACCGGACACTGAAGCGAAACCTCACAGATGCAACGAATGTCGGAAATGATTTCCGAAGAGAAGAGTAAGTTTTGGCCAGATCACTCCCACGGGGGAGGGGAGAGGGTCTATGACAACTCGCCACAGCCATCTCACCACAGGACAACTTGCCGCAGAAGAAGAGTTACCCTAATATCAAAGAAATAGTGGAATAGAATCATTAAAGAAAGGACGCAAACATTATAAAGTAATGTAAAACACAAAATACAAAGTAAATAGGAAAGCAGTGGGGAGGGAAAGGGGAAGGAGAAGTGAGGAAAGATAAGAAAAAGAAACATCGACTTCCGACTCTTTCTGTTACAGTAGAATAAGGTGTTAACATCAAACCATGGCTTTTTGCTTTTTCATAATAATATGAACAAGCCATTTCTATAAAGATCTATCGGTCTAATCGGTAAAAGCCAAAGTCAGAGTTTCATTCTTCTTCACGTCAAGCATGAAGTTCAGAAGCGGTTTCCATGTGGAAACAAATTTATGGTCTTTTCTTTAATCCAAGTGCTCAGTTTTGACATTTCAGCCAACTCCATCAATTTCTGCAACCATTAGTCCACGGTAGGAATCGAAGTGTCCTTCCATGTTTGTGCATACGAGAGTCTTCCTGCTGCCAACATATACAAGAAGAAAAATTCCAAATTCTTCCTCCAGTTCTTTTTCCATGAGATCCGAAAGGAAAAGTTCTAGTTTCATTTTTATCTCCGTTTGCAAAAAAAAAAATTGTATTAAAATATGAATCATACTCCAAAAAATTTTTCTTGTCTTTCCTCACTTCTCCTTCCCCTTTCCCACCCCACTGCTTTCCTATTTATTTTGTATTTTATATTACTTTATAACTCAATAAAAATGTTAATGATAAAAAAAGAAGAAGAAATGATGCCAAAGGAGGGACAAAACGAAATGTGAATGGCAAAACTTTATTTATTTTAAATAATTACATAGAATTGTTACATTGTCCCGCAGCGAGTTGGCTGTGGCAAGTTGTCCCAAGGGGTGAATCCGTTGCGCTGAGGGTAGAAAAGATTTCTTTCAGAACGATGACCCTGAGGGGGCATTTGAAAATTTAAGGTTTCCAGCCTGTGCTTGAACGTACTGTGTGTGATAAAAAGATAAGTTTGTGAGTGGAGCGCATTATAGAAGTCACTGCTGTTTTTCCAAAAGTGTTAAGGAATTCGCAGAGTAACCCATGAATAGCAAGGGTGTCCACATGAAAGCGATTGAGAGTAGATACAAATAAGCACAGTCAACACACAGATACACTGAGTTGTGTTTACTTTCAAGAAATAGTAAGGCACAGTCCAATAAACAGTCCAGGTCATACACATATAAAGCAGGAGATAGCAAAACGACAGTCCAGGGATAATCCAATAACAAAGTCTTCTTACCAGTCGTTGTAGTCATTCGCAATAAATAATTCTTCTGGATTTGCAAACAGTAGCATACAGAGATATCAGAGATCAAGAACAGCAAAAAGAAACAAACCATGTTTCTAGCTCCCTCTTAAGGAGATTGGCTACAGAGCTAACCAATCAGGACACAGTATGATGCAATATAGCAGTCTTAAAGCTATATTGATGGTTTATATATTGCCAACCCAACAAGGTAGGTAATACTCATTTCCTAACTGTTTAATTGAACTTCATTATAAAATACAAATAGAAACAAATAACGCAGATAGTCCTCGACTTACGGCCACAATTGAGCACAACATTCCTACAGCTAAGCGAGGTAGTTGTTAAGTGAGCTTGCCCTACTTTTATGACTTTTCTTGCCACGGTTGTTAAGCAAATCGCTGCAGCTAAATTAGTATTTTTATTTTATTTATTTATTTTTATTATATTTGTATACTGCCCTTCTCCCGAAGGACTCAGGGCGGTGAAGAGCCATGATAAAACAACATACAAGACAAAATTTAAAAAACATTAAAGCAATTCAATCTTTGGCCAAAATTAAAACTTCCAATTAAAACCATTTTAAACCACTTTTAAAACCCAATTTAAAATCATTTATCCCGTCAGACCGGCTTGCTGAAATAATAGGGTCTTCAGAGCACGACGGAAGGTGCGGAGGTCGGAGATCCTTCGTATGTCCTGGGACAATGCATTCTATAGGGCAGGAGCCCCCACAGAGAAGGCTCTCCCCTGGGGGTCACCAGTCGACATTGTTTGGCCGACGGCACCCTGAGGAGGCCCTCTCTGTGGGAGCGTGTCGGTCGGTGGGAGGAAAACGGTGGCAGAATGCGGTCCTGTAAGTAACCCGGTTGTGAGGTGAATCTGGCTTTCCCCGTTGACTTTTGTTTGTCGGAAGGTTGCAAAAGGGGATCACATGACTCCGGGACACTGCAACCGTCATAAATCTGAGTCAGTTGCCAAGCGTCTGAATTTCGATTGTGGGGATGCTGCAATGGTCGAAAGTGGGAAAAAGCGGTCATAAGACACTTCCAGTGCTTTTGTAACTTCAAGCAGTCACTAAATGAAATGTAAGTCAAGGACTACCTGTAATGAGGGGATAAGAGAAGGTAAAAGAAAGGGAGAGGGGCACAAGGTAAGAAGGAAAGACAAAAGCAATGGCGTCCAATTTTTGGGGGGTGAGGTAAAATAGTACAGCTACAACGTCAACGTTTGTTTTACATATATAGTAAGAGACTGGGAAAATTCTTTTCTTCAATTAAACACTTTTACCATCTCTGCCTCCTTCATTTCTGGATCCTTCCTGAGCCTTAGTGGCTCAGTGGTTAAAGTGTTGTATTGCAGGCTAATTCTGCCGACTGTTAGCAGTTCGATTCTGATCGGCTCAAGGTCTTCCATCCTTTCAAGGTCGGTAAAATGAGTGTTGGGGGCAAGATGCCGACTCTGTAAACTGCTTAGGGCGGTAAAGCACTGAAGTGGTAGACCGATAGTCCTCAACTTACAACAGTTCGTTTAGTGACCGTTCAAAGTTAAAACGGCACTGAAAAATGTGACTGGAATTGGAACCATTTTTCCATCACAACCTCTGCAGCATCCCCATAATCGTGTGATCAAAATTCAAACGCTTGGCATTTGGTTCCTATTTATGACTTGCTGTTCCAAGGTCATGCGATCTGACCTCACAAACAAAGTCAACAGGGAAGCCAGATTCACTTACTAACGTATCAACTGCAGTGATTCACTTAACAACTGTGCCAAGAAAGGTGGTAAAATGGGGCCAAACTCAGAAATTTTGGGCTCAATTGTAAGTCATAAGTCTAGGACTACCTGTATAAGGCAATGGGGTTATTGCTATCAGTCTTTCCAAATAGAGCTTCCATTTTTATGCATACAGGAATCTTGCTGCAGTCAACGTATATCCGTGATGGCGAACCTATGGCATGCGTGCCACAGGTGGCACGTGGAGCCATATCTGTGGGCACGCGAGTGTTGCCCTATCTTAGCTCCAGCGCACAAGAGCGCACCAGCCACCTGATTTTCGGGCCATTTCGGAAACATGCCGTTTCCGGCCATCAGAGGGCCTCGGGGGGGGGGAGGCCGTTTTCGTCCTCCCCAGGCTCCAAGAAAGCCTCTGGAGCCTGGGGAGGGCGACAAACGGGCCTACTGGGGCCACCGTGCCAGCGCAGGGGGGGGGTCGCGTGTGCATGCGTGGGGGGGGGGGGTACATTGAATTATGGGTGTGGGCACGCATGTGCATGACATCCCGTGCTCCCCCTGCTTTTGGCACGCAACGGCAAAAAGGTTAGCCATCACTGCCCTATATGATAAGTTTCCAATTTTTTTTAAAAAAAAATTCTAATAAAAACTTCTGGCTTCAGTTTTATGTTTATTTGAAGAGTCTTCCGAATTAAGGCAAAAAATGTGGCCCTAATATTTCACCTAGGGCAGTTCTCTCAGAAGTAAGTGTTAAGGATATTGGTGTTGTGTTACCAACGAGCAGAGTAAATGCACAAGGAAACGTTGCTGAGAGCAATGAATAAGAGATATGCAAACTGGTGTATCAAAAGCTTACTTTATAGTAGAAAAACAGTCTCATAGTCTTTAAACAAATTCCAAGTCTTTGCCAGTAAATCAGTCCAGTAGTTACAGAATCTTCTTACCCAACAAACAGTAGTTGGTTAGAATAACAAACTCACTCTGGTTCACAAACCACGATGGTTGCAGATCCATCCAACGATGATTAGCAGATAACAACTCCTCTCAATGGTAGCTTATCATAGCAGCTTCATCATCTCATCATCTTCATACACAATGGCAGCATAGCATAGCAGCAACTGAACATGTTACAATACCTTGCTTAAATACTCTCACAACCAGTCATTATCTAATTACAGCATGACTCAGCATTAAAGTCACATAATACATTTACAGATTAAAGTTACAGTACACTTATATTGCCAGGACAACATAGTTAGGCTCAAACCATATCCTAACAGTAAGCTAAGTTTACTTGGGAGTTCACGGCCTGGAACATTGGTACACCTACTCAGGAAACACCTAATCTGGGCCCTCAAAGGTGTACAGGAAGCCCTCGATTTACGACCACAACGGAGCCCAGAATTTAGGTTGCTAAGGGGGAGAAATGTGTTAGGAGTTTTGCCCCGTTTTACGACTTTTCTTCCCGTCGTTTGTTAAGTGAATCGTTTGCAGTTGTTAAATTAGTAACCCGGCTGTAATGCGCATCTGGCTTCCCCATTGACTTGGCTTTGTCAGAAAGTAGCAAAAGGTGATGACGTGCCCTTGGGACACTGCAAGCATCCTAAATATGAAGCAGTTGTCAAGCATTTGTGTGGAAATCACGTAGGTTGTAAGTGTGAAAAGTGGTCGTAAATCACTTTTTTCAGTGCTGTTGTAACTTTGACCGGTCACTAAATGAACTGTTGTAAGTCGAAGACTTAACTGTATCTGATTGTGCTGCTTTATTCCCTTCTCTTTCTCTCTCTCCTTTCTCTTTTTTTCTCTCTCTGTCTCTCTTTCTCTCTCCTCCATTTCTCTCTCTCCTCTTTCTGTTTTTCTCTTTCTCTCTCTCTCTCTGTTCCCAGTTTGATTTAACGCACGTGCTTGCACAGTATACATCGCTCGTGAAAGAAGACAGACGGCACTTCAAAACCACATGGGACCTCTCTCCCGACGAACCTCTCCCTTCGGGCAGCTGAGAAGGCCGACTTGTCAATCTTCCTGCCAGCACGGTTTGATCCGCAGAGATCAGCAACTTCTGAACAAGACGTTTGCCGCTGCTTGATTTCTGCAGATCAAACACCCAGTAACAATAACTTGTCTTTTGGGGGGTAGGGGGGGCAGCTGCTGACTCTACCGTCTTCTTACAGGTCTTCTCCCCCCCACAATCAGTCGTGTTGATTTTCGTTTGAGCATTTGGAAAGCTCAGAAATGTTCTCCGGAGACATTGTAGGGTGGGAAGGGAGGGGTGGGTGGGTTCTGTCCGTTCTCGGCTGTCAGCCAATAATAGCATAACAATATTTGAGATATTGCATCCCTTTTTTCCCCAAGGTTTTCGTCTCCTGTGTTGCATAACCCTCTCGTTCTATAACTCCTTCGTGGGAAGAGAATTCACGTCGTCCCACAAAAAGTCTTGATTTTTCTGAGCCTCACAGCGGAATTCTCAAAACTCGCTTTGACTTCCCAGTCACTTCAAGAAAAGGCTTGGAAGGAGAGTCATTTTCAAGGGTTTGGGTAGAGGCAAAGTGTCATCTGACGAGCAGCGAATTACGCTAATTGTTTAGTATTTTTTTTAAAAAAAGACAACTAGGTGTTTCTTTTAAAGAAATCCATTTGTGTCACAATAGACTCTTCATGTTTTGTATCTTAGGTTCCCTGTTAAAGTGATGCCACACGATTCCATGTCAAGTATGGATGGGAAAGCTATCTAAAATATACACTGTTAAATATTTTAACTTTGTTTTTTTTTTTTTTTACCCCCACTTAATCAAAAGTAAGGAAAAGAGTGGAGCCCAAAAAAGTAAGAAACTTGGAAGTGAAGGAATTGTATTGTTCATATGTCCCACACAAGGAATGGCGAAAGGGACATTGTACGTTAACTATTGAGCCAAAACTTAATTTTTCAGATTGGTTCTCTCTGTCCTGACATTTATATATACCCTGAAGCCTAGTTAAAACTAAGACAGGCTTTCCCTGAGGTGTGTTACTAAGTAGGCATGTCTCACTCTTAAAAAATCACCTCTTGGTAAATATATACTCCAAATAAAAATTTTCACAGGCTTCACCTAGTATGGAGTTGAGTGGGCCATTGGAGGATTATGGATGTAATACTATTTCAGGTCGTCTGCAGCTTCAGCAAAGGCCTTCGGCCCTTCATCTTTCTACGTACAACAGCCTCGCCTGAGGAGAAACAGGACTTCCAACTTCTTCCTTCAGCTTTATTTTAATCTCCACTGGGTTGTTTCTGCCAAGCACGGCGGCCATTTTTAGCAGGTGCAAATGCTCTCCTCCCACACAGAAATTTTATGACTTTTCCCAAGTAACTTAAAGCCTGAATCAGAGCAAGGAAACCAGCCAGGCCGGTGCCATTGGCTCAGCTCATGGCCTGGACGTAGTCAAGAAACAGTCAAAAGAACTGAGTGGATTGAGTTGGCAAGGGAAAGAGTGAAGGAATCCAGAGGAGGAATGGCAGAGAACCAAATATTGGGGCAAAAGATTAGGGAAAACTGCTTTTTTTTAAAAAAAAAAAATACTTTGGGGCACTGAAATTAGACTTTCTTAAAAAGTGCAGCTTTCTTGCTGGGAAGGTTTCAGCTGCAACCAGGCAGGAGCAGAGAAATTGCAAAAGGCACAAGATGGAGTAGGACGGGGATTTAGAAGGACGGCCGCTAAAAGCCCTCACTACTCCACTGGATGTTTAACTCAGATTTGCAACTCTCCATATTTTCCTGTTTTAGCTCTCCCCGACATCTTTCTCCCCCGCCCCTTTCAATTTTCTTAAACTATCCTCACTGTAATACAAGAATCAAGAGCCTTCCTCATTTTTTTAAAAAAACTTTGGTTTCTAATGTGTTTAATGTAACAAGCAGATTGTGAAACGCTAAGCCAAGTTGGATCTGGTTAGTTAGTACATGGAAGAGAGACTGTCAGGAAATCTCAGGGTTGTAATTTAGGCTGGGGAAAGGGTGAAAAAGTCTGTAATATGGGACGATTTAAGAGGGGGGAAAAAATCTGGGGGAATGTGGACCAGCGCCTTGTGTAGTCCAGCAGTCTATTTCTCACAACTGACTGATTCCAGGAAACCCATCCAACAAGCCATGAACCTATCAATCGGTTTCTACTATCCCTGAAGCTGCTAATGTGCACGGGTATCCTGCCTCTTTATATGGAGGTTCTACTTTTCGCCTGATGGCCAAAGTTAAGACATATTCAGGGACAGCAGGAAGATACATGACCGAATAGTTCGAATAAACTTTGTTTTTTTGTGATCGTGGGAAGATGGTCAAACCCTTCCTAATCCAGGTAATTCTCAGTCGCTTTAATACAGTCTCCCAACCTTGACAACTTTTAAAACCTGTGGACTTCCAACTCCCAGAATCCCACAGCCAGCATAACATAGTCGGCTGGGGAATTCTGGGAGTTGAAGTTCTCCCATCTTAAAAGTTGCCAAGGTTGGCAGACCCTGGTTTAATGGGAGCTACTCCTGGGTGAGATTACTAGCTTATGCATTCCTTTAAAAAAAAAAGGTTGGAAAGGTATTAAGATTTGAATGACAACGGGGGAAACAAATTACAAAGTAGTAGGAGTCACAATCCCGTTTGCTTGTATAAATTGTGACGGATTTTGGGAAAGCTTGGTGCACTCAATAAATTTTTTTTTACAACTTTGAAAGCTCAAGAATCTTCCTTTCCTTTATGAGCAACACACTAGGCTGGTTTAGAAAAGCTTCAAATGGGTTGCAAACGTTTTAAACCCACCTTGAGTCAGCTCAAATGGGTGGCAGTTAAATTTAATAATCCCGAGAGTTGGGGGGAGGGAAATCTCTGCAAACATTCTTACTTGACACTCAGTATTTCCTGGTGAAATAGACAGCAAACAAATTTAATAAATAAAATAATTTCCTAGCCTAAGGCAGGGGGGAACCTGATTCATGTAAGTCAGTGGCCCCCTAAGTCAGTGATGGCGAAACATTTTGCCATCGCGTGCCAAAACTGGGAGCGCGGGGGGGGGGCTCGCACCCATAATTCAATACGCCTCTGTGCAGGCATGCAACCCCCCTGCGCTCCCTCTGCTTTTGACAGGTGATGGCCCGGTAGGCATGTTTTTCGCCCTCCCCAGGCTCCAGAGCCTTTCTAGGAGCCTGGGGAGGGCGAAAAAGCCCTTCCCCACCCTCCTGGAGGCCCTCCAGAGACTCGAAATGGCCCGTTTGTCGACTTCCGGTCTGTTTCTCGCCTTTAGAGGGCGTCTGGGGGGGGCGTTTTTGCCTTCCCCATGCTCCTAGAAAGGCTCTGGAGCCTGGGGAGAGCGAAAAACAGACCTTCTGGTCCCACCGTAAGTCAGCAAACAGGCTGTTTCTGGCCTCCAGAGGGCCTCTGGGTTTTGGGGAAGGCTGTTTTTGCCCTCCCCAGGCTCCTAGAATGCCTCTGGAGCCTGGGGAGGGCGAAAAACGGCCCTTCCCCACCCCCCGGAGGCCTTCTGGAGGCCGGGAACAGCCTGTTTCCTGACTTACGGTGGGCCCGGAAGGCCCGAAAATGCATGCACTGGAGCTGAACAAGGGCAACGCTCGCGTGCCCACTGATATGGCTCCACGTGCCACAAGTTTGCCATCACGGCCCTAAGTGATTTCATTTTTAACACATCACTAAACTTTCTTTTTTCTCAGAAGCAAATACTTGGTAGTTTTCCCATCTCTACCCTGGGCAATTTTTACAGTGGGGGATTTAGACTTTAGTCTGAAATCTATGTTAAGTGGAGGAATTGACTACTTTCAGGGGTGGGCTGCTGGGGGTTCGTAGGGGTTTGGGAGAACCTCTAGCTAAAATTCTGTGCAGTTCGGAGAACCCCCAAATCCCACTTCTGGCAGGCCCCACCCCTCCCAGGAGTCCCCTGTTTTGGATGCAGGTAAGCGCAGGGCACACACAGAGACTCGGGGAGTGTGAAAAATGGGCCTACCGGAAGTTCAGGAAGGCCGGAAATAGGCCCGTTTCTGGCCAACAGAGGGCCTCCGGAGCCTGGGGAGGCTGTTTTCGCCCTCCCGGAGACTCAACGAAAGCCTCCAGAGCCCAGGGAGGGCAAAAACACCCCCCACCCCCCCTACGGTGCAGAAGGCTGACTAGGCCATGCCCACCATGGCCACGCCCACCGAGCAACCAGGCAGAGAACCCCTTGCTAAAAATTTTGAAGCCCACCCCTGACTACATTCAAATGTTCAGGATCATCTGACAGAGTCCTGTTAGGGACGTTTGGTCCCAACCTAGGAAGTGACTCTTGTAATGCACCCAGGGATTGTGAAGATTTTTTTAAAAAAAAATACAATCCGAGGATTGAAAAGGATTGGACTCTTTTAGGCCGAGAGTCCAACCTGCTATCCAGAGTAAGAATCGGATTAAAGCCTCCGCAGCAGATGGCTGCTTAGCTCCTACTTAAGTCCACTGAGAGATGATAATCCTTGCTGAAGGTCTATGGCGGGGGCGATCAAACTTGGATTTCATCGAGGGCCGCATCAGAGTTGTGTTTCCCCTTGGGGGGCTGGGGTGGGCGTGGCCAGCTCATCGTCACTCGTGTCAGGGGTGCCTGTGGTGGCCCAAGCCCTCTGCCAGAGAAAATGGACTCCCAAGCTCCGTTTTCGGCTGCAACCTTCTGCCAGTGAAAACAGAGCTACGGATGGCTGTGTACGGCCCTCCCGAGCTCTATTTTTGCTGGGAGAGGCACTGCGAGACAGTCCTTCACTGTTTCCAAGGTGGCCCCATGGGCCAGATCTAAGCACCCCATGGGCCGGATGTGGCCTGCGGGCCTGCAGTTTGAAACCCTTGGCCTATGGCGATTCTCAGCCATCCAGATCATGGTTGTCCTAAACCTGTGATGGCGAACCTATGGCACGGGTGCCACAGGTGGCACACGGAGCCATATTGGTGGGCACGCAAGTATTGCCGTAGCTCAGCTCCAGCGTGCATGCGCGCACCGGCCAACTGATTTCCAGGCCTTCTGGTCCCACCGGAAGTTGGGAAACTGGCTGTTTCTGGCCTCCTGAAGGCCTCCGGGGAGTTGGGGAAGGCTGTTTTTGCCCTCCCCAGGCTCCTAGAAAGCCTCTGGAGCCTGGGGAGGGGGAAAAACGGGCCTACCGTGCCATTGCGTGCCAAAAGCAGGAGGGTCATGTGCGCATTCATGGAAGGGCAGGGCGCATTGAATTATGGATGTGGGCACCCGTACCCGCGACAGCACGCGACAGCAAAAAGGTTAGCCATCATGGTCCTAAACCATGGGACAACCCTTGCTGGATCACCATCAAATTGAACGGAAAAAACTTCTAGCCTGCATTAGTTACACACTGCCCAATTTCCCTAAGCAATCAAAACTTATTGTACTTTTCAGAGTGTAAGACACACTCCCCCACCTAAAAGAGGGTAGAAATGTTGGTGCGTCTTAGAGACCAAATACAGCCATTTTTGGCTTCCCGAAACCCCGCCCCGTGTGTCCCATTTTTGCCAAAAACAGGCCTTTTTCGCAAAAATGGGACACGCAGAGGGTTTGGGAGGCCTGCAGAGTGCTCCTGGGGGCTGGGGAGGGCAAAAACGGGATGCATGGGGGGGGGCTTTGGGAAGCCAAAAATGGGCAGGTTATATGCAAAAACGGGACCTGCAGAGGGTTTGGGAGGCCTGCAGAGTGCTACTGGGCAAAAACCAGACACGTGGAAGCAAAAACTTTTTTCTTCTTCTTGTTTTCCTCTTTGAAATCTTGGTGTGTCTTATAGTCTGAAAAATACAGTTAAATACAATGCTAAAAAAAAATACTTCATTTTCTTAAAACAATGCCTCAGAGACTCGTGTTGTCTACGTAATATTTGTTTAATCAGAACAAAGCACAAACACAACCGTTGCAATTGAGTTTTTGTTTACAGGGGGCGGAGGTTTTCAGATGACAATTGTCGTCACGTGGACGCGCTGGTGCTTCAGCAGAGCCCCTTTGTGGCAAAAGCTTTTCCCACACTCCGGACACTGATAAGGTTTCTCGTGGACGTGCTTCCTTTGATGGTCGATCAAGCTGTCGCGCCGAGAGAAACTTCTCCCGCACTCGGGACACGCGTAGGGCCTTTCTCCCGTGTGGATCCGCTGATGGCGTATCAAATGAGCCCGCTGTCTGAAGAACTGGCCGCACTGAGGGCATTCGAAGGGTCTCTCTCCCGTGTGGATTCTCACATGTCTTATCAAAGTTTCCCGGGTAGGAAAGTTTTTCCCGCACTCGGGACATTCATAAAGCCTCTTCCCCGCCCGGAGACCTCTCAACAAATGTTCTCTTTGTTGGAATATTTTCCCAATATCGGGGTACCCGTGAGGGATCTCGACCCCGTGCAGTTGCTGATGGTGCATTAAATGTTCTTTCTGCCGGAAGCATTTCCCACATTCGGGACATCCGAAAGATTTTTCCCCTGGTTGAATTCTCGGACACGGTTTTTGTTGGCAGTTTTCCACCCACGTTGGACATTCGGTGGGGTCCTCCTCACCGGGGTAGGTCATCGCAAACCCTGGTTTGTAGTGATATTTCCTACAATAGTCTGAAACCAAAGGTTCGTCCGCCATAGACTGCAGTTCAGAGGTTTCACTACAGAGGGCGATAAAGTTTTCTAAAGCTTCTCCGGGCTCTGCGTCTAACGGCACCTTCCCCAGCTCCACGTGGGTCTCGCAACTTTGTTCGTGAACGGTTGTTGTTGCAGGAATGTTCCACTGTGAGAATTCGGTAAGCGTCTCCCCTTCCATTTGGGAGCTCTTCAGTTGCATCCAAGGCCTCTTTTCGTCACCTGAAGGGAAACAAGAGAGGAACTTTGGTCTGAATCGGATCATTTCTTTCCTACAATCTTTTTTTTTTTTTAATGGCTGTCCTAACTTCCCGCTTCCTTTTTCCAACTGAGTTAGAATGTGGTTACTTAACATCCGTCTTCCTGCCCCACCATCTGGTTACGTGATACATTCGGGGATTCAGAACGCAGGAATTAAAAGTTATTACCGAGGGAATCGGTTCTCCTCAGTGGTGCCGGAGGTACGTAGGACATGAGCTAAGGAAATGTTTGGTTACATCTCATATTGTGGAAAAATACAAAGTACAGATAATCCTCACTTAATGACCAGTTGCTTAGCAACCGTTAAGGAACTCTGGTGGCGCAGTGGTTAGAATGCAGTATTGCAGGGCTGATTCAGCTCGCTGCCAGGAGTTCGATCCTGACTGACTCAAGGTTGACTCAGCCTTCCGTCTTTCTGAGGTCTGTAAAATGAAGACCCAGATTGTAGGGAGCAATAGGCTGACACTGTAAACTACTCAAGAGTGCTGTAGAGTGGTATATAAATCTAAATACTACAGGTAGTCCTTGACTTACAACAGTTCGTTTAATGACCGAAGTTGTAACAGCACTGAAAATAGTGACTTATGACTATTTTTCACACTTATGACCGTTGCAGTGCCCCCCCCCCCACGTGATTTACATTCAGATGCTTGACAACTGGCTCATATTTATGACGGGTGCAGTGACCCGGGGGGGGGGTGTCTTGGGATTCCCCCTTTGTGATTTTCTGACAAGCAAAGTCAATGAGGAAAACAGATTCACTTAACAACCTTGTTACTAACTCCTACCACTGCACTGATTCACTGAAGATATAGCAATAGCTATTAGACTTATATACCTGTTCTGCCCCAGCTACAGACCCCAAAGAACACACAGTCTATACAAAACTTAAATTTACTTAGTCTTTTCCAAACAAAGGCTGTTAATAAACTTCCTTAACAGCCTACAAGAAACCAAAGATAAAGTAATCAATATCTTACTAAGGTTGGCAGAAAGCCCAGAAGCAATTTGCAGAGAATCCAGACGCGAAGGAGAATGAACTAAAGTTGTTCTCTACAAATTGCTTCAGTCGGCGTTCCTCCTTAAATAGGCTAAGGGAGTGGCCAATTAGCCCCAAGCCTTACTTTCAAGGAGACATCCTCCTGAGGAGCAACTCCTGCCTTTTGGCAGCTCTGCGCGTCCGTGTATCAAGAAGAGGCTCCTCCTCTTCGTCCTCTTCACTTAAAGGAGCTTCTGGAGGTTCTGGCTGAATCCCTGCCTCTGGCAGCACATCTTCTCCAGCCTCCTCATTGTCTGACTCGAGTGCCAGCTGCGCAGGCTGCTGGTGCAGCACCACACCAGCCTCCTCGCTGTCAGAATCAGCTACAATCCACACAGGCCGCTGACGGGCCATAACAATACCGCTCAAATCATGCTTTACCACTCTGAGTAGTTTACAGAGTCAGCATATTGCCCCCTAACAATCTGGGTCCTCATTTTACTGACCTCAGAAGGATGGAAGGTTGAGTCAATCTTGAGCTGGTGAGAATCGAACCTCTGGCAGTCGGCAGAAGTAGCCTGCAATACTGCATTCTAACCACTGCACCACCCACGGTACAAAATGTGCCCCTCTAGAGACACACGTAACACAGCCTGCACTGCTGTGTTATGTATCAGTTGAACTTTCCATACACTCTTCAAAGGCACCCCCAGGTAGAGTGCATTGCAGTAGTCCATAGCGCAAAATTTAGAGAATGCAGGTAGTCCTCCACCTACGACCAAAGTTGAACCCGAAATTTCCGTTGCTAAATGAAACATTTTGTTAAATTGAAGACTACCTGTACATCCAAGTCATGGGCTCCCTTTGAACAGGTAGTCCTCGACTTAGGACCACAATTGAGTTCAACGTTTCTGTTGGTAAGGGAGACATTTTGACCCATTATACAACCTTTTACAACCTTTCTAACCACAGTTGTTCAGCAAATCACTGCAGTTGTTAAATTAGTAAAACGGTTGTTAAGTGAATCCAGCTTCCCCATTGTCAGGTCGCAAAAGGGGACACTGCAGCCATCAGTCAGTCAATTGCCAAGCATCTGAATTTTGTTCATGTGGCCATGCTGTAACGGTCATAAGTGTGAAAAACGGTGGTAAGCTACTTTTTTCAGAACCGTTATAAACTTTGAATGGTCACTAAATGAACTGATGTAAATCGAGGACTACCTGTACTTTCAATACAGTGCCGATTTATATCTTTTGGCAAAATCTGTAGGTGGATCTCCTCAAGAGAAGAACAAACAGCCTGCAACCCACGTATAACCAACGTGTACAACTTTACAACAATAAAAAAAAAATTGCAATGCACTTTTATTTGTACGCTGCCTTGTTTTGTCTATTTTAATCTTTCTCATTGGGAGGCAGCACGCCCATGCGCTCTAAGATTGAAGACACTGAATACACTTCGTAACAAGAGCAGGACAAGTTCAAAAATTAAAATTCAGAACATCACTTAAGACCAAGGATGATACATTAGCGCAAACATAATTTTGTCTTTATAGAAAATTCAGCTCCGCTGAGCAAGCTCAAGAAAGTAAGGCATACACAGATTTCAACACGATCTCTTTTAATGTTCCATCTCAGAGTCAATACAGAACCTTAGAAAATAACAGAATAAGAGAGTTGGAAGGGACCATCGAGGTCTTCTAGTCCAACCCCTGATCAAGCAGGAGACCCTACACCACTTCAGACAAATCGTTATCCAATCTCTTCTTAAAAACTTCCAGTGTTGGAGCATTCACAACTTCTGAAGGCAAGTCGTTCCACTGATTTAATTGTTCTCAGTGTCAGGAAATTTCTCCTTAGTTCTAGGTTGCTTCTCTCCTTGATTCGTTTCCATCCGTTGCTTCTTGTCCTGCCCTCAGGTGCTTTGGAGAATAGCTTGACTCCCTCTTCTTTGGGGCAGCCCCTGAGATATTGGAAGACTGCTATCATGTCTTCCCCTAGTCCTTCTTTTCATCAAACTACACATACCCAGTTCCAGCAAACCGTTCTTTATATATTTTTTAGCCTCCAGCCCCCTAATCATCTCTGTTGCCCCTTTCTTCACTCTTTCCAGAGTCTCAACATCTTTTTTATAATATGGTGACCAAAACTGGATCCAGTATTCCAGGTGTGGCCTTACTAAGGCTTTATAAAGCGGTACTAAAGTCCCCAAAAGTGCTTTTCAAAAGGCAACTGGACTTTCTGCTTTTTTCTTTGAAGACGTTTCGCTTCTCATCCAAGAAGCTTCTTCGGTTCTGACTGGATGAGAAGCAAAACGTCTTCAATGAAAAAAAAAACAAAAAACCAGAAAGTCCAGTTGCCTCTTGAAAAAGCACTTTTGGGACAACCATGACCTGGATGATGGAGAACCTCCATAGACAAGCGGTACTAGTACTTCACGCGATCTTTATTATTTATTTATTTATTATTCAAACTTCTATACCGCCCTTCTCCTTTTGGACTCAGGGCGGTGAACAGCCAAAATAAAAACATTTATACATAACATTGCAATTAAAAATAGATTTAAAATAATTAATAAATTTGGCCCATCATTTAAAACTTGTCAATTTAAAATCAGTATCAAAATTTTAAAATCAACCCTAAAATCATCTTGATTCCATCCCTTGGTTAATGAAACCTAGGATTGCTAGTTTGTTAAAAGTGGAGTTTCAAGTCACTCAAAACGCTTTTTCTCAGATGACTAGCCACATGGGCTGAGTTTCTGGTCTCTCACAGTGGCCTACAATGTGTGGGGATACTTCCTACACCATGTTAGTTAATATCTTCTAGCAGTGTCTTTCGTCGTAAGTCAACCATTCGGTCATGTCTGACCCTCAGCCACTCTATGGTTCAGCCTAGAGTGGCCGGGGATCGGACACGACTGAATGGCTGACGGCGAAAGACACTGCTAGAAGATACAGGCAGTCCTCGACTTACTTACAAGTGTTCACTTAGTGACTGTTCAGAGTTAGAACACTGAAAAAAAGTGACTTATGACCATTTTTCAGAGTTACGACCTTTGTAGCATCCCCACGATCATGTGATCAAAGTTCAGATGCTTGGCAACTGGTTCACACTTATGACTGTTACTCTGTCCCAAGGTCATGTGATCCCCTTTTGCGACCTTTAGACCAGCAAAATCAATTGGGGAAGGAAGCCAGATTCACTTAACAACTGTTTTACTAGCCAGATTACTTATCAACTGTTTTACTTGTATTAACAAACACGGTACCGGAGGTATCCCCACACGTTTTATTCATGCTGGCTGGGGAATTCTGGGAGTTGAAGTCCACACATCTTCAAGCTGCCAAGCGTTCAAGGTACAGCAAGTCCTCGATTTACGACCACAAGCGAGCCCAAAATTTCTGTTCCTAAGCGAGACATTGGTTAAGCTTGCCCCGTTTTACAACCATCCTTGTCACAGTTGTTAAGTGAATCACCACAGTTGACAAATCAGTAATACGGTTGTTAAGCGAATCCAGCTTCCCCGTTGATTTTGCTCCTCAAAAGGACATAAAAAGGGATCACGTGTCCCCGGCACATCACAAGTCATAAATATGAGTCACTTGCCTACAAGGAAAAAAAAAATAAAAAGGGCTGTCACCAACCTACCAAACTCCATGATTTTCATCCTGAAAGGCCCTGCGGAAAAGATCCTTTTCATAGGAAGCCCTCTACTTTTGACCACAATCAGGATAAGAATTCCGTTGCTAAGCGATGCGGTCGTTAAGTGAGTCATCCCCAATTTTACAACCTTTTTGGTTTCCCCATTTATTTGGCTTGTTGGAAGTTGGCCAGGTAGGTCAGGTTACCTCAGCTGTCCTAAATACAGGAACAACTGTATTTGCAGTACCTGCACCTGTCCTAAATACAGGGAGTCCTCGATTTATGACCACAATCAAGCCCAGAATTCATGTTGATAAGTGAAAAGGCTATTGCTTAGCGCATTGTAAGCTGCCCTGAGTCTCCGGAGAAGGGCGGCATATAAATCAAATTTTTTTTTAAAAAAAATGTTAAGTGAGCTTTGCCCCATTTGATGACTTTTCTTGCCACGTTTGCTAAGTGAATCACTGCAGTTGTTAAACTAGTCACAGGGTTGTGAAGTGAATCCAACTTCCCCATTGACTTTGCTAGTCAGGTCGCAAAAGTGGATCGCATGACCCCAGGACACTGCAACTGTCATAAATATGAGTCAGTTGCCAAGCATCTGAATGTAAATCGTGTGACCATGGAGATACGGCAACGGTCATTAAGTATGACAGGTGGGGCACCCTATCTTCGCTGGTGAGATGTCACCATCTGACGGCTGCTGTGCCCCTCGGCTGGTGCATCTGCCAGATGTGCCTGTGGAAACAGAGGAGGGGCAGCATCTGGCCCTTTACAGGAAAAAAAAAAATGGCTGACTCCTGACACATTTAGAAGCTAGTACTATATTTTTCGGACTATAAGACGTGCCCAAAATTAGAAGAGGAAAACAAACAAAACAAAAAGTTTTTGGCCTCCTTCTTTCAGGTCTTTTTTCGGCCCTTTCCCATCCTTTTTTGGTCCGTTTTTGAGGCTTTTGGCAGCCCGTTTTTGAGGCTTTTTCCGGCCTGTTTCTGAGGCTTTTTTCAACCTGTTTTTGAGGATTTTTCGGCATATTTTTGGAGCTTTTTCCAGCCCATTTTTGAAGCTTTTTTCGGCCCCTTTTCGAGGCTTTGTTCAGCCAGTTTTCGAGGAAAAAACAGGCCTCAAAAAGCCTCAAAAACAGGCTGTAAAAAGCCGCCTCAAACAGGGTGTGCAGAGGCAAAAAAACAGCCAGCAATATTTGGTCTATAAGACGCACAGACATTTTCACCCCCTTTTGGGAGACAAAAAACTGCATCTTATAGTCCAAAAAAAAATGGTAATTCATTTCAAAAAAATTTTTTGAGGAAAAACATTCAAAACAGAGAATGCTCTTCTCCAGGTAGTCCTCAACTTATGACCACAAATTGAGGCCAGAATTTCCACTGCTTAAGCAAGGCATTGAAACAAGTTGTGTCTGATTTTTTTTTTAACGTTTTTACCACGGCTGTTCATTGAATCACTGAGGTTGTTAAGTGAACCACGCAGTGGTTAAACGAATCTGGCTTCCCGCATTGACTTGGGCTTGTCCTAAGATGGCTGGGAAAGTCATAAATGGCAATCACGTGATCCCATGACAGTAACCAAGTTTGATCATGTGACTGTGGAGACGCTGCAAAGATCATACATTTACCAGGTGTTTTAAGTCCCCATTTCAGGGCCATTTTAACTCCAAACAGTTGGTAAACGAATGGCTGTAAGTTGAAGACTACTCGGAGTTATCAGTTTTCAAGATATTAATTTGATTTACCCCGTTATCAAGAAAGCAAATTTATTTGCCTGTTGTAACTGCAATTATAGCAGACAAGTTAAACCAGTTGTGCTCCTTATACTGACTGTTACTTTTAAAAAAAAAAAACAGCCAAATTAAACCACCCCGACTCACTGGGAGTTTGATGGCATAAAAATTCAGTAAACTTAAAAAGAAAAAAAAAAATTAACAGAACTGCAGAGCTGATCCTGATACCCTGCATGAATTCCAGGAAAGCTGCTATGTCCTGTCAGGAAATTACTGACACCCCAAACTCCTCACTGTCCCCAATAGCAATAGCACTTAGACTTATATACCGCTTCAGTGTTTTACAGCAATCTCTAAGCGGTTTAGAGTCAGCATATCCCCCTCCAACAATCTGGGTCCTCATTTTACCGACCTCGGAAGAATGGAAGGCTGACTCAACCATGAGCCGGTGAGGATCGAACCCCTGGCAGTCGGCAGAGTTAGCCTGCAATACTGCATTCTAACCGCTGCGCCACCAAGGCTCATAGCAGTCCAAATCTCATCAACCCTACACAAATGACCAAGATAGCCATAGCACTTAGACTTGTATACCGCTTCACAGTGTTTTACAGCCCTTTCTAAGGCGTTTACAGAGTCAGCCTATTGCCCCCAACAATCTGCGTCCTCATTTCACCGACCTTGGAAGGATGGAAGGCTGAGTCAACCTTGAATTGAACTGCTGGCAGTCGGCAGAATGAGCCTGCAGTACTGCATTCTATCCACTGCACTACCCCGGCTCACCAAACAGGCAATGAAGTTTTATTTCGGATTTATTTTGTCGTGGAGGAGCCAGCATCTAACACAACTCCTTCGATTCTACGATTGTAAAGAAAGAGGGAAGAAAGGGCAAAACACCCAAGCCCAAATCCTGAGGAGGGGAGGGTGTGATCCAACTAACCAGCTAACGCACAAACCCGAAAAGGGAATAAAACGAGGTCAGCACTGAAACCGTGCCGGCAGAGAACGCTTCCTTTTCAGGCGAATGCTTCTGTCCGACAAGCTGCCCTGAGAAGAGGGAGGAAGAGGAGGAGGAGGAGGAGGAGAAGCCGAAGAGGCCTCTGAATTTTTGCACGGCTCTGCTGAGACTTGGGACTCTGTCGATGTTTCAGAACGGGGCGTCGGGGAAGAAAAGGGGGGCTCTTGGGCAGGGGAAGTAAGAACGGGCAGAGACGGAGCCGTACGGCCCTTGCAAACGATAGACAAGACATCCTGGAGAATTCCGGTCCGGCTCGAGTGCCCGGTTTGTAGTTTCCAGCCTTTCTCGCGTAAGTAGCCTTCCAGCTTCTCCACCGCTTTCCTTTCGCACTCTTCCCATGCCTTCTCGATTTCACTCGAGGGTGCCGGGTCAGCCTTGTGGGATCCCGGTAGGGCTGGGTCCATGAAAGGGCTTCCGGTCGCAGAGTCCCCAATTCCACCTCTGGCTTGACCGACGTCTGCTCTCCTTTCCTGCCAGGACTTGCGAATATTTCTCATCCGTTCGGCGTTGGTCAGCGGTGGCTTTTGGCTTCCTGTGAGGAAGGAAGAGAGAAACACCGGCGTCTTAAAGGAGTGTGTGTGGAGCTCAGCAGAGACTCATATCTGTGTGTGCAAACATCAGCCCTTTTCCTGGCCTTTCAAGGGAAAAATACACAACTAGGTGTAACGGCATGAATGTAGCTGCTTCCTTTGTCTGGGTTTTTAAAAAGGAGTGTGTGGCAACAATATTGTGGAGAGGTGAAAGCACCTAAGATAACCAGCCTGGAAACAGACACAATTTCTGAGCTTGGTGGTTTTCTTTAGACGTTTCATTACCAGACAAGGTAACACCATCAGTGCACTGACTACGCTATCTAGTTTGGTATGAAACGTCTATAAGAAAACCACTATGCTCAGAGAGCACCAAGGACCCCACAATTCAACCCTGAGCTACAAATATTCTCTTCTATGTATTTCACTTACAGGAAGGGCATACTCTAAATAGGATGATAAACCTACACAGTTCGAGAAGTTTGATTGAACTCGCAAGGAGTTTTCTTTTACAGCGTGTTTCCCTGGACACAACGGCGAGGAAAGCAACGGAGCTTGAAAGGCAAGACACGCGTCCCGCTTCTCCCCCGCCCCACCTGCCACCCCCCTCAATAAAGAGATGGCGGGGAAGGGAAGCAGCCAGGTTGCTGTTGCCATTGGGGTGGGGTGGGACATGTTGGGCCCCTCGGCCGGCGCAAAGAACAGGGAGGGGAGGGCATGATTTTTCATCAGGTTCGCCTGATCCGCCAGTTGCGTCCCTTTCTAGATCGGGACTCCTTACGCACGGTCACTCATGCCCTCGTCACCTCCCGTCTGGACTATTGTAACGCTCTCTACATGGGGCTCCCCTTGAGGAGCACTCGGAGGCTTCAACTGGCGCAGAGTGCGGCCGCGCGGGTGGTGATGGGAGCGACGTGGCGCTCCCATGTAACACCTCTCCTGCGCAAGCTGCACTGGCTCCCAGTGGTCTTCCGAGTGCGCTTCAAGGTTTTGGTTATCACCTTTAGAGCGCTCCATGGCTTAGGACCTGGTTATCTACGGGACCGCCTGCTACCACCAATAGCCTCCCACCGACCAGTACACTCCCATAGAGAGGGGCTCCTCCGGGTGCCGTCGGCCAAACAACGTCGACTGGCGGCCCCCAGGGGGAGAGCCTTCTCTGTGGGGGCACCTACGATCTGGAACGAGCTCCCCCCGGAGATACGGAGGATCCCGGATCTGCGTACCTTCCGTCGCGCGCTCAAGACTTTCCTATTTCATCAAGCTGGCCTGACCTAAGTCTTTCCCCTTTTTAAATGGAAATTTTAAATTTGTTTTTAAATTATTGGGGTTTTAAATTTGTTCAGCCAAATTATTTAATTCGTTTTATTTTATATTAAATTTTGTATTTGTATGTTTTATTCTATGGCTGTTCACCGCCCTGAGTCCTTCGGGAGTAGGGCGGTATACAAATTCAATAAAATAAATAAATAAATAAATAAATAAATAAATAAATAAATAAATAAATAAATAAATGTTCCCCCCTCCTCTGGCCTCGCCTTCTCAACTCACTTTGGTTGCGCGGCAAGCAACCAAAGGAAATGTCGGGACCAGCTGCGCATGCGTGTAAGTAGTTGGTGTGGGGCTTATACTATCACATGTGCTGAAAAGCCCGGTTGGGCTTATTATCAGGACAGGTCTTATTTTCAGGGAAACACAATAGCAGTTCGAAAGCACGTAAAAAATGCAAGTAGAAAAATAGGGACCACCTTTGGTGGGAAGGTCACAGCGTTCCATGCGCCTTTGGCGTTTAGCCATGCCGGTCACATGACCACGGAGACGTCTTCAGATAGTGAAGGCTCTTTGGCTTTGAAACGGAGATGAGCACCGCCCCCTAGAGTCGGGAACGACTAGCAGATATGCGCAAAGGGAACCTTTACCTTTACTTTTGTATTATATATTATATATTATATATTATTTATTTATTTATTTATTTAATTTTTATACCGTCCCCTCTCCCGAAGGACTCGGGGCGGTTAAAATTATAAAGTAATTTTAAAAAAAGAAGTACCCTGGAAGGCTCTGAGCCAATCCCCCCCACTCTTAGGCCCAAAACAGTGTGGAGGAGTAGGAAAAGGCATGGATTTAGGAATGGAAGGCCCAACCTCTGCTCCTCCTCCCCGCCGCTTTGAATCAGGCTCCCTGGAGAACCTGTGATCACACACACATTACAGGTATTCCTCGACTTACGGCTGTAATGGAAGCCTACCCATTACGGTCATAAGTCATGATGGCCATAAAACAGGTCACCAATGTGACTGACCTGATTTTACGACCTTTTCTGAGATGGCTGCCAAGCGAATGGCGCAGTCGTTAAGCAAATGCCGTAGTCCTTAAGGGAATCAATTGTTCATTATGGGACATTTTTGTAACAGTAAAAAGAAAAAAAATGCCAATTTTTGGCAAAAAATGTCCTAAAGTATTGTCACGTGACTGGCAGAATGGTGCAAATGGGATAAACACGGCCTGCTTGCCGAATGCCCAAAATGGGATCCTGTGACAGAAAGTGACCACTGGATCTCTGGAACCGGGCCATAAATAATCCCCGGGGAGGTCTGCCGTAACTTTGAGTGACCGGTCGTAAATTGAGGACTATCTGTACACTTCTAGACGAAAGGTGGGATAAAAATCTAACAAATTAAATACGTAGAACAGAAGTGGTTTTTTTGAAAGGGTCACATGCAAAAATCTTCAGTTATGGTAAGTTGCTGTTTACAACGGCAGGTAATCATCAACGTACAACTCACTTAGTGACCGTTTAAGCTTACAACGGTACTGAAAAATGTGACTTATGGCTTATTTATGACCATCACAGTATCCCCACAGTCACATGATGGACATTTGGATGCTTGACAACTGATTCATATTTGTGACAGGTGCAGTGTCCCGGGGTCACTGTGATCTTCTGACGAGCAAAATCAACAGGGAAGCCAGATTCGCTGAACAACTGTGTCACTAAGTTAACCACTGCACCGATTCCCTTAACAGCTGTGTCAAGAAAGGTCATAAAGCGGGACAAAACTCACTTAGCGACTGTCTCGCTGAGCAACAGAAATGTCGGGCTTGATGGTCGTAAACTGAAGGATATCTATAATGGCACAAATAGCTGTACCCTAAAGGAAAGGGTAGCCACGTTCAGGTGAATGCATGGGGTGTGTGTGTGCATAAACTAAAGTTATTTCCGCATGGATTTTGTGTAAATGACTATGACCATGATAATGATCTATCACTATTGTTGTATGCACACTGAGAGCTTATGCACCAGAGACAAATTCCTACTGAGTCTAATCACACTTGGCCAATAAAGCATTCTGTTCTGTTCTATTCTATTCTATGCTTATTATTTTCTATTCTATTCTATTATTCTATTCTATTCTATTCTCTATTCTATTCTTCTATTTTCTATTCTATTCTATTCTCTATTCTATTCTTCTATTCTATTCTATTTTCTATTCTATTCTATTTCATTCTATTTTCTATTCTATTCTATTGTTCTATTCTATTTTCTATTCTATTCTATTTTATTCTATTTTCTATTCTCTATTCTATTCTATTTTCTATTCTATTCTATTCTATTCTATTTTCTATTCTCTATTCTATTCTATTATTATTATTCTATTCTATTCTATTTTCTATTCTATTCTATTTTCTACTCTATTATTCTATTCTATTCTATTCTATTCTATTCTATTCTATTCTATTCTATTCTATTCTATTCTATTCTATTCTATTCTATTCTATTCCATTCCATTCCATTCCATTCCATTCCATTCCATTCCATTCCATTCCATTCCATTCCACTCCACTCTACTCTACTTTCCCCTACCCTACCCTACCCTCCCGTCCCGTCCTATTCTAAATAAAAAGATTGCCTTGCATACACAGGAGAGCCAATCAGCGAATGGAAAAGGATGGATAAAGCACTGAAGGAGCACAAACCTGAGCGGGAAGTCCCATTGGACAAGCGAGGGGGATGCTTTGCCTGCTTCTTTGACTGCAGCTCACGGGCTTCTACCTCCACTTGAACCTGGGCAGTTTTGGCCACCGGACCGGCCGCGTTCTTCACTCTTTTGCGCCGGCGGTCCACGAGATGATGCTGGACCTCCTTACGCCCGATCTCCCGCGGAACCACCAGCTCCTGCTCAACCCGCAGGAATTGATTCAGCTGGTTGAAAAAAGGCCACGCTCTCCTCCCAGATCCCCAGTGGCTGTGCCCTCCGAGGCAATCCTTGTAGCTTTTCCGGAGATGTTTGGCTTTTTCCCGGCACTGGAGCCAATTCCGGTCGTAACCCCGGGCCTTCATCTGGCATGAGATCCACTCAAACTGAGAGACCGTCCGGTAGTTGGAGAAGAGGGCTCGCTGTACAGATGTGTCCCCCCAGATCTCAATAAAAGCTTGGATTTCGTCGTCTGTCCAGCGGGGATGCTTCCAGTGGGAGCCCGTGAAATCCCGGAGGGGGCAAGAGATGTTCCGGGAGAACCGGGCGCCTCCTGACGGTCTGGGCGCAGCCTCCGAAAGCGAAGAGTCCTTGGGTCCTAAGTCGAGAAAAATGGTGAACACGAACAGAAAACGAGGCCATGTTTCACTCTGGCATGGCAGGTAGAAGTCTTTTTTTGGGGGTGGGGGCAGTAGTGGGGTTCAAATTCCAGCGGCGCTACCTGTTCGCTATTGGGAGCACACGGGTGTGCGCGCTTGCTTCTGTACACGCGCAGAGAGTTTTTGATGACGTCTGGGCGGGTGGTCGGAGCCTCCCACCACCGCCGCTATCGGTCCACCCAAACCGGTGCAAACCGGTAGCAACCCACCACTGGGTGGGGGTTATTATTAAACGCTGGACGGAAGGGGTGAAAAGTCAGGAGGGACATGGCACAGCTAAGGCAGGTGGGCAAATTGAAAGGCCAAATGATCACAGGAGATAGGTGCGGAGAAACGGACGCCAACTGAGCAAGAGGGTGTGGTATTTATTTTTCTTTTCGATTGGTTCAACGCCAACCTGGGACGTTCGTTTTTTTTTACGTTCGTTTGCCCCCTCGGGGTTCCCGTGGTTAGACAGGCAGCCGTATACATTTGACAAATGAAGCAACAGTTGCGCAGAACAACAACTGTTAAGGGAAATGTGCCTTAAACCAGAACACACAATTGAGAAATGGGATTCAACGACACGTTAATTATTGTTTTTATTGTAATGGGGGATAGGATCGTCACAATAAAAGCACAGGCTATGTTGTTACGTTGTGGATCTCCTGTTTGCTCTTGCTCTCTCTCTCTCTCTCTCTCAAAGCAGATCTAAAGGTATTTTTTTTTTGGCCTAACAGTTGCTCTTATCAAGAGCCAACGTCCCAAGATCTTGCCAAAATGGACATTCAACTCATACAGGCAGAGTTATGCTATGTACAATTTCACCATAACAGATCCGTATCTATATGAGGACCCGGATTGTGGGGGCAATAAAATGACTTTGTATAAAAAAGAACACTGCTTGGGGGGGGCCGAAAGCCCTACTAAGCAGGTATATACAAAAGTATGAAGGCTACTGCTTAACGCATTGTAAGCCGCCCTGAGTCTCCAGAGAATGGCGGCATATAAATCGAACCAATAAATAAATAAATAAATAAATAAATAAATAAATAAATAAATAAATAAATAAATAAATAAATAAATATATCCTTCTTTTCCTATTGACAGAGGGCTAGATGTTGTGCGTGCTTTGGTTTACAAACAATGCCACCTCAAAAACACATGCTACAAAGTTTTCCAAAGTTGTGTGAAATTCAAAAGACAAATTAATCACAAATTTCTTCCTGTTTTCTTCCCACGATGTGACTTTTGCACCATAACCTTAAAAAAAATAATAATACAGGTAGTTCTCAACTTACAACTGTTCAGTTAGTGACCATTCACTACTTTATATACCGTATTTTTCGGAGTATAAGATGCACCTTTTTTCCTCCCTAAAAGGGGGTGAAAATTTAGGTGCATCTTATACACCGAATGTAGCCCCGCCCACCCCCTGGCCCCCACCCTTTGGCCTCTGCCTCGCAGCAGTTACCTCCTTGCAAGCAAACAGCAAGAAAAAACAGTTCCTTTCAGCTTCAGCACAGCTTAATTAGCACAAGTTGATTGGATTGGCCTCCTGACTCTCAGCTGATTTGCTCTCAGATGTTTTGGGCATGGTTCTGCTGCTTGCTGCAAAGAGGTAAATTGCTGGACCGGATTTTTATGCTAATCAAGCTATGCTGAAAACGAAAATGAAAGTAAAGCAGGCTGTTGGCTGCAACGTCACAAAATTACGCAGAGGCAGATTTCTTTTTCTTCTTTTTCCTCACCAAAAAAGGTAGGTGCGTCTTATACTCCAAAAAATACGGTAAATACTTTCAATAAACTGATAGAAAACAGTTCATTGAGTGACCATTTGGAAGTTAAAATGGCCCTGAAAAATGGGACTTCTGATCATGTTTTACACTTATGACCGGTGCGACATGCCCATGGTCAGGTGATTAAAATTCAGCCACTTGGCAACTGGCTCATATTTATGACGGTTGCAGTGTCCCGGGGTCATGTGATCCCCTTTTGCGACCCTTTGACAAGCAAAGTCATTGGGCAAGCCAGATTCACTTAACAACCGTGTTACTAAGTTAACAATTGCAGTGATGAACTTAACAATCGCGGCAAGAAAGGCTGCAAGACAGGGCAAACCTCCCTTAACAAATGTCTCACTTAGCAACATAAATTTTGGCCTCAATCGTGGTCGTAATTCAAGGACTACCTGTGGAGTTCTACTGGCTGTAGGTCCATTGCTCTGGGATCCTTTCTTTTGCGAAACAATGCCTTAAAATACTTGAAATAAACCTACAGTAAAAATAAAGCTGGTTGAGGGGAATTAGCAAGCTCTCCAAACTCATCCCATCTCGCTCAAGGGAAGTCGGAAAATTATTCTTGCCAGGGTGACACACACTCTTTCGCTTACCTGTTTCGTGATTTGGAATTCTCTCGCTGTCAACAGGAAACTGGATATAACTCGGCTCTTCTTCTCCTTCTTCTGGATTGGAAGCCAGGTCTGGTTTGGGCACCAAGAGTCCCTCTTAGGATTCAAGAGAAAAGGAGACAGAGAATTATTTGGGTGTTTCTGCCCCAGCTACGAACCCCAAAGAACGCAGCACACACAAAGTCCGTACAAACCTTAGTTGACTAATTAAGGACTACTAATGAGCCTTCTTAGTAGTTGTTCGAACACAAGTACAGTTTAAATCAGTCTTTTCTGAACAAGGGCTGTTAATTTAACTTCATTAATAAGCCGACAAGAATCCAAAGAATAATAACTCAATTCTGAGGCGCAGTATTTCAGATAACCGTAATCTTACTGTGGTTGGCAGAATGCCCAGAAGCAATTTGCAGGAAAACTGACAAGAGAGAAACAAGAGCCGAATCAATCGTTTCTGGAATCAAGACGCGAAGGAATATGAACGGAGTTGTTTCCTGCAAATTGCATCAGTCGTCGTCCTTCCTTAAATAGGCTAGGGGAGTGGCCAATTAGCCCCAAGCCTTACTCTCGAGGAGACCTCCTCCTGAGGAGCCACTCCTGCCTTTTAACAGCTCTGCGCGCTCGTGCATCTAGAAGCTTCTGGAGGTTCTGCAGGCCCTGGCTGAATCCCCGCCTCTGGCACCACATCTCCTCCAGCCTCCTCATTGTCTGACTTGAGCACCACCTGCAAAGGCTGCTAGCGCAGCACCGACAGCCTCCTCGCTGTCAGAATCAGCTACTAACTGCACAGGCCGCTGACGGGCCACAACATTGGGGGTACAAATTCAGGTAAATTCTTAAGCTTCCCAGGCCCATTTCAGTTGGGTCTCATATCGCTTCAATGAGCGGCTAAACTAGCCGGTTAACTGTAGATCAGGGGTGTCGAACTCGATTTCATTGAGGGCCGCATCAGGGTTGTGCTTGATCTTGGGGCGGCGGGGTGGGCGTGGCCAGCTTGACGTCACTCATGTCGGGAGCACCTGTGGTGGCCCGAGTGCTGTGCCAGCAAAAATGGAGCCTCGGACCACCATAGGTGCTCCCGACATGAGTGACGTCGAGCTGGCCAGACCACGGGCACTACAGGCCGGTCCTTCACTGTTCCAGGGCGGCCCCACGGGCCAGATCTAAGCACCCCGCAAGCCAGAACCCCGCCTTGAGTTTGACACCCCTGCTGTAGATAGTCCTTGACTTATGACTTGGCTGTAGATAGTCTTTGACTTACGACCTTAAATGTACCTGGCAATTACAATCCAAACAGTCAGAACGCTGGTCCTCACGCAACCGACCCAATTTTAGACCTTTCCTCACAGTGGTCATTAAGCGAACTGTAAAGCGGTTGTAAAGCGAACGCTGCACTCATGGGGCGAATCCTTTGTTCTATGGGCCGGTTTTTTGCCAGAAACTGGCCAAAAAAATAGCGTAAAATACGGACATGCGTCGGTGCAAATGGCCACAAACGTGGGCCGGTTGCCGAATGCCCAAAATGCATTCTGTGATCGCCGGAAGAGGCAACCATTGGAACCAAGGGATAACCATCATTTGGGGGAAGTCTTCATAACTTCAAACGGTCACTAAGTGAATGGCTGTAAGATGAGGATTACCGGGACCTTATTTGTAAGTCTTTTCAACCTTTGGATGATTGCTCGTTGCCAGATTGCTGATTGTGCCCTCTAAATTTCCACACACCAATACAGGAAGTCCTCATGGGAAGGACTCGGTAAATGGACAAAAATGCCAGACCAGTCTAAAACATCTGTCTGACTTTGCGATCAACCATAATAGATAAGATTACTTCTGTTTGTGTAGACCAGGGGTGTCAAACTCGAGGCTTAAATCTGGCCTGGAAATACTGTAGTAAAGAACCTACCTGCAGTGCCTCTAGCAGCCAAAAGGGGGAGGGGGGGGGGGGGCGTTTTGGCTGGCAGAGGCCGTCCAGGTAGCACCTCTGCCAGTGAAAATGGAGCTCCGTTTTTGCTGGCAGAGGGTTGCAGGAGGCCATCGCAGCCAAAAATGGAGCTTGGGAGCCCGATTTCACTGGCAGAGCGCTTGGGCCACGGGTGCCCCCAACACAAATGACGTCAAGATGGCCACGCCCATCCCAGCCCCGAGGTCGAACATAACCCGGATGCGGCCCTCAATGAAATCGAGTTTGACATCCGTGAGATAGAGGTCCTTGAACCAAAGTTGGAGGGCCATCTGTCGGAGATGCTCCGGTGGCTCCTGCACCGAGGAGGGAGTTGGAGTTTAGGTCCTCTAGGGACCCTTCCAATTCCAGGACCCTTACCCAAAGACTCTGCATCCCCGTCCTCTTCCTGCATGACTTGCCAGAACATGGTCTGCTGGCCCGACTGGATCGGGGTGGGCTCAACCACATTCAGCGAAACACCAGCGTCTTTCAAGTCCATGAGCTCCTAGAAAAAGGGAAAAAGTCACTGGCAGAGGGCCCCAAGAATGCAGATCGTTCCGTGGTTAATAATTTCTGCAGAATAACACGCGACAAGGATAAGCGTAACAGAGGGCCCCGGATGCAGAAAGGGGAGATGGATGGATGGATGGGAGGGAGGGAGGGAGGGAGGGAGGGAGGGAGGGAGGGATGGAGGGACAGATGGACAAATGGAGGAAAGGAAGGAAGGAAGGAAGGAAGGAAGGAAGGAAGGAAAGGGAAGGAGGGAGGAAGGACGGAATGGAGGGAGGGATGGACGGAGGGAAGGGAGGGACAGAGGAAGGGAGGGACGGAGGGAGGAAGGGAGGAAGGAAGGAGGGAGGGAGGGAGGAAGGACAGAATGGAGGGAGAGAGGAAGGGAGAGACGGAGGGAGGGAGGAAGGAAGGAGGAAGGGAGGGAAGGTGGAAAGAATGGAGGAAGGGATGGAAGGAGGAAGGAAGGAGAAAGGAAGGGAGGGAGGGAGGAAGGAAGGAAGGACAGAAGGGAGGGAGGGACGGGATGGAGGAAGGGAAGGAAGGAGGAAGGAAGGGAGGGACGGAGGGAAGGAAGGAAGGGAGGAAGGGAAGGGGGAAGGAGGAAGGGAGGGAGGAACGAAGGAGGAAGGGAGGAAGGGAAGGAGGGAGGAAGGGAGGGAGGGAGGAAGGACAGAATGAAGGGAGGGACGGGACGGAGGGAGGAAGGGAGGGAAGGAGAAAGGAAGGGAGGGAGGGAAGGAGGGAGGAAGGGAGGGAAGGTGGAAGGAAGGGAGGAAAGAAAGAAAGGATAGAGTCACATTTGCCTGTTCTCTTTGCACATACAAACACATACTCAGCATTAAAAAGCACAGGACAAGGTTATACCCTATTAAGATCACCTCAGATCCAATCAAACTTTGATTCCCAAATCCTAGACTAAGATGGTTATCTGTTTTGCGGTGTTGTGCATCGCAACTCTAGTATACCGTGGGTTCTCCCAAAGGCGCTTTTTTCAGGAGGCAACCGGACTTTCTGGGGTTTTTTTCCTTTCTTTGAAGACGTTTCGCTTCTCATCCGAGAAGCTTCTTCAGCTCTTGACTGGATGGTGGGGAATGGAAGGATTTATACTCCTTGCAGGCAGCTGGTCTACACCTCTGAGTACCGCCTCATGCCCTCCGTCACGATCAGCCACCCAAGCACCCCAGCCAAAAGCCTCAACCACACCGCGCTGCCTCCAAGCTTGGCAACTTTAAGCCTGGTGGATTTCAACTCCCAGAATTCCCCAGCCAGCTTTGCTGGCTGGGGAATTCTGGGAGTTGAAGTCCTCCAGGCTTAAAGTTGCCAAGCTTGGAGACCCCTGCTTTAGACAGCCCCATCCTTCAGCCCAATTCTTTCCAAAGGGCCCTTTTCTTTTCTTCTTTTCTTTTCTTTCTTTTCTTCTTTTCTTTTCTTCTTTTCTTTTCTTTTCTTTTCTTTTCTTTTCTTTTCCCTCTTTTGCATTTGCTCATCAGAAATTTCCCATACCTTACTAGGAGAAGCTTGATCCGTTTCCTCTCCCTCGGGAGGAAGCAAGGAGCTGGAATCGCCACAGTCTTTGCTTCCATTACCTTTAAAAGACAGAATATATATATATATAAATATATTTAGAACATAAAAGGAAAAATAAATGCATTCCAGGTATCCTCAACTTACAACAGTCCGTTTTAGTGACCGTTTGAAGTTGCAACGGCACTGAAAACCCCTTTTCACTCTTAGAACCATAGCAGCATCCCCCAGATCAAAATTCAGACGCTTGGCAACTGACTCATAGTTACGACGGTTTGCAGTGTCCCCGGGGTGTCGTGATCCCCTTTTGCGACCTTCTGACAAGCCAAGCCTGTGTGGAAGCCAGCTTCACTCAACAACTATGTTACTCGCTTAACAACTGCAGTGATTCCCTGAACAACTGTGTGGCAAGAAAAGTCATAAAATTCACTTAACAAATGTTTCACTTAGTGAAAAACAGAAGTTTTGGGCTCAATTATGGTTGTAAAGTCGAAAGACTACCTGTATTGGGGAAAAGCTGGATGCTCCCTGACATCAAAAACTCCCCGAGGTTTTACAAGTCAGCAAAACAGAAACAAATTTGGATTACTTTGTCCAAATCTCTCCATTTTTCTTTTCGTTTTCAGGAAGGATCTTCCAACTTGTCCAAACTTCCTAACAGTGAGGACAATTAACCAGTGGAACAGTTTCAGAAATCGTGGGCGCTCTATCACTGGAGGTTTTTAAGAAGATGTGAGATAACCATTTGTCTGAAGTGGTGTAGGGTTTCCTGCCTAAACGGGGGTTGGACTAGAAGACCTCCAAGGGCCCTTCCAACTCTGTTATTCTATTCTATTCTATTCTATTCTATTTTCTATTCTATTTATTTTCTATTCTATTCTATTTCCTATTCTATTCTATTCTATTTCCTATTCTAGTCTGTATGCTATTCTATTCTATTTTCTATTCTATTTATTTTCTATTCTATTCTATTTCCTATTCTATTCTATTCTATTTCCTATTCTAGTCTGTATGCTATTCTATTCTATTTTCTATTCTATTTATTTTCTATTCTATTCTATTTCCTATTCTATTCTATTCTATTTCCTATTCTAGTCTATATGCTATTCTATTCTATTTTCTATTCTATTTATTTTCTATTCTATTCTATTTCCTATTCTATTTATTTTCTATTCTATTCTATTTCCTATTCTATTCTCTATTCTATTCTATTTCCTATTCTATTCTATTCTCTTTTCTATTCTCTTCTATTCTCTATTCCATTCCATTCTATTCTCTATTCTATTCTATTCTCATCTCTTTTCTCTTTTCTATTCTAATTTCCTATTCTTTTCTTTTCTTTTTTTTTGGTTTTAAAAACAAACTTTATTAGATTTAAAAAAATAAACTTGTATAAAACATTCACAACCTTAAAATACAATCAACAATATCAACAAACAACAAATAAAGTATATATAATGTATATAAGTACACATATATACAAAAACTTATTTTCCCTTTTTTTTCCTAATGACGATGTATAATTATTACTTTTAATTTCTTACTAAATTTTGACTTTACCTTCTTTTCCATTGGTTTATCCACTCATACCAACTGTCCCATATCTTAAAATACTGTGAGTCTTCCTTATCTTTCTTCTATTTCCTATTCTATTCTATTCTATTTTTTTTTTATTTTCTTTTTGTTGCATTTTTACAATTAAATCTTACTCATACGTTATGCATAACTGCGACCATTTACATACCATAGCATTCGAATTCAAATACATTCTGTACATTTTTACTATACATTTTAATTCTACGTCTATTTTGTCTATTTCTTTTCCATTTTTCTGTTCTCAATGCAGTCGTACTTCTCCCATATTGCATAGTATTCCGAATTTATTTGTCCTTTCAGTTCAATTGTCAACTTGTCCATTTCTGCACAATCAAATTTTTTTTTTTTAATTACTAAGCCTTCGGAAGGTATGTTTGTATTTCTCCAGCATTAATAATTTCAAGGGAGACGCTCATTTTTCTCCCCTTCAATATGATCTGAAGATGGCCACTGTTCTTGAGCAGCCATCTTGGATTTTTTTGACCCCGCCCACCCCCATTACGGAAGAACCTGCTGTCATCCTTGGCATTTCCTTACCCAACAAATGGATTACTCCGTTATTGTTCTGTTTAATGTCTTCGTAGATCTCTTCCTCATCAACATCCAAGGTGACCCTCTCTTCACCCAGGGAACTCTTGGCGATGGCCTCCTGCGACGGCTCCTGAATAAGAGAGGAGAATCCAATTTTGGATCGGACCAGGGCAATGAAGCTGAAGCATGAAAAGTTCTGCCGACTGACTGAGCATCGACGACTTTTCTACAAGTGGTCGTCGGTTAACAACCACTCGTTCAGCGACTGCTCAAAGATGCAATGAATGAAACAAGTTCCATAACCTGTCCTTCAAAATTCCAGCTGCCGCACGTGACCCAGTCACATGATCACAATCCAGAGCCGCGGTGGCACAGTGGTTAGAGTGCAGCACTGCAGGCTATTTCTGTTGCCTGTCGGCTGCCTGCCATTTGGTAGTTTGAATCTCACCAGGCTTAGGGTTGACTCAGCCTTCCATCCTTCCGAGATCGGTAAAATGAGGACCCAGATTGTTGTAAACCGCTTAGAGAGGTTGACAGCGGTGAAATCCACCTACCTTCGCTACCGGTTCGGGAACAAGAGTGCATGGGAGCGCGCGCGCGCCTCTTCTGCGCATGCCACAGAGCATCAAAAACGGGACGTACTGACGTCCGGGCGGGTGGGCGGAGCCTCCTGCCACCAGCGCTACCGGTTGGCACGAGCCAGCTAGATCCGGCCAAATTTCACCACTGGCTGTAAAGCACTGTAAAGCGGTATATAAGTCTAAATGCTATTGCTATTGGCAACCGGCTCACATTTAAAATGTTTGACCTGCGGTCATATGATCATCATTTGCATCATTTCCCTGTCACCTTCCCACAAGCAAAATCAATGCGGAAGCCACCAGAAAAGCTTTCAAGTTGCACCCGCTGCCTTTTCTCCTGAGGAACCCTGTTGCAGAACTCTCTGTAGCACACAGTTGTGCTGCAACACCCCCTCCGTAGCCTGCACTCATTCTATACAGAACATCCCCCCCCCCACCTCAATCTGTAGTATCTACCCACCATCTGGTCCACCTGCAAGCCGCCTGGGACTTGCAATTTCCAGCTGGCTTCCCCAATGACTTTACGGGAAGCCGGCAGGAAGTTGCCAGTCTGTCAGGTAAGGTCTTCGCTTAGCAATCTGTTATTTTCACTCAACAACGACAATGGTGGGATTGCTGCCGCATCGCTTAGAGATGGAAATTCGGGTCCCAATTATCGTCATTAAGCAAGCACAATGTCAACTTTGAAGTGAACCTGGCTGAAGCCATCTTTTGCTGCCTCATAGTTGCCACGAACTCTGAGGGGAGAGGGGGAAAGGAAGTAGATAGACTGACTAGCAGTCGTAACAATAAACTTTCCGATGGGAACCAAGGTCGTCCCAACAGGTGACAGTTGGAGGAGGAGAGGAATGACCAAGGAGCCCACCAAAAGCCTTAATTGAACAATGTGACTTGTGACACTTGGGGAGGGAAAGAATTGCTTCTTTAACTATGCTACAAACGCAGGGAAACTTTCAGAGTTGGTTTTCACCGGCTGTGCTGATCCAATAAACATGTTTGAGGAATCTACCTGCCTCAGAGTTCTGATTTTGGCAGATGCGTTACTCGGAACGCTGACAGACAACCTGTACTAAAGCTTAAGTCGCCTGTCCTGCAGAGAGGTTCAAAAATTACAGACCTGCCACTTTCCTACCTTAACCTCCTGCCGGTTCAGCAGGAAATTCTCTATCAGGGCCACCGCCTGGGAACATGTGTCCGACCCTCCTGCTCGGATCGAGCTCTGGAGCTCCGGTGGGAGGCTGGCCAGGAACTGCTCCAGGATCAGCAGCTCCAGGATCTGTTCTTTGGTGCGTCTCTCCGGCTTCAGCCACTGGCGGCAAAGCCTCTGCAGTTGTCCGTAAACCCTACGCGGGTCTTCGATCTCCTGGAAGCGGAACTGCCGGAAGTGCTGCCGTTGCACCTCGATCCTGATGGCTTCCCCTCTCAAGATGGCCGCCTTCACTTTCCCATAATCCTCCTTGTCCTTTGCTTCTAAGCCGCTGAAGGCCTGCTTCGCTTCCCCGCTCAGGGCTGGCAGGAGTCGAGGCACCCACTCGCCCGTGGGCCACTGGCAGGCTTGGGCCACCTGCTCAAAGGAGATCAGGAAGGCCTTGGGGTCATCCCAAGGGGCGCTGGCCAGCATCTCAGAGTCCTCCTCCCTTCCCATGTGGGGAGACGGCAAGGTCTTCAGGAAGTCCTGCCATTGGGTTTTCCAGGGTTGCTGCAACCCTCGGAAAGATTCCCGTTTGATTTCTTGCGAAAGCTTCCATCCTAATTGCTCCATCTCCGTGCATTTGGAGAAATCGTCACCACAGGGTTTCCTTACACGTTCCCCTTCTGGACTTCCAGATTTGGGCTCCATGTCTCCCCGAATTATCAAACCACCAATTTGGAACTGGAACACTTCATAAAAAAACCCGGCCCCGATGAAGCTCACTGGAGGGGAAGCTTTCCCCCCGCTTCTTTTAAATTCTGGTTTGAAACCCAAGTCCCATTTTCTCCTCTGGATTGGCAGAGGGGAATCTCAAGCCGTGTTAGCTTCCAGGTTACAGAAGATGCTGTGAAGCCCTTGTGAAAATGTTGACCTCTCTTGGTTTGTAGAGGGAGCTCCTAAACAAACCAAACAGAAGAAAAAGTGTGAGATACGCCAAAAAAGGAGACAAAGAAAGAAGACTTTGGGGACCATCTCCATGGAGAGAACCAACCGAGACATTTCCTAACAATTAATCCGTGGAACAAGTTGCCTCCAGAAGTTGTGGGTGCTCCAAAACTGGAAGTTTTTAAGGGACTGGATAACCATTTGGATAACCAGAGGCTTTCTTGGAGCCTGGGGAGGACGAAAACGGCCTTCCCCCCCCCCCCCCCCCCCGGCCTTCTGAAGGCCGGAAACGGCATGTTTCCTGACTTCCAGTGGGACCGAAAGGCCCGAAAATCAGGTGGCTGGTGCACTCTTGCACGCTGAAGCTAAGATAGGGCAATACTCGCGTGCCCACAGATATGGCTCCGCGTGCCACCTGTGGCACGTGTGCCATAGGTTCGCCATCACGGGTATAGGGCCATGATGGCGAACCTATGGCATGTGTGCCACAGGTGGCACGCGGAGCCATATCTGCGGGCACGAGAGCCGTTGCCCTAGCTCAGCTCATGTGCATGTGCGTGTCGGCCAGCAGCCCCTCCCCTCTCAGTAGTCTCCACACAGCCCATTTTGGATGTCAGGTAAGTACAGGGCTCGCGCGGAGGCCCTGGGAGGGCATTTTCGATCTCTGGAGGGCCTCCGGGGGGGGGGGACACCATTTTCACCCTCCCCAGGCTCCAAGAAAGCCACTGGAGCCTGGGGAGGGCAAAAAATGGACCTACCAGAAGTCTGGAAACAGGCTGCTTCGAGCCTCCGGAGGCTTCAGGGAGGCCTGCTAGGCCCAAAACGGGGTGCGGGGGGTCGTATGCGCATATGCGGGGGAGTCATGCTCGCATGCATGGGGGACGAGGTGCAGGGGGGCATTGAATTATGGGTGTGGGCACACATGCACGCAACCCACCCCCCGTGCTCCCCCCACTTTTGGCATGCAACGGCAAAAAGGTTAGCCATCACTGGTATAGGGTTTTCTGCTTGAGCACGGGGTTGGTCTAGAAGACCTCCGAAGTCCCTTCCAACTCTGTTATTCTGTTATAATAATTCTTTTTAGCAAAAATGCACACAGACCCACACACAACCCAGAGGGCTGGGGCACTTTAAAAATTAAAAAAAATAATAATAAAAAGATTGAAAAAGGATAAAGTTTTCTTAGAATGCAGTTATGTTAATGTTGAATGTCAGGGGAATCTCGGAAGGAGTCTAGTACCTTTTCCGACTAAGAAATTTTATTAAAAGGTAAGCTGCTTTTAGAATTTTATTCTGTTCTGTTCTGTCCTGTCCTGTCCTGTCCCGTTCCATTCTATTCTGCTCTGCTCTAGTCTTCTGAAGGGAGGGGAAGCAGAGGAATTGTGCAGATGCACATTGCACGTCAAGCAGATTACAAGTGCCATATAACTCCAGGCTATTATTTATTTATTTTTTATCAACGAACAACTGCAACGCGGAAAAAACTTGCAGGACATACTGGTAGCAAATGGCTGTAAATGTGGGCCAGTTGCTTAGCGCCTGGAATGCAGTCACATGACCACGAGGGTGGGGGCAAGCATCCATCGGACCTTTACAACTGGGTTGTCACTAACCTTTGGGGAGTCCGTTGAATGTTTGAACGGTTGCTTAGTGACCCAGTTGTAAGTCAAGGACTACCTGTACAATTATCCTCCAGGTGTACTTACAGCTTCAGAAGGCCAAAGACTCTTGGCTCCGTAGCAAAGTGGGCAGCATATAAATGTAATAATAAATAAAATAATAAATAAATGGAATAGGGCAGGGGTGTCAAACTCGATTTCATTGAGGGTCGCATCAGTGTTGTGTTTGACCTCGGAGGGCCACGGGCATTGTGTGGCCAAGGGTGAGTATGGCCAGCTGTGACACAGGATTCATGTCTGGGTCACCTGTAGTGGCCAAGTTCTAAGGCAGGACTTCCCTGAGTCCCTCCCTCACTCTCATTATAATCTCCTTCCTTCCTTCCTTTCCTTCCTTCTTCCTTCCTTCCTTCTTCTTCCTTCTCCTTTCTTCTTCCTTCCTCTCTTTCCTTATTTTTCCTTCCTTGCTCTTTCCATTTTTCCATCTTTTTCTTTGTCTTTCCTCTTTCCCTTTCTCCTTTCCTGTCCATTCTTGCATGCTCAAATGCAAAAAGAGAAACATTTCTCCTTTTGTTCAGTTTTTAGTTTGTTTTGATAGCCCTCTGCCAGAGAAAACGGAGCTGGTGGGAGGCGCATGCGGTCCTCCCACGCTCTGTTTTTGGCCTGGACGGACTCCTGCAGCCCTCTGCCAGCAAAAATGGAGCTTGAGGGGGCCGTGTGCTCCGTTTTCGCTGGCAGAGGCACCGCGGGCCGGTCCTTTGCTGTTTCCAGGCCGGCCCCGCAGGCCAGATCTAAGCACCCCACTGGCCACCCCGTGGCCTTGAGTTTGACACCCCTGAAATAGGGCATTTGATGCCCCAGAAATATTAAAGGACCAGAGTAATTTTTCTGCCTCTCCCCTCCTATGTCAATGGGGAACCAATTGCTGCTTTCCTTTTATTTAAAAATTCAACCAAGTTGTAATAAATTTAGTTCTCAGTTACGCACATTTCAAGATACATCTCCCCTGTTTTTATAGGCATCAATCTTTGGGGGTGAATTTAACTATTTCAAACGTGACAAAGATTATCTCCACGGATTTCTTCTTACTTCCAAAACACCCAGATAATGAAGAACAATCAAAGAAGCAGTTGCCGGAGGCCAAATTTTAACAATTTAACAAACGCTATCTAACAAAAGTTGTATATGATGGCAATTCAACCATGCAGTTACAAAACTTAGGGGAAGCTTTTGAGAAGAAGGGGAAAAAAAAGGCTAAGACAATCTTAATCACAGGACTTTGCCTTAACATGCTACATCCATGAGCCTGGATAGCTCTGCAGACAAGACACTGTAATTTAACACCAGCTGTCTGCAATTAAAGTAAGTTCGAATCTTACCAGGCTCAAGGTTGACTCAGCCTTCCATCCTTTCTAAGGTAGGTAAATTGAGGACCCAGTTTGTGGGGGCAATAAGCTGACTTTGTATAAATATACAAAAGTAGGAAGGCTATTGCTTAACGCATTGTAAGTCGCCCTGAGTCTCCAGAGAAGGGCGGCATATAAATTAAATATAAACCTAAACCTAAACTTATCCTTTATGGCTTTCAAATCATAGTTCAGATTACTACAGCGGAAGATCGTTCTCATTATTTAATACGTTATTAAACACACCCTAGTTCCGTGACGGTGAACCTATGGCACGCGTGTCCAAAGTGGCACACGGAGCCATATCGCCTGGCACGCATGGCGTCGCCCATTCCTCTTCCAGGTTTTTGGCACGCATCTGCACGCGACAATCAGCTGGCCTTCGTGCATGCGGCTGTGCCGGAAACTGGAAACTTTGCTGGAAACTAGCGGATCGTTGGGCACACATGCGCGCCAGAAACCGGAACACTAGCTGGCCGTTTCAGGCAGCATGCACATGCACCCTGGGCAGCTCCTCTTCCGGATTGCAGCCCAGACGAGTGTGCGGATTCACCATCACTTGCCCTAGTTAATTAAGACTAGGTTCAAACTATATTTCCAAGAGATAAGAGAGATAGGAGAAAAGGGACTGAGCCAGGGTGGATTTGATTTAAATCGAGTTGATTTAAATCACAATTTAAATCATGATTTAAATCACTAGTAAAAAGGCTTGATTTAAATCAACTCAATTTAAATCATAATTTTTAAAGACCAACTGTCATCTCTGCTACTCCTTTGACCCACTGTTGACTCACCGATAGTCCCAGTGTTGCAGAATATACAGCCTCGTGCTACATAACTAAGCTCCATTTCATGCTGAATAAACTAAATTATTTATGTATCTTAAATAGAAAACTATCTTACGATAGATTTTTACCCCAAAAGTTTTTTATTAAAATAAATTCGATAAAAATAAAAAAAAATCCGATTTAAATTAAAAAAATCTGATTTTTTATCATTGATTTTTATCCACCCTGGATTGAGCCCAGAACTGTGCTTTTGGATGAGTGGCTATACAAAGCTTTTAAATGAATAAATGATTGTTTTAAATAAGTTTCTCTAATTCCATTAGGTATAGAATAAGGTGGTAAGTAGTAACTGTGAGAGGGATCTTGGAGTCCTAGTGAACAATTACTTAAATATGAGCCAGCTAACACAGTCCTAGGCTGCATTAACAGAGGGATAGAATCACAATCTCATGAAGTGTAAATATACCACTTTATAAAGCCTTGGTAAGACTTCGCTTGAAATACCGCACCCAGTTTTGGTCTCCACGATATAAAAAAAGATGTTGAGATTCTGGAAAGAGTGCGGAGAAGAGCAACAAAGATGATTAGTGGACTGGAGGCTAAAACATATGAAGAATGTTTTCTTTCTGGGCAGCAATTGGGACTCCTTACGCAGGTCACTCAAGCACTCGTCACTTCTCATCTGGACTATTGTTAACGCTCTCTACGTGCACCCGGAGGCTCCAACTGGTGCAAAATGCGACCACGCAGGGGATTATGGGAGCGACGGGGCGCTCCCACGTGACACCTCTCCTGCGCGAGCTGCATTGGCTTCCGGTGGACTTCCGGGTGCGCTTCAAGGTGTTGGTGATCACCTTTAAAGCGCTCCACGGCTTAGGGCCGGGGTACTTACGGGACCGCCTTCTGCCACCAATTGCCTCCCACCGGCCGGTTCGCTCCCACAGAGAGGGCCTCCTCAGGGTGCCGTCAGCCAGACAATGTCGGCTGGCGACCCCCAGGGGGAGAGCCTTCTCTGTGGTGGCACCTACCCTCTGGAACAACCTACCCCCAGAGATACGAGTTATCCCAGACCTCCGGATTTTTCGTCGGGCCCTAAAAACTTACTTTTTTCAGTTAGCTGGGCTGGCCTGATTCCATGTTGGTTTTAAAGTTTGATACTGATTTTTAATTGAAATGTATTAAATTATGGGCCAAATTTCATTTAATTATTTTTAAAATTATTTTAACTTTTGTGTACAAATGTTTTTATTTTGGCTGTTCACCGCCCTGAGTCAGAAAGGAGAAGGGCGGTATACAAATCTAATAAAAGATAAAGATGTCTAGTCCAGTGATGGCTAACCGTTTTGCCATCGCGTGCCAAAAGCGGTGGAAGCGCGGGGGGTCATGAGTGTACGTGCCCATACCCATAATTCTATGCGCCCCGCCCCCCCACTTGTGCGCATGACCCCCCCCATACTCCCCCTGCTTCAGAGCCTTTCTAGGCCCGTTTTTCGCTCTCCCCAGGCTTCAGAGCCTTTCTAGGAGCCTGGGGAGGGCGAAAACGGCCTTCCCCACACCCCCAGAATGCCTCCAGAGGCTGGAAACAGGGTGTTTCCATACTTCTGGTGGGCCCGAAGGGCCGAAAATCAGCTGGCCGGCACACACATGTGCACTGGAGCTGAACTCGCGTGCCCACCGATATGGCTCCGTGTGCCATCTGTGGCATGCGTGCCATAGGTTCGCCATCACGGGTCTAGTCTAGTGAAGAAAAGAATTAGGGGAGACATGATAACAATTTTTCAATATTTAAGAGGCTATCACAAGGCCTGGTGGCTCAGCAGACTGATAGCATTGTGATTAACACCAGCTGTCTGCAATTACTGCGAGTTCAAATCTCACCAGGCTCAAGGTTGACTCAGCCTTCCACCCTTTCTAAGGTAGGTAAATTGAGGACCCAATTTGTGGGGGCAATAAGATGACTTTGTATAAATATACAAAAGGATGAAGGCTATTGCTTAACGCATTGTAAGCCGCCCTGAGTCTCCGGAGAAGGGCGGCATATAAATCAAATTTAAAAAAAAAAAAAGGAAGAAGAGGTCAATCTAGTCTCCAAAGCACCTGCAGGCAAAACAAGAAGCAATGGATGGAAACTAAATCAAGGAGAGGACTAATGTAGAAATGAGACATTTCCCGAACACTTAATCTGTGAAAGGAATTGAACTCCAGAAGTTGTGGGTGCTCCATCAACTGGAGGTTTTTACAGAAGAGATTGGACAACCATTTGTCTGAAATGGTATAAGGTCTCCTGCTTGGGGGAGGGAGGGGGGTGTTGGTTGGACTAGAAGACCTCCAAGGTCCCTTCCAACTCTCTTATTCTGTTCTGGTATGGGATTTCCAGCTCGAGCAGGGGGTCGGACTAGGAGCCTTGGTGGCGCAGCGGACTAAAGTGCTGTTAAAGTAGCTGCCAGCTGCCTGCAATGACTGCGAGTTCAAATCTCACCAGGCTCAAGGTTGACTCGGCCTTCCATCCTTCCGAGGTAGGTAAAATGAGGACCTGGATTGTGGGGGCAATAAGATGACTTTTGTAAAAAAGAACACCGCTTGGGGGGGTGGGCAAAAGCCCTACTAAAGCAGGTGTATATACAAAAGTATGAAGGCTATTGCTTAATGCATTGTAAGCCGCCCTGAGTCTCCTGAGAAGGGCGGGATAGATAGATAGATAGATAGATAGATAGATAGATAGATAGAAGGATAGATGGATAGACGGATAGATAGATAGATAGATAGATAGATAGATAGATAGATAGATGATAGATAGATAGATAGATAGATAGATAGATAGATAGATAGATAGATAGGATAGACAGATAGATAGATAGATAGATAGATAGATAGATAGATAGATAGATAGATAGATAGATAGATAGATAGATAGATAGATAGATAGATAGATAAATAAAGTGCCTTTTCACCACCCTGAGTCCTTCGGGAGTAGGGCGGCATATAAATTTAATAATAATAATAATTTTAAAAAAAATAAGACCTCCAAGGTCCCTTCCAACTCTCTTATTCTGTTCTGATATGGGATTTCCGGCTCGAGCAGAGGGTCAGACTAGAAGACCTCCAAGGCCCCTTCCCACTTAACGGAGTGGGAGATTCCTGATTTCACCTCAGGCCTCCCATACACTCCCGAGACATCTACGTTTGTTTGTTTTCTTTTTAATAGGAAGAGATTCGCCACTGCCTTCTTCTGGGACTCTTGTTTCCGACTGCCCAAGCCTTAGCCCTAAGCGTGGGGCATCTCCTCGTGGTCTCCTTTCCCAGCGTTAGCCACCACTCCTCCTCCTCCTGCTGTTGCCGGTTCCTCAGCCCGGCCCAGCGGAAAGCAAAGACGGAATGGCGGACAACAAAGACCCCCACCCCACCCTCCGCCTCGCCGCCCTTTTGTCCCGCGATGGAACCTTCGCAAAGCGGGCGCAGCGCAAAGCGGATCCTCCGGGGCGCAAAGAGATCGCCAGACGGCTGCGGCGTCCCGGGATCTTCTCCTCCCGCCGGGCTCCAGGGGGATCGGAGCGCCGGCTAAGGGCGCGTCGGAGGCGGCAGGGGCCCTCCTCCGGTTCCCGGGGCCAGCACAGCAGGCCGGGGCCAGGCGGCGTCCAGCCCTCCCGTCCGCCCGAGGGACCCGGCGCGTACCTGCAATCCCGGCGCAAGCGGGCGGCTGCTCGGGCCGCTTCCACCCGGCCGTCCCGCCGTCGTAGCGGAGCCGGGGGAGAGGAGCCCGTCCCCGGATTGCGGGGTTTTGGGGAGCGGGGAGGGATCCGACGGCGCCGCGCCTTTTCTCTCCTCTTCGATCCCGCCGGCCGGGCGCTGGATTAATGGCGGAGCCGCAGAGCAGGCGAGGCTCCTGGCCCCACCGCCCCCTGCCGGCGGATCCGCGCTTGGCTCCGCCTCGACAAAGGCCCCCCAGTTCGCTCGACGCCCCGAGCCAGGGACCCTCCTCCGCGCCTTGCGCTCCTGCCCGTCCCCCCCCCGCCCGGACTCGCTTCCTGGCACGGGGGAGGTGGGGTTGTCCGTGGAAACTGGCCCCCGTCGCCGGATTGCAGGACCCGGGCCCCTGCTTGGCCAGGTGGGGATGGGTGCATAGGTGGGGGATTGACCCAGGTTTGTACAACACAAACACATACACACACACACACCATTGCCATGAATGCGCGGAGAGGGCACGCCAGGTTTTGTGAACGCGGGTTTGCGGTGCGAGCTTGCATGCGCGTAGATGGATGCATGGATGAATGTTATAGATGGATGGATGCATGTGTAAATGGATGGATGCACGGATGGATGCATAGATGGATGGATGGATGCATGCGTAAATGTATGGATGGATGAATATATAGATGGATGGATGCATGCATGCGTAAATGGATGGATGGATGCATGCGTAAATGGATGGATGGATGAATATATAGATGGATGGATGCATGCATGTGTAAATGGATGGATGGATGCATGCGTAAATGGATGGATGGATGAATATATAGATGGATGGATGCATGCATGCGTAAATGGATGGATGGATGCATGCGTAAATGGATGGATGGATGAATATATAGATGGATGGATGCATGCATGTGTAAATGGATGGATGGATGCATGCGTAAATGGATGGATGGATGAATATATAGATGGATGGATGCATGCATGTGTAAATGGATGGATGGATGCATGCGTAAATGGATGGATGGATGAATATATAGATGGATGGATGCATGCATGCGTAAATGGATGGATGGATGCATAGATGGATGCATGCGTAAATGGATGGATGGATGAATATATAGATGGATGCATGCATGCATGCGTAAATGGATGGATGGATGCATAGATGGATGCATGCATAAATGGATGGATGAATATATAGATGGATGGATGCATGCATGTGTAAATGGATGGATGGATGCATAGATGGATGGATGCATAGATGGATGGATGCATGCGTAAATGGATGGATGGATGAATATATAGATGGATGCATGCATGCATGTGTAAATGGATGGATGGATGAATATATAGATGGATGGATGCATGCATGCGTAAATGGATGGATGGATGCATGCGTAAATGGATGGATGGATGAATATATAGATGGATGGATGCATGCATGTGTAAATGGATGGATGGATGCATAGATGGATGGATGCATGCGTAAATGGATGGATGGATGAATATATAGATGGATGCATGCATGCATGCATAAATGGATGGATGGATGCATGCGTAAATGGATGGATGGATGAATATATAGATGGATGGATGCATGCATGCGTAAATGGATGGATGGATGAATATATAGATGGATGGATGCATGCGTAAATGGATGGATGGATGCATAGATGGATGCATGCGTAAATGGATGGATGGATGAATATATAGATGGATGCATGCATGCATGCATAAATGGATGGATGGATGCACGGATGAATGCACAAATTGTTGCATGTGTAAATGGATGGATGCATGCATAGATGGATGCATGCATGCGTAAATGGATGGATGCATGCACGGATGGATGCATAGATGGATGCATGCATGCCTAAATGGATGGATGGATGAATGTATAGATGGATGGATGCATGCATGTGTGAATGGATGGATGGGGATGGATGCATAGATGGATGCATGCATGCCTAAATGGATGGATGGATGAATGTATAGATGGATGGATGCATGCATGTGTGAATGGATGGATGGGGATGGATGCATAGATGGACGCATGCATGCATAAATGGATGCATAGATGGATGCATGGAAGAATGTGTAGATGGATGCATGCATGCGTGGATGGATGGATGCACGGATGGATGCATGAATGCATGCATGTGTTAATGGATGGATGGATGCATAGATCGATGGATGCATGCGTCAATGGATGCATGGATGAATGTATGGATGGATGCATGCATGCAAAGATGGATGGAAGGATGGATTTTCCCCGAGGGTCAAAAGAAGAATTAGAATTAGAATCACAAGAGTTGGAAGGGACCTTGGAGGTCTTCTAGTCCAACCCCCTCCCCCCTCCCTTGGTTGTCAAATCTCTTCTTAAAAACTTCCAGTGATGGAGCAGCACCCACAACTTCAAAAGAGGACTTCCAGGGGTCTGGCTTGGTCCAGTTCACCTGCTGGACTTTTGCACACCTGTTGGCTCCTGCAATCTGTCAGTGCTGGCCTTGCACGCTCAGCCAAGCCCAGAGAAAGCTGGCCTTGGGCGAGTTCAATAGGTGAAAGAAGGAAAGTTGGAGCTTTTTTCAAAATGAAAGCAAGAGAAATGGATCAACTTCTTTTGTTGAGTTGAAGATTTTCAGTTGTCCATGTCATGGTTGTCCCAAGGGTGCTTTTTATTTAAACTGGACTTTTTAAAAAAAAATTTCTAGAACACGCTGGACACCCAATTGTCTCCAATTCTATAGGGCAGTGATTGCTAACCTTTTTGACATCGCGTGCCAAAAGCGGGGGGAGCGTGGAGGGGGTCATATGCACGCGTGCCCACATCCATAATTCTATGTGCCCTGCCCCCCCCCCCGTGCTCTCCCCGCTTTTGGCACGCGATGGCACGGTGGGCCCAGTAGGCCCATTTTTCGCTCTCCCCAGGCTCCAGAGCCTTTCTAGGAGCCTGGGGAGGGCGAAAATGGCCTTCCCCACCTCGGAGGCCGGAAATAACGTGTTTCCTGACTTCTGGTGGGTCCAGAAGGCCCGAAAATCTGCTGGCTGGCGCACGCATGTGTGCTGGAGCTGAGCTTGCGTGCCCACTGATATGGCTCCACGTGCCACCTTTGGCACCCGTGCCATAGGTTCGCCATCACGGCTATAGGGTCTCCTACTTGAGCAAGGAGGTTGGACTAGAAGACCTCCAAGGCCCCTTCCAGCTCTATTCGGGTTGATTGATAGAAGCTTCTTCAGTGGGAAGCGAAAGAAAGTCCAGTTGGATGGAAAGAAAGAGCCTTGGTAGTACAGGGGTTTAAGGCACCCTGTTATTAAGCTTATTAAGACCAGCTGCCTGCAATTACTGCAGGGTTCGAATCTCGCCAAGGCTCAAGGTTGACTCAGCCTTCCATCCTTTCTAAGGTAGGTGAAATGAGGACCCAGTTTGTGGGAGCAATAAGCTGACTTTGTATAAATATACAAAAAGGATGAAGGCTATTGCTGAGCACATTGTAAGCCGCCCTGAGTCTTCGGAGAAGGGCGGCATATAAATCAAATTTAAAAAAAAAAAAAAAGTTGCCTTTTGAAAAAGCACCTTTGGAACAGCCATGACCTGCATGACTGAGAATCTCCACAGACAAATTCTGGAGATTGAAATCCATGCATCCTAAAAGCTGCTAAGGTCAAGGAATCTACTCTAGACGAGAAAGCACGAGAACGCCTCAAGTTGCTGCCGCCAAGTCAGTTGACCTTGGCGAGGAGGCACCGTTATTTTGACTTTTTGAGTTCTTAGTTTGCCTGCTGAATCTGTTTTTGTTTTCAAACGGTGTCCCTGAAGGCTCAAGAGATTGGAGAGAATCAGTTCCCTGGGTTCTCCTCCCTGCCTTTGAAGAATGAGATCATGTTTTTGGTTTGTTATGTGCTGGTCATCTCTCTCACTCCCCAACCGTCTCCCAAGATCTGCCACACAAAGATAAGGAGGCCTTCTCCTGTGAAAGAGGGACTCCTACATTGTCAACATCTTGGTGGAATTTACTTATACTACTTCCGTCTCCGGATTCTCATTGTGACACTGAGATGGTTGTTGTTGTTAGTTGCGAAGTCATATCTGACCAGGGTGGATTTGATTTAAAATCGAGTTGATTTAAATCATGATTTAAATCACTAGTAAAAAGGCTTGATTTAAATCAACTCGATTTAAATCATAATTTTTAAAGAGCAACTGTCATCTCTGCTCCTCCTTTGACCCACTGTTGACTCACCGATAGTCCCAGTGTTGCAGAATATACAGCCTCGTGCTACATAACTAAGCTCCATTTCATGCTGAATAAACTAAATTATATATGTATCTTAAATAGAAAACTATCTTACGATAGATTTTTACCCCAAAAGTTTTTTATTAAAATAAATTCGATAAAAATAAAAAAAAATCCGTTTTAAATCAAAAAAATCCGATTTAAATAAAAAAAATCTGATTTTTTTAATTTTTTTAAAAAAAAATCATTGATTTTTATCCACCCTGTGTCCAACCCATCGCGACCCCATGGACAACGTTCCTCCAGGCCTTCCTGTCCTCTACCATCCTCTGGAGTCCATTTAAGCTCACGCCGACTGCTTCAGTGACTCCATCCCATTCTTCTTTTGCCCTCAATCTTTCCCAGCATTAGGCTCTTCTCCAGTGAGTCCTTCCTTCTCATTAGGTGGCGAATAGAATAATAGAATAGAATAGAATAGAATAGAATAGAATAGAATAGAATAGAATAGATTTTTTTATTGGCCAAGTGTGATTGGACACACAAGGAATTTGTCTTGGTGCATATGCTCTCAGTGTACATAAAAGAAAAGATGAGATAGGATATAAAATAGAATATTCTTTATTGGAAAGGAGGAAAGGAAAGGAAAGGAAAGGGAAAGAAAAAAGAGAAAGGGAGAGAGGGAGGGAGGAGAGGGGGAAGGAAGGATAGTGGGAGAGAGAGAAAAAGATGGAGAGAGAAGAGAGAAAAAAATAGAGAGGGAAAGAGAAAAAGAATAGAGAGAGAAAAAAAGGAAGGAAGGAAGAGGCTCTTTAGCTCACAAGAGCATGCCTGTCACATAAAAAACTAATGGGAAGAGACTCAAAAGGAGCACCAGGCTTTTCAAGAATAATGATATACACTTAGTCCTTGACTTATGACCAATTTCTCTTTTCCTGGTGAAGTTCAGTTGCCCAAACCAATGAACTTTTTCCCCCATTGCCTTAGCGCAGCAAAGTTCTCCAATGTTTTTGGCTTTGTGGACCGGGGGGGGGGGTGGTGGGGGAGGGGATGGTTCGCACAAGTGGCCAGGAAGTGTGCGCACACGCAGCTCCATTTGCGCGAGCGGTGTGCACACATGTGCCGCTCACATGAACGGAGCGCCAGCCCTCTTGCAAACTCCTCACGGCCCACTAGTGGACTTGGCTCACAGGTTGAGGCCCCTGCCTTAGAGCATGGTTGACTGGAGAATTCTGGGAGCTGGAGTCCGCCCGTCTCCATAGACACCAATTTTCAAAAAACACTACCTTAAAGATAGATTAAAAACCAAAATCTTGCTAGGAGTGTCCCTTTTATTTCTTTGAAGTATTCTCCCCTCTCGGTCAATCGTGGTGAGCAGGGTGGATAAAAATCAATGATTTTTTAAAAAAATAAAAAAAAAATCAGATTTTTTTTATTTAAATCGGATTTTTTTGATTAAAAATGGATTTTTTTAAATTTTTATCGAATTTATTTTAATAAAAAACTTTTGGGGTAAAAATCTATCGTAAGACAGTTTTCTATTTAAGATACATAAATCATTTAGTTTATTCAGCATGAAATGGAGCTTAGTTATGTAGCATGAGGCTGTATATTCTGCAATACTGGGACTATTGGTGAGTCAACAGCGGGTCAAAGGAGTAGCAGAGATGACAGTTGCTCTTTAAAAATTATGATTTAAATCCAGTTGATTTAAATCAAGCCTTTTTACTAATGATTTAAATCATGATTTAAATTGTGATTTAAATCAACTCGATTTAAATCAAATCCACCCTGGTGGTGAGCATTTGGATGGGAGACCAAAAGGAAATCCTAGAGTTCTTAAGCGAGGCTGCAAAATCAAACCCCACTTCCCATCCAGGCAATACAAAGCAAAGCACTTCTATCCTACTGCAACAAGGAAAATATAGTAGTATAGCACAAAGGATTAAATTGGCTCATTTTATCAAGGAATTGGAGTGGTATTTCTCAAGTTTGGCAACTTTAAAATATGTGGACTTCAACTCCCAGAATCTGGGAATTGAACCCCCACGTATCTCAAAGTTGTCAAAGTTAAGAAACTGGATAAAATAATATTTTCATTGGTTGACTTTCAAAAGCATCACTTAGCAAAGGTTTACCAACCATCCAGAGGTGGGCTGCTGCCAGTTCGGGTGAACCTGTAGTTAAGATTCTGCGCAGTTCGGCAAACTGGCAAATCCTACCACTGGCCCCGCCCCTGCTTATTTTTGGCCTGTTTTTCAGGCCATTTTTCTGCCGTTTTTTGGATCATTTTCGGCTGTTTTCCAAAAAACAGGCTGAAAAACGGGTGGAGGCGGGGCAGCCAGTGGTTGGATTAGTCCCAACCGGCTGAATCCTACCTCAGCCTTTGAGGTGAGTGGCCGAGAGATGGGACTGGGTGTGATGAGTGATGTCATCCACCCAGTCACATGACCAACCAGCTACGCCTACCCAGCCAAAGAACCAGTTGTTAAGTTATTCAGGTCCCACCACTGCAACCATCTGGTTGAAATTGTTCATTTTCCAAGGGTATGCTTTGTTTTTGCCCCCTTTTGATTTTTGCTAAATTCTGCCTTCACCCGTGTCTTCAATCTTGGCACACCTTCTGAAAAGAGCGCGCCCTTGGCCCCGTCAAACCTCTTTCATGTCAAATTATTCATGAACTGGCAGAGACATGGTAACAAGGTCAGCCAATGAATAGGCATAGCAGCTAAACCAGCCAATTGAGAGCTAAGACAGACGGGAGCCAGGGTGTGTCTTAGTCTGCAGCTTCTGAGTCTGTGCTGAGAATTGAAAACTCAAACTAGTCTGCTGCTGGAACTGAAAGCAATCTCTCCTCTGCCTGTGAATCTGCTGTTGGTATTGTACATTTACTTCATGTATTATTGTGTATATAAAGAAGTTAACGAATCCTGCTGCATCAGTCTGCCTGTGTGTGCTTTCTGGATTTGATTTTTGCAACATTTCATTTTTGCGCTTCTCCCTGTCTTGCACGAGCTTTTCCTGGGCACACTCCACGTCTTTAACCCCATCCCTCCTACCGAAGCGATGGGAGAAAGGCTCTGTTGTAATTTACAGAATTAAAATGGCTTTTATTATTCTCCTTTCCTTCAGCCCTCTCTTATCCTTCAGAGGGGGCTGGATCCCAACGTCCAACGCGGGAAAGGCTGGCTGAGGATGATGGGATCAAAACTCTTCCCATGTTCGGTAAGCGCGTAAGAACGCTGGCCTCGGTGGATGCTCTGGTGCCTGGTTAATTTATCCCTCCGAGAGAAATTTCTCCCACATTCGGGACACTTGAAGGGTTTTTCTCCCGTGTGAGTTTTTTGATGACCCATTAAGTGGACTCTCTGCCGAAAACATTTCCCGCACTGGGGACATTCGTAGGGTTTCTCTCCCGTGTGAATCCGCTGATGCCTCAGCAGAGGTTCCCGTGACGTGAAGCTCTTCCCACAAGCCAGGCATTCGTGCAGCTTCTCGCCCGTGTGGATCTTCTGGTGTTTGGTCAACGTCTGTCTGTGTCGGAAGGATTTCCCACACTGGGCACACCGATACCGCCTCCCTTCCGTCTGAATGCCTTGATCTCTCTTCACAGCCTTCCGGTTTTTACCGTCTTTCTCATCCTTCGGGCATTCGCGAGGTTCCTCCTCTGGGTGATTTTTCGGGTACCCTGTCAAATCATCTCCCAGGTGGAAGTCTTTCCTCCCCTCCGAGGGTTCAGCTTCTTGCTCAGCTGAATGATTTTTATCCAAGTAACATTCCTGCTGGATCGTTTCCTTCAAAGAGGGACGTGGGCAGGGTTTCCCTTCCAGTTCCACAAATCCTGATTTGAAACAACATTTTCGTCCCTGCTTCGGCAGCAGGCCCTTTCTGCCTTCTGTCTGTGCGGTGGGGTTCTTCTCAGGGGCTGTTGTAAGATCATCTGAGAGGTCACACCATTCATTCTTCCCCTTTGTTGACGTCTTATCCACTTGGAATTCCCACCTCAGTCCGTGAATATTAGAGGGGGCAGGAAACGTCCACTGAGCATTGTCTGCTGAAGTCCTGGGTGTTTCTTCCAGCACAATCTCTCCCCGCTGAGAATTTTCCATCTTGATCCAACCTCGGCTGTCACCTGAAGAAAGAAGAAAGGAATGTCTATAGAGATTCTCAACCGTCCAGGTCATGGTTGTCCCAAAGCAGGGGTGAAATCCAGTAGGTTCTGACAGTTCTGTAGAACCGGTAGCGGAAATTTTGAGTAGTTCGGAGAACCGGCAAATGCCACCTCTGGCTGGCCCCAGAGTGGGGTGGGAATGGAGATTTTGCAATATCTTTCTCCCTGGAGTGAGGTGGGAATGGGGATTTTGCAGTAACCTTCCCCTGCCACGCCCACCAAGCACACCACACCCACCAAGCCACGCCCACAGAACCGGTAGTAAAAAAATTGAATTCCACCACTATCCTAAAGGTGCTTTTTCCCAAAGGCATATGGACTTCCTTGGTTTTATTTTTCTTTGAAAACGTTTAAAAATGTTTTCAAGGTTAAAAAACAACAACTTGAAAGTCCAGTTTTCTTTTGAAAAGCACCTTTGGGACAAGAAATTCTGTATAATCTGATTCTGATTATAATTATAATTATTCTATTCTATTGAGGGTCTGTTGTAAGTTGAGGACTACCTGTACAAACAGCTGCAAGGTTTTCTGAAGGTTTTCTGGATTTATCCTGAATTTCTAGAAGTTCCCCGCCCTACCCGCTGTTTGACTCACATCCCTCCTTCTGGATGTCATCCTCCATTGACACATTCCCTGTATTTATCTGGACCGTTGTCTCCTCTGGATCGTTTCTGCCATACAAAGAAGTTTCCATTTTGATCCAGTTTCTGTTCTTGACACCTGAAGGAACAAAAAAAAGAGATATTTTTAAGTCTTCCGTTTTTTGTTTTTTTTAGAATTTGATTTATATGCCGCCCTTCTCCGGAGACTCAGGGTGTCTTACAGTGCGTTAAGCAATAGCCTTCATACTTTTGTATATTTTATACAAAGTCAGCTTATTGCCCCCACAAACTGGGTCATTTTACCTACCTTAGAAAGGATGAAAGGCTGAGTCAACCTTGAGCCTGGCAAGATTCGAACTTACTTTTTAATTGCAGACAGCTGGTGTTAAATTACAGTGCCTTTGTCTGCAGAGCTATCCAGGCTCTGGATCACTTTTGTGAGTTCCATCGCTTCGTTTGCACTTGTTGTGGCCCGCCAGCGGCCAGCAGAGCTGGCAGCTAAGTTGGACAGTGAGGAGGTTGGGGAAGAACATAGGCCAATCCTATGGGAAAAGCTCGGACGAGGGCTCTGCATCGGAGGCAGAGAGGGGGCCAAGGCCATCTGATACTTATGTGCACCTCCGGAGTCTGACAGCAGCAAGGCAGAAGAACAGCAGGAGCCTGTTCCCAGTGTGCGCGTGCGCAGAGCTGCCAGACGACAAGAACAGTTAAGAAAACAGGGTCGACTTAGGAGTAAGGCTTGGAGATGATTGGCTCTTCCCATAAGATATAAAAGAAGAGGGAACAGGACGTGAGTTTTTTTTTTTTTTAATTTGATTTATATGCCGCCCTTCTCCGGAGACTCAGGGCGGCTTACAGTGCATTCAGCAATAGCCTTCATACTTTTGTATATTTATACAAAGTCAGCTTATTGCCCCCACAAACTGGGTCCTCATTTAACCTACCTTAGAAAGGATGGAAGGCTGAGTCAACCTTGAGCCTTGGAGAGATTCGAACCAGCAGTAAATTGCAGGCAGCTGTGTTAATAACAGGGTGCTTTAAACCACTGTAGTACCAAGTTTTTGCAGGAAGCAATTAGTTCATCTGGCCGATTCAAGATTTGAAAATTCTGTTTGTGACTCTGTGCCAAGTTTGGCCTTGCCCTGCCTCTGGAAATTAGCTCTTTGGCAGCGTTCCACGTGAGATAGGTGGGTGTTGATAATCTTCCTCTGAAAGACTGTTTATCAAGCTTTGCAGACTGTAATTTACAGTCGTATAAATAAAAGAGGTTTTGCGGAACTAAGATTCTGTGGTAACAAGAGCGAGCCACTTTTGCTGATGTTCAGTGCGCTCACAAGCACCTACCGAAACAATCCGTGTTGCCGTTCTCCTCCTGCAGGACTTGCCAAAATATGGTCCGTTGACCCGGCTGGATCAGACTCTGCTCCATTGTCTGCAGAGGAGCTCCTGTCTCTTGGAGGCCCATTGATCCCTACAAACAAGGATACAGCCATCACTTAACTTGATGAAATCGGTGAAGGGATGTCATGCTAACCTTGAGAATGGGGAAGGTATGAGTGAGCCATCAAAATGGGATAGCAATAGCAATAGCTATTAGACTTACTGCTAATATACTGCTTACTGTATATACTGCTTTACAGTGATTTACAGCCCTCTCTAAGCGGTTTACAGAGTCAGCATATTTTCCCCAATGATCTGGGTCCTCATTTTACTGACCTCGGAAGGATGGAAGGCTGAATCAACTTTGAGCCGGTCAGGAATCGAACTGCCAAACTGCTGGCAGCCGGCAGTCCCCTTAAGTAGGCTGCAGTACTGCAATCTGACCACTGCGCCACCACGGCTCTTATGTTGTGAAAGGACTACAGGAAGTCCTCAACTTACGGCTGCAATGGAGACCAGCATTTCCATTGCTAAGCAAGGTGGTTGTTAAATGAGTCACGTGTCATGTTCCCTTTTTATCTTTTTTTTGCCACAGTTGTTAAGCAAATCATCACCGTTGTTAAGTGAATGACATGGTCATTAAGCAAGTAATGTAACAAAATATGGAAGCCGTTCAAAGTTATCCTGCGGTAAGATAGGCGGCCAATCTTTATTTTTATCTTTATCTTTATTTGATTTGTATATCGCCCTACTCCCGAAGGACTCAGGGCGGTGAACAGCCAAACAGTAAAATACATAAATACAAAATCCTCAAGGGGAGCCCCATGTAGAGAGCGTTACAATAGTCCAGGCGGGAGGTGACGAGGGCATGAGTGACCGTGCGTAAGGAGTCCCGATCCAGAAAGGGACGCAACTGGCGAATCAGGCGAACCTGATGAAAAATCCTCCCGATCACGGCCGTCAAATGCTCTTCTAAAGATAGCCGTGAATCCAGGAGGATGCCCAAGTTGCGAGCCCTCTCCGTGGGGGCCACTGATTCACCAGTTGCGTCCCTTTCTGAGAGAAAGAGAGACAGAGACAAAAAAAGAGACTGATAGATGATAGACAAATAGAGACAGATAAAGTTATAGAAGATGGATAGATGGATGGATAGGCAGATAGACAGATAGACGGACAGACAGACAGACAGATAGATAGATAGATAGATAGATAGATAGATAGATAGATAGATAGAAAGCTTGAGAGAGATACACAGAGAGATAAACAAAAAGATTGATAGAGATAAACAGATAAAGATAGATAGATAGATAGATAGATAGATAGATAGATAGATAGATAGACAGGTAAGTAGAGATAGACCGAGAAAGTGAAAGAGAGAAAGGCAGGCAGGCAGGCAGAAAAATATCACCTACCTCGTTTTGTTCAGCTTCACTCATTTCTGGTCCTTCCAGAGAAAGCAACGAACTAGCATGACTTGGGCATTTAATTCCACTGTCTGCAAAGGGTGGGAGGGGATTTTAGAAAGCAAAATCAGACATTCTATTCATTCCTTGGTTGACTAGATAGGCAGCGCTACTACTTGAGCCGCACACAGCCTGTACAGCTGTACATAGCTGTGCACGACCAAGAATATGCATATGCAACTGGCCATCTCTATATGCCCCCCCCAGCCCCTGAGCATTTCTGTCTGGGGAATTCTGGGAATTGAAGTCCACCCATTTTCAAGTTGCCGAGGTTGAGAAACACTCATCCACAGACCTCCACTTAGAGATCTTTACCTAGCAAGCTGGTCTCCCCAGTTTGAAGGCTGTTCAGCTCGCCTTCTTTGTAGATCGGCCCATTTCCAGGGTCCAGATTCTCCTCCTCCTCCTCCACCACTTCCAGAGAACCCAGGCACACCTCCTGCAGCGATCCGGAGAAACAAGCGGCAAAAAGAAAAAAACACATTAAAAACAAAGAAGGAAAAGGCAACGGATTTGAGGTTTCTGTACCACTGAGCCTTAAATTTCTTGGCTCCCAACCTTTTAAGGCAGGAGTGTCAAACTTGATTTCATTATTTATTTATTATTATTTATTAATTTATTCAATTTGTATACCGCCCTTCTCCTAGTGGACTCAGGGCGGTGCACAGCCAGAACTAAAACACATACCAATACAAAATTTAAAATTATTAAAAGAATTTCATGACTTTGGCCCCAAAATTTAAAACATTCAAACTAAAACCCATTGACAATTTAAAAAACTAAAAAAGCTAGAAAAGGGGGTGGGGGGTTTCACGCCAGCCCTGCTTGATGGAAAAGAAATTTTTCAGAGCACGGCGAAAGACCCGGAGATCCGATATCCTTCATATCTCCAGGGGCAAATCGTTCCAGAGGGCAGGAGCTGCCACAGAGAAGGCCCTCCCCCTGGGGGTCGCCAGCCGACATTACCTGGCCGACGGCACCCTGAGGAGTCCCTCTCTGTGGGAGCGTACTGGTCGGTGGGAGGCTATCGGCAGCGGAAGGCGGTCCCGCAAATACCCATTGAGGGCCACATCAAGGTTGTGTTTGACCTCGGGGGGGGGGACAAAGTGGGTGTGGCCAGCTCAACGTCACTCCTGTTGGAGGCGTCTATGGTGGCCTGAGGACTCTGCCAGAGAAAGCAGGCTCCCAAGCTCCGTTTTCAGCTGCGACCCTCCTGCAACCCTCTGCCAGCAAAAACGGAGCTTGGGAGGGCCGTGTGCAGCCCTCCCAAGTACTACGGGCCGGTCCTTCGCTGTTTCCAGGGTGGCCCTGCGGGCCAGATAGAATAGAATAACAGCGTTGGAAGGGACCTTGGAGGTCTTCTAGTCCAGGGGTCTGCAACCTTAAACACTGAAAGAGCCATTTGGACCCGTTTCCCACAGAAAAGAAAACACCGGGAGCCACAAAATCCGTCCCGTGCCTGACTATTTCTTGAGCGGCCACAAAACTAGCCTATGTAGTTGAATTAAATGTTCTGTTTTCTTCTGAAACTTTTCTTTTCCTGGATTTATCTACGTTTGTCCTACCAGAGGTTGAAAAACTCAATAAATTGTGTGCTGGCAGGTGTCGCACATTGGCAGTTGTGATGCATATTTTGAGTGACGGGGAGCCGCAGCAAGAGTAAAAGAGCCACATGTGGCTCCAGAGCCGCAGGTTGCTGACCCCTGTTCTAGTCCAATCCCGCTTAGGCAGGGAACCCTACAACATTTCAGACAAATGGTTATCCAACATCTTCTTAAAAATTTCCAGTGTTGGAGCATTCACAACTTCTGGAGGCAAGTTGTCCCACTGATTAATTGTTCTAACTGCTAGGAAATTTCTCCTTAGTTCTAGGTTGCTTCTCTCCTTGATTAGTTTCCACCCATTGCTTCTTGTCCTGCCCTCAGGTGCTTTGGAGAGTAGCTTGACTCCCTCTTCTTTGTGGCAGCCCCTGAGATATTGGAACTCTGCTATCATGTCTCCCCTAGTCCTTCTTTTCATTAAACTAGACATACCCAGTTCCTGCAATCGTTCTTCATGTGCTTTAGCCTCCAGTCCCCTAATCATCTTTGTTGCTCTTCTCTGCACTCTTTCTAGAGCAGTGGTCCCCAACCCCCGGTCCGTGGACCGGTGCCGGGCCGTGGAGTACCTGGCACCGGGCCGCGCAGCAGCCGGGGGACATGAACGCTGCAGCGCAAAGGCTCCTGGGCCGTGCGCAAAGGCTCCAGGGAAGAGAGCCCCGCGCAGGTACGCACGTGTGGCCCAAAGCCCCCACCCCTGCGCGCGCTCAGCGGGCCACGGTAAAATTATCAAAGGCTGATTGGTCCGCGGTGATAAAAAGGTTGGGGACCACTGTTCTAGAGTCTCCACATCTTTTTTACATTGTGGCGACCAAAACTGGATGCAGTATTCCAAGTGTGGCCTTACCAAGGCATTATAAAGTGGTATTAACACTTCACGTGATCTTGATTCTGTTCCTCTGTTTATGCAGCCTAGAACTGTGTTGGCTTTTTTGCAGCTGCTGCACACTGCTGGCTCATATCTAAATGGTTGTCCACTAGGATTCCAAGATCCCTCTCACAGTTACGACTATTGAGCGAGGTACCACATATACTGTACCTGTGCATTTTGTTTTTCTTGCCCAAATGTAGAACTTTTCTTTTTTCACCATTGAATTTCATTTTGTTAGAGAGCACCAGGGTGGATAAAAATCAATGATTTTTTTAAAAAAATCAAAAAAAAAATCAGATTTTTTTTATTTAAATCGGATTTTTTTGATTTAAATCGGATTTTTTTTTATTTTTATCGAATTTATTTTAATAAAAAACTTTTGGGGTAAAAATCTATCGTACGATCGTAAGATCGTAAGATACATAAATAATTTAGTTTATTCAGCATGAAATGGAGCTTAGTTATGTAGCACGAGGCTGTATATTCTGCAACACTGGGACTATCGGTGAGTCAAAGGAGTAGCAGAGATGACAGTTGCTCTTTAAAAATTATGATTTAAATCGAGTTGATCACTTTTTACTAGTGATTTAAATCATGATTTAAATTGTGATTTAAATCAACTCGATTTAAATCAAATCCACCCTGGATAGCGCCCAATGTTCAGGTCTGTCAAGATCCTTCTGTATCGTAAGCCTATCTTCTGGACTGTTGGTTATTCCTGCTATCTTGGCGTCATCTGCAAATTTGATGAGTTCCCCATCTAAGCACCCTGTGGGCTGGATCTGACTGCCGGGCCTTGAGTTTGACACTCCCATTTTAATGAAATCACTACTTTATTGAAAACTATCGAGGCCCGTTAGAAAAGCCAGGAATGACCAGGATCTGTGGGTCCCCTAGCACAGGGGTCCCCAAAACCCGGTCCATGGACAGGCACTAGGCCGCAGCATGCCAGGAACAGGGCTGCGGAAACAAGCGAAAGTCCCATCCGCGGGATGCAGCTGTCAGCATTCTGATGTTGCCATAAAAAGACGAGGCTTGACTTTTCATCTACTTATTTTCTCTGTAGATAATATCCCCTAGGACAGTGATGGCTAACCTTTTTGCCGTCGTGTGCCAAAAGTGCGGGTCGTGTGGAGGGTCGTGGGTGCGTGTGCCCACATCCATAATTCAATCTGCCCGTCCTCCCGTGCATGTGCACGTGATCCCCCCCCACACACACACTTCCCCCTGCTTTTGGCACGTGCACAGTGGGCCCGGTAGGCCCATTTTTCCACCTCCCCAGGCTCCAGAGGCTTTCTAGGAGTCTGGGGAGGGCAAAAACAGCCTTCCCCATCTTTCTGGAGGCCGGAAACAGCCAGTTTCCCGACTTCCGGTGGGACCGGAAGGCCTGAAAATCACTTGGCCAGGGCGCGTGTGCGCGCTGGAGCTGAGTTAGGGCAACACTCGCGTGCCCACCAATATGGCTCCACGTGCCACCTGTGGCACCTGTGCCATAGGTTCGCCATCACGGCCCTAGGAGATGGGATGGGAGGGGGGAACAGTCCTGTGGGGCGAGTTCAGAAGCTGGGGAGATGGCCAATGAGAAGATGAGAATTGGGGAACGGAAAGGGAAGGGTTTGGGGGTCAGAGGGCTAGTATCGGCTACGACGAACTCGGGGCCAGATCTGTCGTACTCAATAAATGGAATATTTCAGCAAAGATTAATTGTTTGGGAGTGCAATTTATTTGAGATGACATCGAAACCTGACAGCAGCAACATGTGAAATCACGCCCCCTCTGGTCCGCGGAAAAACCTCTCTCCACAGAACCAGTACCTGGCGCCCCAAAAGTTAAGGCCCGCTGCTCTAGCAAATGCGCCCTGCAACTTGGCTTTTGCGGAACTCCTGCGGCTGTTCATGGAACCCCAACATTATTCACACTTTTTTAAAAAAAAAAAAAATGGCTGATCTCCAACTATCATCAAATCTCACCGGTTTTAAGTGTCCCTGAAATCTGTTGAGGTTTTGGGGATGTGACGAGATTTAGGCTGTTTTGAACAAGTTAATTTTACAAGTGGTCCTCGGTTAATGACCACTTGTTCAACGACGCTTTGAAGTTGTGACAGAGCTGAACGAATTTATGGAACCTATGATTGGTTCTCGAAGTTCTGGCCATTGCACCATCCCCACATTCATGTGATTGCCATTTGCAGAGTCAAAAAGAGGGCTGTGAAAATATCTACAGACCCCTTGCATCCCGGACATAAAGAGTTTCAACTTCTACCCTCAAAACGACGCTATAGGGCAGGGGTCTCCAACCTTGGCAACTTTAAGCCTGGTGGACCTCAATGTTGTGGCTCTGTTACCGGAGCCTGTGTCATCGGCAGGAGAGGACTCCGAGAGTGAAGACGAGGAATTGGCAAGGCCTCCCTCTCCAGGACCCTCCTCTCTGGTAATGCCTTCGGTGTCCGCCGAAGGGCAAGTGATAGGGCCGGGGCCAAGCACGTCCACGCAGCCACAGATGGACAGTGATGAGGGTAATGAGTCTTGGCTGGATCCACGCCAGTGTCACAGAGATAAGTGCGCGCAACAGAAGAAAAGGCGTGCCCGAGATTAGGCTGAGTCACTGGACCACACCCCACAGGGTATAAAAGGGAGCGTGGTGGCCAGTCAAACCTTGTGACGAACAAAGCTGAAAGCTTCCACGCCATTCTGCATTGCCGGACTTTTGCTATAAGACTTAGCTGGATTATCTCTGGACTTGATTAACTCCGTAATTATTGAGCTATTTCTTTTGATGTATCAGAAGTGGGGAGAAGTTATCTCTCCTCTTCGTAAATAATAAACTCTTGGCAGGCAGCCACTAGGTTGTTGCCAAGTTCCGTTATCTTAAGGAAAAGGATTTTGCCGGCTGGTTTGGTCTTTAACTCTTGAACGTCTGTTGGTGTGTGTGCGTGTGGGACGGGGACAGAACACTCAACTCCCAGAATTC